TGCTTGAGGAGAATCTGAATTGCAGTGTTGTTTGCGGTGAGGAGGACCTCATGGGAAGCTTCTGGACACTGATCAAGAAAGGGCTGCCATGATCCGGAGTGTGCAGAGAGTGCTTGGGCTGGTGGAAGGATAGATCAAGTCTACACATGCAACCCCCTTCATGGATCACTGCCTTGTCGTGGCGAAGGGGCTTGAATAACCCCAAGAAGCTATGAGCCATGCCATCATAGCCGAGAGTTTCGACTAAATGTGATGCACCTGGAGAAGGAACTGGCAAACCACTCCAGTATTTTGCCAAGAAAAATCCATGGACATAAAAAAGGAGAAGCTTTGAGAAGAGTTTCCAAGGCATGCTCTGGTTCATGGGGTCACAGAGAGTCGAACATGACTAAGATGACTGAACAACAACAACACATGCAGCAGAATCAATATGGCAAAGTGGATTGCATCATTCAGGCAACAGGACTGTGCGTCAGGGAAGTGGAGATACAGGTTTTGAATATTCTCCCATGTACAAAAGCCTCTAATACCAGGGTGAAAGGTTCAACCCCAGTCTACTTCCTACTGTGCCAAGTTTGTACAGACAGAGAGTTTTGTTTTTAAATGCGGCAGTTGTGCCAAGTTTGGACCTCCCATTGGCAGCCTCTGAAGCGGCGCAGTCTCCGTGAAGCTACCTCAGGAGAAGCTTCCCCACTATCAGTGTTGATAGCACTGAAGGAAAATTCAGCTGCCAGCCCAGTTGGCTTCTGTGTGTGGAATGGGGAAGGACGCCATCTTGTCTTTCGCCTCAGGCAGCAAACAGTCTTAGGCCTGCCCCACGACAGACTGTCTGGCATCCGGACAAGGCAATCGAGGCGGGATAGCTGGAGACTCGGCTGACCCAAATGCCAGCAGGCCTCTCCAGCACCTCAGAGGGAGATGAGAACAGCTGAGATAGGAAGAAACAAACAGTCAAGATAAACAGCCTCCCAGGGAGCCAATAAATAAGCTTTATGACTCTTAGAGCAGTTTGAGTTGCTAAAAAACAACACACTAGAACTTGGCTGGCGAGACTGACTGAGAGACGCAGGCTGAATTTTAAAAATAAAATAGATACAACATGTCATATTAATCCAAAGGATAACGCGGCCGTGATAACTCAGGAGTTATCGCAAAAACGATGAAAGAAAAATGCCAACTGTTAATGTTGCATTTCTTATCAATATCTTTTTCTGTATAAAAAAGTTTTCCCTCAGGAAAACAGCGCGCCTGCCCTGGACGTGTTGTTGCTGGTGCAGATTTAGTACTTGGATTCATATTTTAAAAGTAGAAAGAGACTCTTCATCTTCCATTTGCTCTCTTACCGAGACCTATTCATCAGCCTAATGTGGGTGAGTCAACACAAAGGAGGAAAAAAGAGGATTATTTATTGTCTCCTTTATTTTTCAATGCATAATTCAAGGCCAGAATATTTTCCCAAAGGCAACACATGTTTACTTTTTAATCAACTGTCCTACATTTTTTTAATTCCTAAAGGGATGTCGTGTGAGGAAAGAAATACGCAAGTTTGGGCATGGCCAAACTTCTGCTTCCAAGGCACTTGAGTTCTGATGGGTGAAAAACAACGAATATTTAGAGCTTAGCTTAGCTCTAAATATTCAACAGGGGGAAACAGCTACACTAGTTTTATGTTAAATCAGGAGTGGGAAATTTGTTGGACTTCTAGGTGCTGTTGGACTACAACTTCCATCATCCCTGGCTACTGAACATGCTTACTGTAGTTAATGCGAGTTGTGTTAAAGATGTAATTTTAAAATGCATAAGATGTAATGTTTGTATGCATTGAAGTAAAGTAAAATGTATGTAAAAGTTTGCATGTGCAAAGCAGAGAATTTTGCATTAAGTGAGAGGTTCCACTCTAGGTGAATGCGGAAGGCTGGTGTTTTTTCATTTTGTTGTGTTTGGCTACCTGATGACTCATCGCCAGAAAGCCAATCTGCTGAACTCTCCCAGCAGGAGAGGAAACCTGAGAAGTCAGTGTATCTCCGCAATGGTGAACAAGCTTATGGTCTCTTTCTGGGACCAGGAAGAGGAAAGTCCCTGAACTACATAAAAACCTAAACCGCATTGCTTGCTACTTGAATGCAATGTGCTACTTTGTATTTTGTTCTTGTAATGTTTATATGTAACTAGTTTTAAGACAGTAGGGATTATTCAGTTTGCAACCTAAGGGTCAATCTACGTATCAGGAAGTCAGCTAACCAAGAGAGTTGTGGTGGAGGTGTTGCTTTGCAATCTGAAGAAAGTGCATTATGTCTACTGACGTAGAATGTGCTCTGATTTGCTGTGTAGTTCTTCAGTTTTTCCTCTGTATATTTGGTTGAATGTCTCCCTGCTATGTACAAGGCCTGAAGTATGACAGACAAAACTAAAATTATACCTTGATTTTGTTCCATGTTATCAGGGGAGCAGGGAAAGTCAGGCCTTGTCTCTGAGGGAATGGTGGCACATCAAGAGTCAAGATCAGACCCAAATCCCAAGAGGTATCTGGGCAGATCAGAAGTTATTGACTAGACAGGCATTCTAATGAGTAGCTGGACCAGAGGTAGGCTACCTAAGGCCCGTGGACCGGATGCGGCCCAATTGCCTTCTCAGTCTGGCCTGCGGACGGTCAGGGAATCAGCGTGTTTTTACATGAGTAGAATGTGCCCTTTTATTTAAAATGCATCTCTGGGTTATTTGTGGGGCATAGATTCGTTCATTCCCCCCCCCAAAAAATATAGTCTAGCCCACCACATGGTCTAAGGGACAGTGGACCGGCCCATGGCTGAAAAAGGTTGCTGACCCCTGAGCTAGACTTTCCATGTTTCTGTTTAAAAGCGTGGTGGGTAGGTGCAGCCAGTTGTTGATCATGGAATCCTGAACCCTGGCCTTAGCCCTGAACTGCATTTGGAGAACTCTGGAGCACCGTTCCTAAGCTGGTTTTTATCGTAGCCTCATCGCTAGTGCCCAAGGGCACCTGAACTAATTTCTGTTTGTCTCCTGTTGCTGAATTTGCGCCGTCAGTCTGCTAGATGAAAGCTTGGCTTCTTTACTTGCAAGAAAGTGCACCTGTCATTGTTCTTGGACGGGAGCAGAACAAGCAGTGTTTAGGTTTCCACGTTGTTTTGAAAAGTGCAAATTAAGTAGGTTCATTTCTGCATTCCTGTACATACAGAAATCACGTTCGCCTCCCGGTGGGTGGCATCATCAAGGGGCTGCGAGGAAGATGAAAATATCCCAGGAGAAGGCCTTGAAGGAGATGGAAAGGCAGCCTGATCTGCTTTGGCAATCCCTTCCATCTTGCAAAGGAGCTCCTCTGCTTTCCCCTCCTTCGAAGAGCCGCTTTCCCCAACTGGATATTTTTTAAACAAACGAGACCCGAGACTTTCATTAGACTCTCAGGCTCATAGGCATCCATCATTTTACAATCCAAGATCTGCAACTCTTCATCCGGTAGATGCCGTGCGGCTGTTGCCGAGAAAAGAATCCAGCGTCTGCATTAACGCTTTTCAACTTCTACTTTTCGTCTGGCACAGATGGATGATGCAGAACAAGAGGTTAAAGAGGTGAAGAAACAGAAACGTGGCAAAGCGCCTGTGTAGCAATCGAGACTAGCGCTCCCCTTCAGAATGGCCACTTCATCTCTCCATTTTATTTGCGGCACTTCCAGCATCTTCTGCCCCTCCCGTGGGCCAACATTCGTTAATGTGTTTGGCTTATTTGGTATGTTTCTCTTCTCACAACACGACTGCTCCTTCAGCTATGTCTCAGGTGGTTCGTTCCTAGCTAGCTGGAAAATTCAGGACAGGCAAAAGCAAACAACTTCTTCACACGGCGCATAGTGAAATGATGGAACTTGCTCCCAAAGGAGGCCATGATGGCCAACAAACCAGATGTCTTTAAAATGGATTACAGTGGATGCTCAGGTTTTGAACGTGATCCATGCGGGAGGCACGGTCGCAACCCACAGCGTTCGCAACCCGCAGCGCTGCGTCTGCGCATGTGCGAGTTGCGATTCGGCGCTTTTTCGCATGCACAAAGCACTATTTAGCGCCTCTGAGCATGTGTGACCGCCAAAACCTGGAAGCAACCTGTCCCTGTACTTCTGGGTTTCGGTGGGTCTGTAACCCCCCCAAAAAACGCAACCTGAAGCGTCTGTAAACTGAGGTACGACTGTACAGGTATTCATAGAAAATAAGGCTGCCTACTCTCCACAACTGGTATTTGGAACAAACGAGTTTGGTTTAACAAAGTTCACAGAATTAGTTCAAGAATCTCTGAACTACAATTGAAAGTAGGTCCCGTAAGTGACATAATGTGAAATAAGTTCATTTTGCGGTTGAACTTTGAGTGGTATCCGGTTCATCTTCAAGTTTACTCGCTTACATGTTTCTCTTTTCATATCACCTCACACCATCGAAGCCAACTCCTAGGGCCCTAGGGCCCTTCATCCCCCCCATGAAACATTTGAGGGGGCCACCCCCTGCAAATTAATGGCCATTGCCATTCAAATGGTGTGTGCGTGCCACATTGTGTAATCGATTATGTGGGCTAGAGCTTACCTGCCCCACCAAATATTTTATTCAAGTTGGCATCCCTGCCTCACACCGTTACCCTGGTAACCTTCTGTCTGCCCAGGCCCAAGAATTCCTCTCAAATGGGCCATCAACACCTTTTGACATGTTAATGCCTCTATCCCTGGTGAGGTTTTGGCTTGGAAAGGAAGCTTAGCCTGTATTTTTCCACTAGCCTCCAATCTTCCCTTCAGTACTCCAAATAATCAAAATCCTACCATTTATTAATTTCTAGGGTTTAGAGGGGTGTCCCCCGCCCAACTCACAACATGTTGGATCCCTCCACTACCCCATTGCGTCTAATGGTTATTGCGTCTAATGGTAGGACCAGCTCTGCTGGCTGGTGCCCCCCCATCCTGCACTTTTAAACTGCTCATTATGATGACGGATGTGTGTCTCTGTGGCTTCTGAATTCTGCACTGAGGCCTGCTAAGCTCCCTGGTCGGTTCACACGGTGGTGGAGGCATCTAATGAACGGCTAGTGACTCTCTCTCTCTCTCCCCCCGCCACCCACTGCCGGCAAAACACAGAGGACACAATTAGAGATGGAATCGCCTTATTACCATGATAATCGGCTACAAAATAAAAGTGTTGGGGCAGAAGGTAATGTAATATCCAAGAGTCTCCAATTCAGGGAGGCTATAAGGAGGAAATGGAATAATCTTCCGTTTTTTGAAAAAAATGAGGGCAGCTCGACTCTGAAAGGGAAGGTCGTTTGGCTTCTTGCCACAGAGATGAATTGAGGGACATTTACTGCCACTGCTTAACATTAATTTAGCTCCTGCCTTGGGCTTGAGAATGCAGGAAACAGAAGCAGGGCAGGGGAAATAGCAACCTTCCCCTCTGCAGATAGGTAGCTGCTTAGGCACCAATATTCTTCCTGTGTTCCATTCTCATCTCGTTTTGTCCCTTTTGCATTGCCTCCCTGGCCCAGATAACCATCTCCACGCATTTCTCTCGCACAAATAACCTCTCCTTCTATGAATTGTATGCTTGAGCGGTTTACTAGGGCTTTTCTTTGTTATTAATAGTCATCCAGTTTGCAGCACCATAGAAGGGCAGAGTTGGAAGGGACTACTAAAGTCATCTAGTCCAACCCCCTGCAATGCAGGAATCTTTTGCCCAGTGTGGTGATCAAACCCGCGACCCTGAGATTAAGAGTCTCATGCTCTACCAACTGAGCTATCCCAGACCTGCATGTCTTCCTAATATGTATTATGCCATGCAGTGGAGGGGGGGGGGATGCTCGCAGCTTAATACTGGGCAGTAAATTGAGTGCCGGCTCCAGATTTAATTATTTAATTATTAGATTTCTTACCTGCTGATGGGCATCCGTGGGCAGGGGTTCATTCAAGGAACCTGCTTCTATTCACACAGACTTGCTTTATATAATGTATATCGGAAGGTCGGCAGTTTGAATCCCTACGATGGGGTGAGCTCCCGTTGCTCTGTCTCAGCTTCTGCCAACTTAGCAGTTTGAAAGCACACCAGTGCAAGTAGATAAATAGGTACCACTGTGGCAAGAAGGTAAACCGAGTTTCCATGCGCTCTGGCTTCCATCATGGTGTTCCATCATGCCAGAAGTGGTTTAGTCATGCTGGTCACATGACCTGGAAAGTTGTCTGTGGACAAACGCCAGCTCCCTTGGCCTGAAAGCAAGCTGAGCACTGCACCCCATAGTTGCCTTTGACTGGACCTAACCGTCCAGAGGTCCTTTACCTGTAAGTATTACGCCAAGATATATATGCAAAGGACTTTAAATACTCTACAATGTTCTGTGAACCACTCTGAGATCTTATGATGAAGGGCAATGAATGAATGAATGAATGAATGAATGCTATATACATGCTAGCTGTTATAATCATAATCATCATTTTCTTCCTACATAAAAGTGCTTTCTGTGCAGCAATTTTATCACCTTTACAGCACCCTCTAATTATTTCCAGCCTTCTCCAGCTATACCTCTCTTCGGGGCATTAAAGCAGCCTTCTTGGTTTAGGGTAGGGTTTCCCAAACTTGGGTCTCCAGATTATTTTGGACTACAATTCCCATCCTCCCTAGCTAGCAAGACCAGTGGTTAGGGATGATGGGAACTGTAGTCCCAAAAACAGCTGGAGACCCAAGTTTGGGAAACCCTGGTTTACAACATCCACCAACCCATCACCAGTGATCCAGCTCAACAGCTGTTTGGCAAACAGTAAATCCCTTCCTTACTTTATTTGGTAAATCCAGGCACTTCCTTTTCTGGCAGCTCTAATTCATCCTTTTCAAGGACAAGGTACAAAGAAAGGATCAGAAGCCCTCTTGCAGTTCCCATGTTTATAGGTATGGATCCAAACTATTGGCCTGGTTTACACATAACACTTAGCCCTGGTTTATTAAACCCTGACCGGCAGCTAAACTCTGGCCTCTCTAATACTAACAAACCATGATCTGTAGCTATGGTTTGTTGTTGGCTAACACACCTTGGTTTGTTTATGGCATGGTGTTGCGTGTGAACCCTTCCTTAACCATGGGCACCCTATTCCAGAGGTTGGCCAATCTACAAAGGTACAAGGCGAGAGCTGCTGAAAATTGAGACAAACTTTGAAGAAACAAACCATGGTTTCTTTTGTCATCTGTGGGATGGCTCCTGCTTAACTTGTTTGTAAAACAAACAACAACAACAACAACAACAATAATAATAATATTTTATTTATATCCTGCCCTCCCCAGCCGAAGCCGGGCTCAGAGCGGCTAACATCAAATGTATAATACATTAACATAAAATCAGAACCACAGCTTAGCATTATGCACAAGCCAGACCATGGCTTTCCTCTGCAGAGTGTTACAAAATGCACCATCCTTTAACAAGCCCCCACCCACAAGAAAAAAGAAAATAATGCTATGCTATGCCATAACATAACATAACATTACAGCATCCGCAAAAACGGCAGCTGTCCCTTGGAGATGCACGATCCACACAGTGCATTTCAAACTATCCCCGTAAAATGTTTTGCTACACTAAAGATGGCAGATGCAGTCCTTTAGGGTGAGTTCATATTTCTCTCTCAGCGGCGCGACCATACATCACAGCGTCTCTGTTCATTTGGGTCCCCGCTTTGAGAATGAGTCATCTTCCTCAGAAGCACTCTGTTGGCAAAGAGAGAGAGAAGGAAAGAGGGAGGCAGGGAGAGAGAAGAGAAGTGAGTTTTATTAACCACCAGAGAATCCACTTTTAGGAGCACACTTTTAATCCCAGACTCAAGAGCCGGCTATTAATACACTTCAGCAAGGAAGAAACAATTCTCAGAACTGCTGGATGGTGAAGCGATGGCTGCTGTATCTACCTAATCCATGGCAGAGAGAGAGAGAAGATTTTATCTGGGGTAGAAGCTCAGCGACAGAAGTAGCGAAATGAGAACACTCTTTCCAATTTAAGGTTGTTTACCGCCCCCCCCCCATCGCATTCCACCTTCCAAGCTCTTCGAACAATAAGGGCATAGGAAGCTGTCTTATCAAGCCATTAGTCCATCTAGCCCATGGGTAGGCAAACTAAGGCCCAGGGGCTGGATCTGGCCCAATCGCCTTCTAAATCCGGCCCACAGACGGTCTGGGAATCAGTGTGTTTTTACATGAGTAGAATGTGTGCTTTTATTTAAATGCATCTCTGGGTTATTTGTGGGGCATAGGAATTTGTTCATTCCCCCCCCCCCCAATATAGTCCGGCCCCCCCACAAGGTCTGAGGGATAGTGGACCGGCCCCCTGCTGCAAAAGTTTGCTGACCCCTGATCTAGCTGACTGGTGGCAGCTCTCTGGGGTTTCAAACAAGAGTCTTCTTCAGCCCTTTCTACATGCAAAGTAGATGCTAGTTTATTGGGGATATGATTTTCTCAAGGCCGGCCCTTTCATCAGGCAGAGTGAGGCAGCCATCTCAGGTGGCAAATGCTAGGGGGTGGGCAGCAGAGGCATCTGTTTTTCCATAACTCCCTGGCCAAAGCATTCAGTTGAAGGACAGACTGTGTGTGCCACGAAGCCTGGTCTGCCCCTCTAGAACTGGCCCGCTCCCCTCAGGTGCAGTGAAGGAGACTATTCCATTGACTGCCCTGACGTAAGAGTCAACGGCCAGTCCAGTCAGCTTCCATGCCTGCCATGGGGAGAGTGAAGCGCCATCTTTGCCTCAGGTGGCAAAAGGCCTTGAGCCAGCCTTGGTTTCCTCCTGCTCTCCTTCAGAATTCTCTTAAGCTGGGTAACATTACTGCTTACTCTGGCTCCAGGATACGCCCACCTCTGGTGCATGAAGCCATGTACTCAAGATGTCACCCACTATCCAAATCTATCTATTCTTGAGAAACGCCACTGCCTGATGTCTTTCCCTTCAAACCAGCTTCCATCCGATTTGAAAAACGAAAGCCACATTCACTTCGCGATCAAGTTGAGGTGTGTACATTTGAAGCATTCGTTTTGCAAGTATAGATGACAGCACATGTGCAGATGGGAGCGTCGTGAATAGGATTTTGGGATATGTGTGTACACTCCCAACCCCTCTCTGTACTGGCTCCCACCCCTGGACAAAAGATTCACCCTCATTTCAGAAAATCTCAAAGTTTTATTTAAAAATTTAGTACATGATCTTGGCCTCAGCTCAAGGTTCAGGTTACACAGTTCAAAAGGTGCAGGGACAGAGACTAAGATACATGACCAGGAGTAAGTGAAGACCGTGTCCCAACACATGACCCGTGTCTCCTGTTCGACTTTTAAAGGGATGGGGTAGGGTACATCATTTGTGTGGTTCTTATCCCAAGAGAGAAGACAGTGTTTGCAGTCATGTGCCCCCCCCCCCAGGATGTGTGTATCTGTTTGTGCCTGTGCTGACAACAATGTGCCCTTGGCAATGAGACTCAAGTCCAACCCTCTGAATTGGTCTGTGAGCATTTAGAAAAGGATGCTGTGATTACTAGGACCCAGCATGGTCTTCTCAAAAAGAGTAACAGAGTTAAAAACAGAGTAATAAGCTGGGTGGATCAGGGGAATGCTGAGGACATAGTATATCTTGATTTCAGTAAGGCTTTTGACAAAATCTCCCATGATTTTCTTGTGGAGAATCTGGTAACATGTGGGCTGGATGAAGTAACTGTGGATTTGTAGCTGGTTGACCGACCGAGTCCCATTGTGCAAATGGAAATTGTTCTACTTGCACAGTTATTTAGTGGAATATTGTCCATAGTGTAGTTGTGATCCCATGGACCTCTATGACATCACCTCCTGCGAGGAGCAAGCAGTGGGGAAACACATGACCTGTTCTGGAATTAATCTCTATGAACTAGCTCCTTTGGCAACAGATTGCCTGTACATGGCCATAACAGAGCCAGACATGTTTGACCTCTTTAGCAGTCTCTTTTTGCAGCCAGAATCACAGGGTAGCGGATAGCTCAGTTGGTAGAGCATGAGACTCTTAACCTCAGGTTCATGGGTTCAAGCCCCACGTTGGGGGAAAGATTCCTGCATTTCAGGGGGTTGGGATAGATGATCCTTGCGGTCCCTTCCAACTCTATGATTCTATTATCCATACTCTGGTTGGAGGGGACCCCCCAAACCCACTTAGCCAACCCCAACCTCATCACAAGATATCCTTTTAACAGCTCCGCATTTCCATTTAGATGAGGTTTATTCCCCAGGCTGCTCCTTCTGCCACTCCCGTAGTTCACCTTGTCTTTGAGATCAGTTTGCAGATATATACTGGGCCTCCGATGCATCCTGCGCACATAAAATAACTCCCAAATTCTGTGCTCAAAGGAGAAGGGTGGAGATGCCTCACAGTTTATGATATTTGGAGAAAAAGAATATCCAAAAGCTTGAAAATTGCACGGACGAGGTTAGGATCAGGAATGATGATTTCCCAAAGAGAATTAGAGTCAGAGAGCTTGGTTGGAGGAGACCTGGGCTCCCAGAAGCAGGATCACTGAGATGGTGTGGGGCAGGGCAGCGGTCCTGTGATTCGGGTGCACCAGCAGGAATCCTGGATGGGCTCTGTTGGCATTCCGGTGATGCTGCTACAGGGGACCAGGACCACGATGATGCCTCTTCTCACCAGCCTTTCTTGGTTCTTGGGTATACCCAGTGCAGGTATCCCAGCTAGCAGGCGAAAGAGGCAGTGTCCCAGCTAGGGCTGAGTCTCGCCACTGAAGTCCACCCTCCCATCCCAAATGACTACCCAGAGAGCAAGGGATGATGGGGGCAGCAGGAAACTGATGCTGATCACTGCAGCATCCTTCCTTTCTTCTTCAGGGCTGGGCATGGGCTTGTTTCCCCATGCTCATTTTATTACTTTTGGTTTTAAATGCTGTACCATCTTTTTCTACAACAAACAGTGCTTATCCCCAAGTAAATATGTTCAACATCAGGGCAGCAGAAGCAGCTGTGATAGTGCTATTATTTGAGGGACTTTCAAATGCAAAACTGTACATGCTCAGAGTATTTATTTATTTTATTTTTTGCATTTTCTTTCTTTCTTTCTAACATACCAAGGAATGTTGAAGTAGAAGAGAAATGTTAATTGTGTGCTTTGCAACTGAGGCCAGGGTCTAAAATGACCTAGCTGCAGTGCTGTGGTCAGAAAGCCTTTCCTCACCCCAAACACCTGCATGAAATATCTGTGTTCATTAGAAAATAAAGGACAGCTTTCAGCATCCTTCCTGCATGTTTACCGGGGCCCTGAGGAGACACAGAGGCAGCTTGAGATCACAGGGAACAACTCTTATCTGATCTTTCCCTGCAAACACTCAATAATAGACAGCCCTTGAAATTTCTCAGTTGTGCTCTGAGGCAAGAATCAAACTGGATACCGCTGGGGTTTCCTTTGTAGAATGATAATAATGCTTTAAAAGGTCAAATGCATATGTGAGAATTCCCCAAGAAAGTCAAGAGTGGCAAAAGATGAATGGCGTTAATCTAACGGCAGAGGAGTAAATCTCCTGTTTCATGATGTTGATATTGCTATTGATGCTAGGATAACATTTCATCTGAAAGTCATTTTATTATCATTTGGGGGGGGGGGTTGCGCTGCTGGGTATTTTTTCTTTCTTTCTTCTCTTTTTCCTTTTTGCTGTTGTTTGATACGTCTGTTTTGTGTGTGTCTGTGTGCCTGAAAGATGGAACTGTCCTAAGTGTTTGTACCTTTTCTTTTATGATCCAAATAAAGTACAAGAACAGAGCAACAGCCGCAAGAGCCCAGAAGATGGCACTGGAGTCGTGTCTTTCTTCCTCAACTTCTCTGGGAAACTGATTCCAGTGATAGCATTTTATGAATGTTAATTGCTTAGCAGCACAGTGCAAGACCTGTAGAGATTGGGCATCTTCTCCAACTGATCTATCCGCCTGTTTGAGGAGATAATAAAAGGCCCTAACAATAAGCATGTTTCAAGGCATCATGCATGGTTTTCTTAACATGCTGCTCAAACATCAGTTTTGCTCTCAGTTTCTTAACCTGCAAATCAGTACAGAATGTGCTTCCAATGTCTTTGTTGGTGTTTGCTCACTTCTTCGGCTGAGCCTAAAATCCTATAGATTCCCAGCTCTACTTGGGAGTTGCTGGGGAATGAACCTGGGACCTTTTGCATGAAAAAGAAATGCTCTACAACTGAGCCAAAGCAATTCTGAGTCTAAATGTATAGAATTGCACTGCACGTGTTCATCTTCCACATGTTGAAATAATGCATTCAGGGGGCTGTAAAGAGCCCCCTAACAATGTGTACCTTGTAGCCATCTTTGTTTGAATTCATTTTTCTGCGCCCATCTCCCTTTATGTGCTTGTTATTTCAGCTCATGGTGCTGTTATTAAAGAGTTGACCAGATATATAATGCCAAGGACAGGGGCTTTCATTCATCATAAAAAACCTAAATTGTCTCGCTTTCCCCACTGGTGATGTGATGTGTGTGCAATGTATGTTGGACTGGAAGACATATTTGAGGGTTGGACTGGAAGACATATTTGGGGCATACCTGCAAGTGCCCTGAAAAAAAATCCCAGTTCCCCCTGCGAGAGCATGGTGGCCATTTTGGGCACCGTGATTTTGCAGTTTCGCACCAAGATCTCGCTCCAAAAAATGCTTTTTCGGGGGCGCAATCTCACACAGCACCCCAAATGTATGTGGTGCAAACAGATTTTTATTCTGAAACTGCAGACCGTCCAAGTGTATCTATTTTCCAGGGATGTCCCTGATTTACAGAAGCCATCCCGGTTTCTGATTTGATCCCAGAATGTCCCGCTTTTCCTTAGGAGAAATGTTGGAGGGAATGGAGTTATCCAACCCCTGAGCCAACTGGAGGTAATCCTGTATAGGGATTTATTTATTTTTGTAGTGTTTAAGTCTTTATTATGTTTTTGTATGTGTTGGAAGCTGCCCAGAGTGCTGGGGCAACCCAGTCAGATGTGTGGGGAATAAATAGTAAAATTATCATTAAGAATGGGATGTCCTTATTTTCATCGAGGAAATGTTGGAGGGCATGAAAGTGTGGCCCAGAGGAAAATAAGTTTGAGCACCATAGAAAGAGAGGCTGCTAAAGTGGTCAGACCAGTCTCTTTGTTGTTGTCGTTTAGTCGTGTCCGACTCTGTGACCCCATGGACCAGAGCATGCCAGGCACTCCTGTCTTCCACTGCCTCCCGCAGTTCAGCCAAACTCATGTTAGTAACTTTGCGAATACTGTCCAACCATCTCGTCCTCTGTCGTCCCCTTCTCATTGTGCCCTCAATCTTTCCCAACGTCAGGGTCTTTTCCAGGGAGTCTTCTCTTCTCACGAGGTGGCCAAAGTATTGGAGCCTCAGCTTCTGAGGAGCACTGTCCTTCCAGTGAGCACTCAGGGCTGATTTCCTTCAAAATGGATAGGTTTGATCTTCTTGCAGTCCATGGGACTCTCAAGAGTCTCCTCCAGCACCATAATTTAAAAGCATCCATTCTTCGGCGATCAGCCTTATTTATGGTCCAGCTCTCACTTCCATACATCACTACTGGGAAAACCATAGCTTTAACTATACGGACCTTTGTTGGCAAGGTGATGTCTCTGCTTTTTAAGATGTTCTCTTTGTTAAGCTAGCATTATATGTTAAGTATCTCTTGCAAAGAGTAGATAGAGCTGACTGGTTTGCCACAGAAACTACAAGATGGAGATGCTCAAAGAAGCCTTCCCCATCTTGCCTGGGTGGAGGTGATGTCACTGGTGAGTGTAAGGAATCAATAGTCCGTATAGTCTGCAGGAGGGGGGAAAACAGAAGCCTGAATCTGTGCTGAAACCAAGAGCCTCCCTAGAAACCTAACGGGAGAGCATTATCTGCTGAAGTCCTAATACAGTGAGCACTTATGTTCAGCCTAGATCTATGAGCACATTAAACCATATATCATCAAGACACCACCATCTCCAGTGACCTTCATTCCACACTTGAGGTTAGTGCCGGCACCCCGAAATCTCTCGCCGCTTGGAGATTGGGGGTGTCCATCACAATACGATCTGAAAGATAAGAAATTGCCATGAGGCACTGTGATGTGATGAGCAGAAGGACTCTGATTGCCTGTTAGTGGCCTATTCAGCCTTGACCATGATAATGAAGTCACCTCCAATTGCACTGATGAGAGCTACAGATGAGAATTTCCTATGTATTTTGTTATAACTGCAAATCACTTTGGAGTGTCTCTGGTTGTGTGGAGTGATGTATACAAATAGTGAATTAAGCTAATCCTGACCCCAGCGGGATGGGGAGTTATGTGACCCCCCCATTAATAATCAGTTTTTCTCCCCAGAGGAATCTTGGAAAACTAGTTCTGGGCAGAGGGAAAAGGATTTCAGACAAAGAATTCTCAGTAGCCACATCGCCAAACTACAATTCCCAGAATTTTTTATTTTTTTGGGAGGGGGGAGTTTTGGTACGAGGTTGATATAAAATAGTAGTGCACAAATCGATTTATTTATTAGGAAATGTATAGCATACCTCTCCATTCCAAGAGTCCCCAACAGATACAAAATGTACAATGAAGCAAAACAAATACAGAGAAACCAAGAGTGCAAAAACAGAGCAATGCTAAAGCCACCTATTGCATTGAGGTGAAAATGAAAAGCAACTCAAGTACAAGATTAAATAAAACCAGAATGCAGGGGTAGGGAACCTGTGGCCAGCTAGTAGCATGGCCAATGGTTAGGGATGATGGGAATTGGTAGTCCAGCAACATCTGGGGAGGGGGCACAGGTTCCCCAACCCTGGCCTAAAGGTTAAAAAGGAGGGAGCTAATCCTTCCACAAGGTTGGTGCCACTATGAAGAAGGCCCTGTCTACGTCCCGGGCAATGTTGCAAGTTGAGGGCAGGCAAACTCAGTCACTGAAAACTCAGTCACTCAATATTGATCCACAGCAGATTTCAACGTATAGTTAGCAGATTAAAAACTTAAACATGTTGCAGGATTCCCCCCAGAATAGACCAGATGAAATTAATATTCCATCCAGCAGAGCTTTTCTGGTACTGAAGGCAAATGAGCATAATGGACACAAATCCAATACGTTCAGGATTGGCACTTTCTATAGGAAATCCAGTTGCAGCAGACTTCACTTAAACTTACAATAACTTATAATAAGTCTAAACCTTAACACTAAGCATACTATGTGCAGAACACCACACCAGAAGGAAAAGAGATAGAGAAAGTGAAGCGCACGTTTCCTTCTGGCCTATTATTACAGTCAGCATGACCATGACAGAAGAGGTAACAGAACCAGTTTACACCAGCTGTACTCAGCTTCCCAGAAGGAATAACCCAAACATCATGAACCCTCTGCTTATTTCTTTCATGCAGAGAAGCTTCCAGAACCCCCTTGAAATAAGTAGATTAGGAAAGATCTCCACACATCAGATTAATACTTTCTGCACTAAGAAATGCAAACTGACAGACTCGTGGTAAAAGATGGTCCTTCAAGAAAGCAGAAAGGTGGGATATAAATGCATTAAATTAATAATAACAACAATAATAATGATTGCCATGTCCTGGGCCCTGCTAAGCCTTGACACCAGCTCTGCCAGCTTTTTATTTGCATGTTTGCGTTTGGATCTGCTGGAGCATAATCCTTCCTGTTCCAGCATTCTAATCCAAGACACACACCATTGAGAGGGTGTCAGTATTCATTCTTTCAAAGTGTACCCTTGTAGCTTCAAGTCTGTAGCACCAGCTGCTTTGTTTGGGGTGCAAAGGGGGCAGGCTTCCAAACTGGCGCTGGATCTGCTTGCCATGGTTGCAAGTCTCAACCCTCTCCCTACTTCTGGGCTCCATCCCACAAGGGCACTTTCCTCTTATTACTATTTCTTGTGCAAGACGGCTTTTCTGAATGCTGAAAAGATTCTTAGCATGAACTGTCATCCTGACAGATGCCAATCATCAAAAGAAAACTGCCTTGCACACCAATCAGGAGGGAACTTGTAACAGATTTTGCCCTGCAAGCGCAGCTGCTTTGCAACCTTCGTTGTCATCATTTTGATTTCTCTGCAAGAGAAGGAGCTGACCTGATCCAGTTTCTATTCCCCATTGCTGGTTGAACCTTTTTTGACTCAGGGTTCCTTTTGAGGGCCTTAATTTCTTTAGAGGTGCAAACCCATTCCTGGAATATATCACTTCGGGCAGCTGTTAGGGGATCGCATATCATAATGCTCCTTTATTATTATTATTATTATTATTATTAATACATTCCTGAGTAGACTGAAGGCAGCATCCATGGCTGACTGGCCTACCCTTCACTAGCATAGTGCAACAGCTTGCTAAGTCACTTGGACTCTAATAGTACCCAGGTAATTTTAATAATAATAATAATAAGTAATTATTAGCATGTTTAGTTGCCTGTTAATCCAGTTCTCCAGGCGACGCAGAGCAATCTAATTAACAAAAAATCTAAACACAAATTAGGTGGCAAAATATCAAGCCAGATTAAATGCACACCATCAGCACGAAAGTAATGACTAATTAGTCGAGATTAATTTAATGATTATTATCTTTAAATGACTAGAGATAAAGGGATTATCTCTAAATGGTTATTTTGCATTGTTTTTTTCTTTTAGGAAGTTATATTGATCTTTAAATCCACCGTCGTCCCTCCGCCCCCAGCAATTAATATGCAAATACGGGAGTGGGGTGGAAACCCACCCATCTCCTAGCAACGAGAAACCAACCGCGCACGCGCACGAGAACGGCCGAACCTTCCTCCCAGCTTGCTTCCCCCCAACGCATGCGCACTCCTCCTCCCTTTCCCGGACCAAAAGATGGTGGAGCCTAGCGGCTCATTCCTCCTCCTTCTCCGCCCCTCCCCTTCAGTCCCTTTTCTTGCACGCATGCGCAAACAGGTCCGGCAAGAAACTGCTCCTAATCCCCTCCCTCTCACTTCCTCCACCCCCGCCTCTCGATCCGGAAGCTCTCGTCGCGGGAGAGTGACGTGTAGAGGCGCTGGGCCGGCCGCTGCCGTGTAGGTTGTGGGAACCGGACCCACGTGAGGTGTCGCCGAGCGGCTGCCGTCGCCGTCGCGCTCGTGGAGTTGGGAGGAGGGGGGGCGGAAAGAGAGAGGGAGGCGGGTGTTTGCGGGGGCGGGGAGAGGCCCCTTTTCGCGGCCGGGATGCGCCAAGCGACAAAGGTACGGGCGGCTCGAGGGGCGGGTGGGGGGCGGGGTCCGTGTGTTTTGTTTCCCCTTCTCTTCACGCCCCCCCTCCCCATATTCTCCTCAGAGGTGAGGGGGCCGAGCAGGTTCGCAGGGGGTCGTGCCTGAGGGTGGGGGGAGGCTATCTGGCCTAGTCAGCCCCCCTGACCTGAGGGGCCGCGGGGGGGCGGCCTCCTGCTGGAAACCTTTCGATTCCTTCCTCATAACGGTGGTGTCTTTTTGCGGGCGGGTGGGCTCCCCCCCTTTTTTTTTAGTTTGGAAAGAAGGTGGGCCAGACGACGTGATAAGTTTTTATGCATGGCCGGAAAAGCTTTCCTTTCTCCCTCCCGCGTCACCGTGCCCGCCCCCCCCCGAGTATGTGGAAGGGCTTTCTTTTGTCTTCTGACTGGGTCATCACGTTTGTCGTTGCAAGGGACCGCGAGGGCCATCCAGCCAAACCCGCTGCAATGCAGGAGTCTTCTCTTTTTGCCCAAGGTGGGGCTGGATAGCTCCATCACTAGAGCGTGAGGCTTTTGGTCGTGGGATCGAGCCCCGTGTTGGGTAAAAGATTCCTGCGTGGCAAGGGGTTGGACTTGATGACCCTCGGGGTCACTTCCAACTCTCACGGTTTTATGGTTCTCTGATTCTAAGAGTCTCATGCTCTACCAGTTGAGATTGTTATTATTATTACTTTTAATAATAATAATAATAATAATAATAGAAGAACCTGAGGCTATCCAGTCTCAAGATAAAAGAAAGCTCTTCTGCACACACAGGGGCATAGTTAACCCTGGGATTCACTTCCATGGGAGGTAGTGGTGACCCCAACATGGCTTTAAAAGACGATAAGGCAGAGTCATGATGGGGTGGGATAAGCCTACTAGCCAACCATGGCTGTGTTCTACTTCCCCTTTCAGAGGCAGCATGTCCCTCAGTGACATTTGCTGGGAGTCGCAAATGGGGAGAGTTGCTGTTGCAGCTGCGTTATGTCTTCAGGCTTCCCCATAGGGGCATCTGATTGGCTGCTGGGAGACCAGGATGCTGGGCTAGATAGACCATTAGCCAGATCCAGAAGGGCTCTTATGTGTGGGAACTGGCCTTCTTGGGGAGGGGTCAAGCTAGAGTAGAGAGGGTGTGTGCCTTGCTTCAAGAGCAGCCTTTCTCAAATTTGGGCCCCCAGATGTTGTTGGACTACAACTCTCATCATCCCTGACTACTGGTCCTGGTTGCTAGGAATGATGGGAGTTATAGTCCAACATCGTTGGGGGACCCAAGTTTGAGAAAGGATGTTCAAGAGGGTGCAGCACTTCTCTTTTTGCAAAGCAGTTGAGGTTTTCCCATGGGAACGGGGCCGTTGAGATGTGCCTGGGAATTTGCTGTTGCTAAGCAAGTGGGTGCATTTCTTTAGTGCTACTCCTGGGACAAAAATGTTTTGTGATTTTGCCGGCTCTTCATTAGAGAGAATGGGAACAGTTAAAGGTGGAGCGGCAGCAGAAACTAATCATATAGTGAGAGGGAAAGATGTGGAAATAATGTTTATATCCTACCCATCAAAATATATGACGTTCAAGAGAATATAATAATATAGATAATAATAAAAGATAACTACCCCCAAGTGTTGACAACCTACTTTTATTTGAGATGAGGGGAGATGGAAAGATGAATATGAAACGAGGGATGACTATGAGGCAGTATGTTTACGTGTGCCTAGACACGCTGACAGGTGAGAATGTGGATTAAGATGCTAAGTCAAAGGATTCACAGGGAAGGTGAGCTTTCGGGAAGATCCTGAAGAGAGAGCGAGTACTATGAGCATGCAGGTAGACTGATGCTATGAAGTATTGTGTAGTGCATAGCAAGGACTATAGGGTTCATAGTTTTATAGGGTAAAGGAGTGTATGAAGGGATGTGGGACTGAATTCCTGTATTCTGGTTTTATTTTTTATGCATGAGATAAGCGAAAAAGCTTTCCTGCATAGTTTCACCAAAGGCAGAGATGTTTTGCTCATGCACACTGCAAGGGAAACAGCTGAGTATGTCCTCAGATACTTGCAAACATTTATGTCCTCAGGTGTATTCAAGCATTTGTTCTTCATTCAAAGAAATGCTAGAAACAATACCTTTATCCCTAGCTCATAATACTAGTACTTGAGGTTATCAGTAGGATATTCAGGACAGACAATTAATTTTTCCACACATAATTTTATGCAATTGGGCTGCTACGAGCTACTGTGGTGACTGCTAGTTTAGATGGCTTTAAAGGGGGTTAGAGAGCCTTATTTTCCATAAATTGTATTTCTGGTTACTGGTCATGATGGCTGTATGAAGTCATCAGATTCAGAGACACTCTGCCATTGAATACCACCTGTTGGGGAGTGGCAGTGTGAGAGGACTGTTGCCTCCATGCCCTAGTTGTGGACTTCAGAGGCATCTAGGTGGCTCCTTGGGAAATGGAATGCTAGAACAGTGTTAGAAACAGAGATATGAAAGCTAGGAGCTAAATGGCCCTTTAAACCTAGGTTAAGGGCACAGCAATGGAATGTCTAGGCGTGCTTTTTTATAACAAGAATACAAAGCTGAAAATGAACTGCAACTATTATGTTCATTTGCACATGGTCTAGTCCTTCCCCTTCCTACCCCCCTGATATTCTTAAGAGGGTCTCTTCTCCAGTCTTCGGAGAGTAGGTGGAAACAAGGAGGCAGAAAAAGGTCGTCCTCTCCTTCCACTCTTCAGTTTAAATCTGAAATCTTAGGCACAGTACTGCATCCAAAGCTCAGAAACTGCTCACACTAATGAAATTCCCTGTCATAAAATGCTCCTAGAACAATGTGAGTTTCGAACACTCCGCTGGAATACATGGGCCTTTGATCTAATCCAGCACAGCTTTTCTTATGTCCAAACTCGTTTATCTGAAGTTTGCATCAATGAAAGTTTACTCTGTGTAGAGTTGGAAAGGACCCCAAGGGTCATCTAGTTCAGCCCCCTGCAATTCAGAAACCCTGCCTGCAGCCATCTGTGCATGGGCTCAAACCACCAACCTTCTGGTTAACAGCCAGATGCACTGCCCCATTGTGCCACAAGTGGCTTGTTAATGTCTCTTTGACTATTCCCAGGGTAAAGAGCCTGGTCATAGGCATGCTGTTTGTACTGAATATACACTAATACCTTCAAGAAGTATTTAGACATGAGCAGAGCAGGGAGCAATTATCTGTTGGCATTATATGTGATATAAAAACAACAGTCATAATCTCAGTGACCCCTTTGTCGTGGTGGAATTCTAGAAAGTGTAGTGAGTTCAGTAGTTATAACCTAATTCATACCGAAGCAAAACGCAAATTCTACATAATATCTGTCACGGTTTCTTCAGAATTGGATAGAAACGCTTGCTACATTTGGCTAAAGTAGCGTATATTCAACTCATGTTTGTGTCATAATGTATAATTCCAAAAAGGCCTTACTATTTTTGTAGCTTCTGTTGAGGAATTCTAACTTGGCTCAGAACACCTCTAAATCCTTGTTGATTCATTAAAAGATTTTGTTGCTCAACGCAAGGTGTTTAATTGGCTTCATAATCTTTACTTGTGCAAGCTGTTCTATGCCTGGCCAGACTACTTGTCCGTGTTGCCCAATATTGTCTACTCTTGACTGGCGGTGGCTCTCCTTGGCATCCAGCGGAGGTCTTTCCATAATATCATATATATATATTCTCTCATATATATATGTTACTTCTTTACAGTAATTTAACCTCTGCATTGCTGTGCTTTATTATTTAAAAATGTTAAGAAGAAGTTACTTGTGACTTCTTTATGGGTTACCATTGAGGTCTATGCAGATCAGAGATCTTTTAAAACAATAAGAATAAATATTATGAAAAAGTAACTTCAGTTACTGTTTGGTAGCAGTTCTGCTGGTTGGACCTTGAAGTACTTATAGGCATTCTTAAATTTGTGAAGTGTGTACTATAATTCAGATGTGCTTTGTTTATTGATATGTCACAGAAAGACTTTGAGTTTTAAGCGGTTCTTGATTAAACTAATGAGAACAGGAAGTTTTAAAGCAACATTTGCAAGATAATATGCAGGAATAATAACGGGATCAATAATGGAGTGCTTGTTGTTGTTGTTTAGTCGTGTCCGACTCTTCGTGACCCCATGGACCAGAGCACGCCAGGCACTCCTGTCTTCCACTGCCTCCCGCAGTTTGGTCAAACCTCTGTCGTCCCCTTCTCCTTGTGCCCTCCATCTTTCCCAACATCAGGGTCTTTTCCAGGGAGTCTTCTCTTCTCATGAGGTGGCCAAAGTACTGGAGCCTCAGCTTCAGGATCTGTCCTTCCAGTGAGCACTCAGGGCTGATTTCCTTAAGAATGGATAGGTTTGATCTTCTTGCAGTCCATGGGACTCTCAAGAGTCTCCTCCAGCACCATAATTCAAAGGCGTCAATTCTTCGGCGATCAGCCTTCTTTATGGAGTGCTACTTCTTTTCAAGTGACCTGCAGTTCTGTGCATTCTTGGAAATATTTTTTTCTGAAATGGAGGAGTGGGTTCTTCTGAGCAAATTTGTATAGGATGGGGATGTATGGGAAGTACAGAAAATCAATTGAGTGACTTGGGCTGGAAAGGAATGAGACATACAGAGTCCCTGCATTCTAGGATGCCCTAGGCCAATTTATACAGCTTATTGGAGGAGGGAAGAACAAGATTTGGGATCTTGCTGGTTTTAAGATGTTTGGACAGTCATGGCTCTGCTTTTCTGTATTTCCCTCCTTTTACAGGCCTCCTAGTTTCTTATTGAAAAATCTAAAGGACAAGAGTTATAAAGTTCTTTTGCAGAACATTATCGGTGTTGGTATGAGAACTTAACGCCTTTCAAGTCCATGTGCAGTGATGAACTACATGGCAGTGCATCTGTGGTGGAGGTGATGCAGGTGGGAAGAAGACAAAGCTGATGCAAGTTGTTCTTCCTGACTCCATAAACTGAGGCCTAACATGTAATTACAAGTCAGATTCATCTGACTTCAGGGATATATCTAGTTTACACAATAAAGACTGCTGAAAGAGCCTGGCAAAATGAAATTATTTAGGTGTGACCAACTAGATCTTCAGCTATTTAGAACTTGGGCAGGAGTCCTATACTTTGATGATCATGCTTTTCAAGGTACAGGAGAAAGGAGTGTGAAACTGAGGAGGAACAGATTGGGAGAATGGGGATAGTAGCTTCTATTGAGCATCCTTGAATGCAGCACCCAAGCATATTGTATATCTGAGTAAACAAATCTTTATTGGGGAAAAATATACTTTATATAAAATAACTTTTAGTGTTGGGAACTTGGTGCAGAAGGACAAGAGTGCATAGTGCTCCACCAGCAGAGATTGATTCAGCAAGAAGTGCACCACCAGTTTTGCAAAGTACCATATTTTTCGCTCTGTAAGACACACTTTTTCCCTCGTGAAAAGTAAGGAGAAATGTGTGTGCGTCTTATGGAGCGAATGCAGGCTTCACAGCTATCCCAGAAGCCAGAACAGCAAGAGGGATCGCTGTGCAGCGATCCCTCTTGCTGTTCTGGCTTCTGGGATTCAGAATATTTTTTCTTTTGTTTCCCTCCTCCAAAAACTAGGTGCATCTTATCCTCTGGTGCGTCTTATAGAGCTAAAAATATGGTAAGTTCACTGAATACTATGAAGATCTACAGAAATTCTCTTGCTGATGCAGTGAACAAAATAACAAAGCAGTATGAGGAGTATTCAGTTATTTAGGGTGGGATAATAACATGCAGCGCCCCTGTGACCCCAAAATGTTTGTGTGATTATAGAGTAGTCCTCCCCACCCCACCCCTGTTATATTCTGTATGTTAAAACCTCATTCCTCCTCTGTGTGCAGTGTTACATACCTGAATATGTTTTAGTATTTAAACCCATTTTGATTGTTTTTGGATTGAATCGGGATTTCCCTATGGCAATGGTTATTGCAGAGGAAGGATGAAAAAAATTACCCACCTGCTGTGCCAGTCAGAAACAATATTTCTTCAGTCTGTTTTGTACCAGCAGTCTTATTTGTGCCAAGCGTTGCATGGGAATTATAAGACACCCCCCCAAAAAAAATCAGTGCAGTTTTGAAAGCTTTAGTTTACATTACCATCATGATTCAAAGTGGTGTCCAAATATATCAGAGCATGGATAAAAACCTACCCATTAATCTTGGGAAGAGTCATGCAAAATTTGGTTAAAAGATGTCCAAATTAGTAGCAAACAAAATATCCCGAATATGTGTTAGATTATGTTGATTATCCTCTCTAGGAAGTTCTGCTGCACATATACTTGTTTCAATACTTTCTCATTTTCACGATGATTAAACTACTTAAAGTAGCAAAAACCGCTGATTAGCAATTGTTTTCTAGTCACATCTTTCCAGTTTGCCCCCTGGCACTGAGTAAGTTGTCCACTTCTGCTTTTGGAGTTTGCCTTTGTTGCTTTTGTCACTTGCCAATGATGCGGTCAGCCCTTAAATGTTGGTACTAGAATAAAATGTCTCGTTTGCAGTAATGTCTTGTGCAGCACATACAAGTCTCCTAAAAACAAAACACTGATGTGATATAGTTTTAACTTTTAAATGTGTAAAATGAATTGATTTTGTGCAGTTCATGGTGTCAGCCAAAACTCCTGATGCTCTGCCCTTCTGTGGATAGTATATTGAAGCTTTTATTGTCACGAAAGCTTCCAAAAAAGAAAAAGTGTGGACAAAACTCTAGGAAGGCTTCAGTAGCCTCTTTGAATGTACGGAACTTTCCATGCATAAGAATTTCTGCTGCTCACTGTTGTCTGAGCAGTGAAAACAGAGGCTAATGAGTTGAACTTTCTGTTCTGTTTGTGCTTCTATCTTCATGCTTTGTTGCGGTTTTTGGTACTGGCATGGGAAATGGGGGAAAGAGCAGCAGCAAGCCATTTTAATGTTAATAGTATGTGCATACTCAGAACCCTTTTTCCCACCCCTAAGCAGAGTTAGACAAAACAATGCCCTTTTCCAGATATTGTTCGACTCCAGTGCCTATTGTTCTTGGCTATTGGCTATACTGGCTGGACCTGATGGGAGTTGAGAATCTAAAGCAACCAGACAGGCAGTGTTAGAAACTGGGATGGAAAGCTGTTCACCACATGGCTCCTGGAACCTGGGTTATATGTGCAAAAACAGAATGGCTAGTTGCCCCCCCCCCCCAATGTAGCAGCACTCTCTATTTATTTTTTTGTAAAGAATTTATTTGGTTCCTTTTGCAATTAGTGGTATTTGGAGGGTTGTAACCAGCCATAGCAAAACAGGTTATACAGAGAGGACAGTAACACACAGTGAAATTCATGACTGAGTGGGGATTTGAACCCGGGTCTTCTAGGTCCTAGTCCTACATAGTCCAGTGTTAGAAACCCAAGATATATAAGGTAGGGGCCAAATGGCTCCTTGAACCAACGTTTCAGTCACCAAAACGGAATGCCTAGTCTTCTTTTTCAAATGATGGACAGACTGTGATTGATTCTCAGTTAAACATCTGGATAGTTCAGATGACAGCCTTGAGCTACGTTAGGAACTTTGAGAACTTAAAGAAGAAAAGTCACGTAATCCAGGGAAAGTCCACACACATATACATTGGCCTATTCCTACCTCTCTTTCTTAATGGTGACACAGACCATTCATAACGTAATAATATTCTTCACAACTGTGAGCAGGGCGGTGGGGTAATTGAAGAGAAGCTACACCAATTAGCTATAATTTGTTCACTGCTCCTGCTCAGTGTGCACAGAAAAAGCATTTGGGCTCGTGACATTCATTCTGATTGTTCAGATAAAATATAACTTGATAGAATTCTACAGGATGGGGTAGAAGTGTGTGAAAACAGTCAGGATTCAATGATTTCCAGAAATGCACCTCCAGATGGTGGAGATGCCAGGCTCTTTTGTTGCCTATAAGAGGGCTATTATCCTGCCTATGTACTGTCTTATGGTTCTTGTTCTCAGTTTGGTTCTGCAGCAATATACAGTATAGTCGTGATGCCTATATACTCCCTCCAGGTTCAGACAATATGCCTCTGAATACCAGCTGCTGGGGAACAGCTGTGAGAGAAGGCAGTTTTATCAACGTTCTACTTTTGGTTTTCCCATATGCTTCCCATATGCTTTTGGTTTCTCACTGTGGGAAGTGGGATGCTGAACTAGGCAGGTGTCTGGTCTGATCCAGTATGGCTCTTACATTCTGACATCTAATGCTCCTAATTTTGCCACACCGACTCCTGAAGAGAGGCCCTAGCCGCACCGATTTTTAAGAGCACATGTCAAGTGACGGATCACATTAGGTTTCATAGCATGGCAACCTTGAAAGGTAGCTTATTTGAGCCTGGGAAAATATATCTAGCTGAGAGGCAATAAGTTGCTTCTTGTGTATTCAGAAGGATAGGTGGGCTGCTGAGCACCACTGCCTTTGCCCTTGGCTTTTCCTTCCTTCCTTCCTTCCTTCCTTCCTTCCTTCCTTCCTTCATTCCTTCCTCTTGCTCTCAAGTGTGCAACAGAAACTATTTTTGATCCTCTCTTGCACTTTCATCAGCAGCTGCACATTTCGAAAAGCACTGGGTACTCTCCAAATGTACTTTTCATCTCACTTCAGAGATGCTTGAAGGATTACTTTTTCACCGTTTCTATTCAGCAAGCCACCTGCCTTCTTTCCAATCCAGCCTCTTCAGCAAGCAGGCATTGACAGTTCCTGAAAGTATGACTCTCGTGCTTCCTGTAGTCTGTTAAGCTTCCCTCCCTTGCTTTTCCGTTACCTTCCCCTTATTTCCTTCCTTCAACTTTGTTCTGACTTTTGTTGTATTGAGCTATGCACTAATCAACATACACTTCTCCTCAAGAGGTCCTCTTTACTGGTTGCCGATTGCTCCTGTGTCTAACTGTAACAGAAGAAGCTTTCACTGTTCATGCTCTTGCATTACACATCACCATGGCAGTGGGGTTTGACTGGCGGAGACTTGAAGGGAAGGTCTGTAAAGGACCCTGGCAGTATAAAGCCAAGGTAAAATAAAGTGGCCAAGAATGAATAATTTGGGTCACAGGGAAGGGCTTAAGTTTCCACTGTCACATCAAACTACTATCTACTTCCTGGCAGAACTGCTAGTTCTGCTTTTGTCTCCCTTATGGTGGACAAAAGCGTGACATAGTTCTTGGAAGCACATTACTTGTCCAGGTGTTGCCATGTTTGGGGGATCTTTTCCAGGGTGTTATAGAGCCCTTTATGCATCCTGATCCCTCATGTGATGAAGAACTGCACCCTGTCACATTGCCCTGAAGTGAAGAGTCATTTCTCCTTGCCCAGACTCCCTGTGCAACTTGGAAGCCTGAACTTTCAGTAGTTCCAAATTTCACAGGGGATCCTACCTGTTTGCTCCCTTTTGCAGCCGTTTGCCTCCGATATATGAATGGAGACGAGGACTGCCAGGTGAGGCAGAGCTAGCTTGTTGGTCCGCACTCTTCCTTCCACAGATCTAATGTTGCGGGGGTATCAGAACACACAAATAAGGCTCAAGTTAAGGAGCAAAGTAAACTGAAGGCGCTAAATGGGATTTTTCCAGCCTTGCTCACAATGTGTATTTGCAGTTTTATAGTGATTTTTATTAAAAAAAAGATTGCGTAAAGTTTATATCTGCAAATTCTAAATACAGTTCTTCAATAAATAAACTTAATAGCTAAACCTATGCACTAATAACTAATTAAATACAGCAATTCTTGTAAATCTTCTTTAAATATACTAATTAATTACTTGAAAAGAATAACAGAAATCCAATTCTTTTCAAAAGCACATTTTAATTTTAATTGGGCTATTTAAGCAGACTGTAACTTTCAATCTAGCCCCTTTGCTCTGTAGTTGATGCTTCCTAATTTTGTTTATTTGTTAGCTCTTTTCTGAACCACCTGCATAGTTTAATTAAAAAAACAAAAATGAGATCCAACACAATCTCATGTCCTGTCATTCTTATTAGGGTCTCCCCCCCCCCTTTTTCTTTGGAAATTGGCATGTCCACCACATATGACAATTTCTGTTCTTTTTTCTGACTGCTTCCTAATTCTGTTTAGCATATTTGGGTTGTTTTCTCTTTTTTAATAATAATAATAATAATAATAATAATAATACCAGTTACAAATAGCCTGCAACACTGTGCAATTTTTCACTGTGCTGAAAAAATAAGACTGTTCAAACTGGCTAGGGGTGAGGTTATATACTACAAAATAAGTATTTGTATGGTGTTGCCTTTCACAACCTGGTGCTCTCTAGAAGGTTTGGATCACAGCTCCCAGTTGTGCTGGCAGTCTGATGGAAGCTGTTCCCTCCAGATGGGGAAGGCTGGAATAATGCCTCAGGTGTTGGAAACACTTCACAAACAGTTTCTCAGTAACCCTGCAAGGTAGGCTAGCATTCCTGCCATATTGAGATGGGGCCATGACCCTGAGCTTAGTGGCATTTTGAGGACACCTGTGCCTGGGATGAGAAACTGTCCTGTATTCCTAGCCACTGCTCTCCCACCAGATCTTAAAGGAAAAGTAGCTTATTTCCCAACATGCCTTTCTCATTTTTCCCCATAACCTCTTGCCTTCCTGGCAGCACAGTAGACATCTGGTTCATAGCTGTCAACTTTTCCCTTGTGAGGAATCCTATTCGGAATAAGGGAATTTCCCTTAAAAAAAGGGAAACGTTGACAGCTATGATCTGGTTTGCAAAGGGATGCAAATACACATGCAGAATTGGGGGCACATTGGGGACCGGAGGAATAAGGAGTGGCTCAACAAATTGGGGCGGAAGTCACAATTTGAACCATGTCAAGTGTAGCTAGGGTGAAATGGGCATCTTTAACACAGATCAGTAAGCAGGAGAGATCTTGAGTTCTGCATTGCACCAATGAGCAAGGGTGTGGTTGCCTCTGGTCCAATCAAACAGCAAGTTTTTAATGACCAGGAAAGAAGCCATAGTCCCTGGTATGTCTCTGCAGTCTTCCTCAGGAAACTTACCTTGCTGCATGCAAAAAACGGGTTCTGAACAGTTTGTGTTGCTGGAGGGCTTTGAATGATGGAACTTTTTAAGTTCTCTGTGGTGTAACTTGTTTCTTTCTTGTGTTTCCTTTGCTGTTGCAGCTGCACTTCGAGATCATAATGCAGCAGAAAAATGAAAGAGCATAGGAGAAAAATACAGCGGAGAAGTCGGTTGCTGGCCGGTTATCGAAAATGGACGGTGGGATTTTGGGGGCTGAAGCAGTACTGCTTTCAAAGGAACCGTCTTTCTCTACTTAAAGGAGGGAGGCGAGGCACTTGGACACCTGTGAGCCTGAAACAAACGAAGCCCTGCAGAAGCAAGAGTCTTTGGCTCCAGAGGAAGTGGGCTCCTGAAGTGTTCCTAAATGCAAACCCCCAGCAAGTTGTACCTTTTGAAAACTGCACCTTTCCACAAAACATACACAGAAGCTTTTTTCCTTGGTGCAAAAGTGGAGGACCTGTTACAGTGGCAGAGGAGCTGGGTGGCACATCCTTTCAGAGCGAAGAACTTCTGAATAAATTTTGCAGTTTAACGGTTGACTCAAAGCCTTCTCAAAGCAAGCAGTACAGCACCGAGACCAGCAATACTACCTTCCTGGTAAAAGAGGATGGTCTTGCTCGGAAGGTGGGCGAGAGCAATAACAGTGGCGTTGAGGTTCTGAACAACTCCAGAAGGAAGTGCTGCTGCCAAGGCCTGGAGCAAAATGGAACTTGTGACCTCCTGACTATTAGGAGGAGGCCTAGATTTAAAAGGTGTACTTTAAAAAACAGATCTCTATTTATGATGTATAAGAAACTTTCTGCGGTCAAGTTTTGGATTAGAATCGCGAAATCTCGTCCCAGGTTTTGGAGAGGCAAGACGTGCAAGTTGAGCATAAGGAGGCCGAGCTGGGTGGAGAAAGTAAGCAGAGATTGGCAAGAGGACCTCTGCCAAGGAGTCTCTGGGGCCTTGCTTCCCTCTTGGAAACTGAAAAGTAAATCTCCCTGGAACCTGTTCAGCTTGTCAGATATGAACAGTCATATGCCAGGACCATTGATTGAGGAGAGTCAAACACACCTGCCTGACGCCTGCCTCACCCAGGGCGCACGCTTGCCCTGCAGGGAGCTCCATTACAAGGAACTTGCGCCCAGAGACCAAAATGGCATCGCTGAGCCCTGCGTGCCGGAGTTGCATGGAGCAGAAGCGGCATGTGGAGCACAGCCTACTCACAAAGAGGAAGTGCGGAAGGCACCCGCACTGGACAGCTGCCCTGATAGTTTCGTCTCTGTGACAGAGAAAGAAAGCTCGGTTTTAGGTCCAGGAGATGGAGGAACGAATCAGTTTACGGGTGCCGGCGAGACAGTGCTGGGGCCCTCCAGGGCAGATTTGGGCACAAACGACGGCTTTGCTAATGGGCCTGCTTCCGTGGAGCTAGCGCAAAATGAGGACAGTGGTCAGATGGAGGTGGAAGGGCCCATAAACATGGACGTATTTGGCGCAGAGCTCTTAGATCACCCGTACTGTAAAAGCCCTCATGATGAGCCTCTGAGAGGAAGCACAGGACAGAAATCAGGGACCCAAAAGAGTGGGAAAAGAAGCAGCCAGAGAGCTTCTTGCGTCACTGACGAGCAGTTGGCTGTGTGGCTTTGTGGTATATAGCAACACTCTTAATGCTTATTGCTGGTTTTGTTTATTTATGCTATGAATCTGGGTGCTGTCCCTGTAGATTATAATGACATTTTATGCACTATTGTACTTCTTGCTATATTTATTGTGGGTTTGAGATTAGGATGTTGCACACACAGCAGTTCAGCTGGCCTGTCCTTGTCGTTCTTGTGATCCTCCAAGCCACGCACTGTGGCTTTTGCAGGAATGCAGCGAAGCTCTGGCTTTTGCTTGCCTGTCTGGGATTGCAAGAGTTGCAGTCTTAGTACCTGATGGGCCTTAGTAATGGCTGCTGGGCTGTATTAAGCTTGATGGGTTACAGATCGTACAGGCCTGCCCTTTGATAGCGCAGTTGCATGATAAACCAGTGGGTTGCAATCACAGTGCATTGGTGGTGGTGTTTCATTTGATGGGCTTGTTATGGGACGAAATTGAGACTGGCGCAATTGGGGGTTGGAGCCAAAATCAAGAGGCAGTTTAACTCTTCAGAACGCTTTGTCTGCTTATTGTGGCCCCAGTTACTTAGGAGAACCCAGACTGGAGGCTTAATCTCAGTACATGCTAAAGTTGCCCGTCTTCCATATTGAAATAAAAATCTGAGTGCTTAATGGAATGGGTAATGAAAGGAGTGAAGCTACTTGCTGACTGTGAGCTCAGTAGATCCGTATCCCCTGTACTCACCTCTTGGCAGCCCAGTGTAGATTGGGCTGTTGGTGTGTCCTTAGTGGTATCCATCTGGCACAGGCCAGTTCCATTCTGGAATGCAGGGGTGATTGAGTCCTTGGCTTGTAGCAATTCCTGCTAGAAATGTTCCATGGTGTCGGTGGTTACTTGGCGTGTACAATGGGTTTAAAAATATTTCTCCTTGTCACAATGTAAGTAGAGGGTGCCCACAATTTTGAAACGGATTTGGTGTGCATTCCCATGACTCTATTCTCTGAACATCTAATTGATTTGGGTTGATTTCAGTCAGGGCCAGTATAGCACCTGTCCTGCATTCAGACCCTGGAAGGTTCATTTTTGCACTTCTGCAGGCTTCTTCCCCTCCCTGCAATTATCCCCAACTGGTCTTTCAAAATTTAAGATGTTAAGTTTCGAGAAACGCAGTCTGATTGCTGCCATCTAAAGGGCTGCGTATTCCACGTTTATTTTTTGTCCATCTCTGCCTCAGCGTAACGGTATGCGAACAGAACCGCAATTTCATCCAGATGTTAGGGGTACGTATCTCTTCTCCCAAGCCATGTAATGTAAATTGATGATGTGCTGATTGGAAACTCTTTCATCTGCCTAGAAATGCTATATACCAAAGGTGCAATTAATTAAGCACTACAGCTGTGTGACACGCCCCCCCCCCCAAATTCGTTTCACTTAGGCTGCAGTAAGCCTCATATCTGGGCAGAGATTGTAGCATGCTTCTCTTTTGGGTTGGATTTAGGATTGGGTTGGGTTTAGGTTTATCAGGTTTATTTCAGGCAAGCCCTAGAAACCATTTTATGCTTCTTGCTCTCTAGGAGGGACTAGGGTGCTAAGCCCTTCATGAGTGCATGCTTGCTCTCCCTCACAGTACTACAGAGATACTGTGGCTCTGCAGAAAGTGTATGTCTATCCTCATTTGAACAGGGGTCCAAGTCTGGGACTTGTCATTGCGTCGTTGTCAACCTTGTACATCAATTTTGTACTGTTCCCATTCTGACTTGAAAATGGCTCGTAGAAACTCAACCATAGAAATAAGTCATCTGATTCCTATGTAACTGCTGCTCCTATGCATACTTTTTCTTCTTCAAAAAAAACCCTCTCTCTATTTATAAGGATTCCTAGATGAAGTAATGAAGAAATATGGCAGTCTAATTCCACTCTGTGAAAAGGATGTTATGGGAAGATTAAAGGAAGTCTTTAATGAAGACTTCTCCTATAGGTTAGTAGCTATCTCTTAATTCTTCGCTCTGCTGATTCACTTTCCGGATTCCACTGGCTCCCTATGGCTATGCAGAGCTGCATATCAAATGTGCTGGGATAACTTCGCATTGTCTTATCTCTTTCTCGGCTGCCTGTTCCAGAAAGCCATTCATCACCAAGGAAATCATGAAGTATCAGACGAGGCATCCCAAATCTTCCACTTGCAATTTCCGAGTCTTCTATAACAAGCACATGCTGGATATGGATGATTTGACAACGTTGGATGGTCAGAACTGGCTAAACGATCAGGTGAGAGCAATTGCAGGTTCTGCTGCTTAAAATGGTGCTTTCAGTCACATGTTGCCTTGCTTCCAGGTTGAAGGGATGTTGGGTTTTCTTTGGAGCAGGGTGCAAAACATTAACCTGCTTCTATACTGTCTTCATGGATCTTGTCCTTATTGTGGGAAATGAGTTCTAGAGGCAAGGGTTATCCAGTAGAGGCGTCTGCAATGCGAGAATTCACTGATCTTCAGTAACGTCTGTTAAAACTCCCACCCAAGGTCATCTTTTTTTATAAAAAAAACTTTTTTAAAAACACATTTATTCAAAAGTCTCTCCTACCCAGTTGGCATACTGCTGGAAGGGTGTGTGATTTGGGAGGAAAGGAACCATTCAAGTCACTACTAATATAATTGATTGGTGCGTGTTTGTGTGTGTACGTTCAAGGGTGTTCCTGTTGATTTAAACAGAGTCTTGTTGCCAGCGGAAGGATGAGCAATACGTGCTACATACTCTATATTGCTTTATTTACAGTTCAAAGCTGGTATATTACAGAAAGACATCTTGCCTCCCTTGGAGCAGAAAAATGCATCCTCTCTCCTCGACAGCTTGGAGAGAATTCAACAGAGTGAAAAACAGGAAACCAGTGTACGTCACATCCAGTCTCCCTTTCCCGTGAGAAACTCCAACAGTACAGACTGTGGAATGTAAAACAATGTCTTGTGACTGCAGTTGCTGCTCAGTGAGGGAAATAGAAACCAACATCCTCCCCTTTCTGTGAACATCACTGGGCAGCGTGTTCGTACAGTATCAGTACAAACCCAACTTCTGCACATAGGTACAGTGTTGATCCCTTGATACAATCTTGGACAATACATCAGCAGGAATTTCATTACCTGGCATATAGGACACCGTTACGAGTCCCTTCTGAATACATTCTCTAGCATGCTGCAACTTCAATTGCAAGTGCTTTGTGCTTTGCTTACAACCTTCAGACTTCAGCAAAGCCAAACATGCTTTGTTGTCCTGGTAAACCTGGATTGGACATTTGACAGGAATTTTCATATCTTTGCACAATTGTACTAACCATTCACAATCCTTAAGTGAATAAGACAGTGCATTCAGTTCAGCTTCACAAGTACTTAAGCTAACTGTTGTTTGCTTCTTGCAAGACCAATCAAACAGACTCTGATTGTACATGTAGCAAACTCCAGACGTACTTTTCCTGTCTGTAGTGTCACTTCCAAAACTTGCATCTGCAAATATCTCAAGACCACCAGACTTCTGATTGTTAAATCTCAGTCTGTAATGCATAGTGCCTTTCAAATACCGCGCTATGCGTTTCAGAGCTTTCCAATCCTTGACACTAGGATTGTTGACTTGTCTGCTTAGCAAATTACAGCTAACAGCAATGTCTGGTCTTGAACATCTGGCAATGAAGTTTAGCTTGCCTAGCACACTCCTGTACAGTGTAGTGTCAGAAAATGCTTCTTCAGTGTCATCTACCTGATAACCTGTTGTCATCGGTGTGTCTACAGGGTTAGCATCCATCAGATTTAGTTTGCTTAACACATCAGCAATTTTCCGTGACTGGTGTACTAGAATGTTACCATCTTGATCTCTCTCTATTTCCAGAGATAGGTAGTTGTTTACCTCACCAAGATCTTTCATGTCAAAGTGCTCTTTCAGTTGAGCTAGGGCGCTATTGTACATTGCGACATCTTTCCAAAAGAATAATAAATCATCAACATAAAACAAACAGTACAGTTTCTTTTGCCCCTCCTCTTGACAAATACACATGGATCAGCTTTCCTTGCTGAAAACCTAGAGAAAACAATACTTCAGTGAGTTTTGTGTGCCAACACCGTGCACTTTGTTTGAGACCATAAAGGGATTTCTTCAGAGCACAAACAAATCCCTGTTTTACCTGTACGCCATCAGGTGGAAGCATATAAAGTGATTCATCTAGAGATCTGTACAGAAAAGCTGTATTAATATCATGGTGACTAATGTGTAGATTTTCCTCTGCAGCTAGCTTGAGCATAAGCCTAATGCTTTCATATCTCACTGTGGGTGAATAGGTCTCGTGATAGTCTTCACCTGGTACCTGTGCAAAACCTCTGGCTACCAATCTGGCTTTGTGTCTGACTATCTTGCCATTTTGATCTGTCTTCGCTTTGAAGACCCATTTGCTTCCAAGCAGTTTCATTCCTGGAACTACTGGAACTAGCTCCCATGTTTTGTTCCTTTCTAAGGAATCAAGCTCAGCCTTCATGGCATTTAACCATGGCTCAGCTTCCTTTGAATCCAAACCCTGGATTTCTTGGAAACTTGAAGGTTCAAATACCTTCTTGGAGCTTTTGACAGCTGTTACTGCTATCTTAGCAAACTCATCAGCAAATCTCTTTGGAGGTTTGCCTTTTGTGGCTCTCTGTGACCTACGAATTAGCCTTAAGTCTTCAACACTCTCCTCTTCCTTCTTAGGAGAAAAACGACCTATTGTGAACAATGGTTCTTCCAAGTCTTGATCAGAGCTTTCAGAGGGTCGCATAGAGGCTTTCGCACTCTTGAAATCCTCTGAATCACCTGATTCAGTTTCAGATTCAGACTCAGAACTTTCATCAGTGGGTGTGGGCTGTTGTGGTTGCTTTTGACTATCCTCAGTCTCATCACCGTCATCAGGATAACATTGGTAAATTCCCACATTCTCCCCCCACTTTGCATTGTACTCAACACTTCTCGTGAGCTTAATTGTCTTAGAGTCAGTCATCATTATTCTGTAAGACCCTTTCTGATAACCTAGAAAGATACCATGCAATCCACGCTTGTCTAACTTGGAGTTTTGTGGTGAGCGAACCCACATGTCAGAACCAAAAATCTTCATGTGTTTGATGTATGGCTTCTTGCCAAACATCTTCTCATAGGGGGTACAACCAATCGCTGAAAATAATCTGCGATTGTAACTGTAAACAAAACACGAGAGAGATTCGGCCCAATAACTCTCTGGAAGATTGGCATCATGCAGCAAGGTCTTTAACCCTTGAAGCAAAGTCTGATTTGCCCGTTCCGCAAGTCCATTCTGCCATGGCGAGCGAGGACTAGACAAATCGTGTTGAATTCCTTTCTCAGTCAGAAAAGCTTCAAACTGCTGAGAAGTGAATTCCCCGCGATCACTGAAAAGAGTCTTTATCTTCTTACCATGCACATTTTCCAACCAAGCACAGAATTCCTTGAACCTAGGAAAAGCCTCCGATTTCTGCTTGAGATTGTACACAAAAATATATCTAGAAAATGCATCAATGAGAACCATGAAGTATCTATTTCCACCCAAAGAGGGCGATAGTGGTCCAACCAAATCAGCATGAACAACCTGGTATGGTTCTGTAGCTTTCCTACTAGACACCTTACCTTCGCAGCCATTTTCACTTTGTTTGCTGCGCATGCTTTGCACTTCATGTGGTACCTGCAGGGTTTAATAGTCATACCTTCAACCAAGGCAGGCATTTTAGATACTGCCTCAAAATGCAAATGACCAAATTTTCGATGAAAATCGTGAATACATTCTGCATGCAAACTTTTGTTAGAACCTGCAATGCAACAAGTGTCATCCTGCACCACATCATCATAATACAAAACAAACAAATGATCAACATATTCTGCATGCAATACATAATCATTTTTCTTTGTGATGATGCACTTCTTGTTCTTGAAGGAAACGTCAATGTTCCGCTCATTCAGCTGTCCAACGCTGAGCAGATTATGTTTGGCGTCTGGCACGTAAAGCACATTCTGTATCGATAAGTCCAAACTGTGAAGAACAACAGTTCCGTAGCCTTTACTGGGAATAGTGTGGTCATCCGCCTGGTGAATCGCACCTTCCTGCGGTGTAAAAGACACAAACAGTTTCTTATCGTTGCACATGTGGTGGGTGGCCGCTGAATCAACAACGAAGAAAGATCTAGACGTCTTCTGGACCTCTGCAACCTTTGGAGTGAAGCGTGAAACCATAGCCTTGTGCTGCGTTGTCCTAGACACCGGACCTTTGCCTTTGCCTCGGCCTTTTCCGCGTGATGAGCTTCGCTGCGCTGCTCTGTCTTGGCCCTGGGATGTCTGCATTCCCTCTTCATATGGCCTAGACGTCCACACGAGTAGCATTTCACTGCCTGCAAAGCTTTGGCGCCATCTGGTGGTTCCACTGCACTATGGGATGACGTCTGTGAAGACTCCCCTTGCCCATGCAGCTAGCACCCCGGCGATCTGCTTCATTTAAAATCACGGCAGTAACAAAGTCCACTGTCAGCTGAGCAGCTGGTTGCACAGCAATCTGGGTTGCAACAGACTCCCAACCTGAACCCAAAGATTGTAGTATCATGAAAGAATACACAGCCTCTGGAAAGTTGAGTCCTCTCTGTTGCAGCTCATGTCTCAGATTTTGCATCTCCATTAGATGTAAACGCACATCTCCACCTTCAGCAAGAGCCATATTATGCAGCTTGTTAAAGTAAAACATAGTGGATCCAGCTTCTGTCCTTAAGTGAGCCTCTCTCAGAGCGTCCCAAATTTCTCTGGCTGAGGTCTTATCACGCAATAGACAGAGCTCTTCTGGGGATACTATCAATGTAAGAGTTCCCTTGCTTTGGAATCCTTAGCTTCCCATGCATCTGTAACTGGAACTGGGGGTTCCTGTAATCACCTCAAACAAACCCTCTTTCCGCAGAATTGCCTCTGCATACTGAACCCAGTCGCTGTAATTTTTCTTGTTGAGCTTAGGAATCCTACAAGCATCCTGAAGGGCCATCATGACTCTGGCATTAGCCTTCAGCGTCATATGCTGCTTTAAATCTTGCTGCGTCACTGCTGCAGCTGCCTCATTACAAAGGCACACTTAAAAGTTACTTTCGATTTCCCCAGCATAGTGACTTGTGCCTGGGAGCCTTTTGCCTATTCCGGCAAAACCGGCTTTAAAAGTTCAAAGTCCAGCCATAAAGCCATTAACTTGAAGCTGGCAGGCTGCCCGGAGCAGTAGCACATACCTCATCAATCACTTCTACGCGCAGAGCAGATTCCTTTCCGATCCGTCCCTCTGCATTCCGATCCGACCTCTGGAGTCCATAACCACGTGTTGATTTAAACAGAGTCTTGTTGCCAGCGGAAGGATGAGCAATACGTGCTACATACTCTATATTGCTTTATTTACAGTTCAAAGCTGGTATATTACAGAAAGACATCTTGCCTCCCTTGGAGCAGAAAAATGCATCCTCTCTCCTCGACAGCTTGGAGAGAATTCAACAGAGTGAAAAACAGGAAACCAGTGTACGTCACATCCAGTCTCCCTTTCCCGTGAGAAACTCCAACAGTACAGACTGTGGAATGTAAAACAATGTCTTGTGACTGCAGTTGCTGCTCAGTGAGGGAAATAGAAACCAACAGTTCCTAGGTCCATATTTGTCACCAGAGGTTCAGGTGATCTCTCAAGTGAGGAGCACCTATTATCAGCTTACATGGATATACCAATAACCCCTTTCCTGAACAGGGTTGGTTTGGCCACTGTCATGTGTGCATTAGTTGACCTCATGACTGGTTGGTCCTATACAGTGGTACCTCTGGAAGCAAACGGGATCCGTTCCGGAGCCCCATTCGCATCCAGAAGCGAACGCAACCTGCGTCTGCGGGTCACGATTTGCCGCTTCCGCGCATGCGTGTGATGTCATTTTGACCGTCTGCGCATGCACAAGCAGCGAAACCCAGAAGTAGCGCGCTTACTTCCGGGTTGCCGCAGCGCGCAACCCGAAAATACTTATCCCGAAGCTACTTCAACCCGAGGTATGACTATTATGGAATGCCCTTCCATGGGGGAGATAAGCCAGTGGATATCTGAGTTGAGTATGAGGAAGTTAAGATAGGATAACCTCTCAGCTTCGTTGGAGTTCATCCTAGTAGACCTTGTTATAGAATTGCCCCCTTAATCTGGTTCTGGGTTCAAATTGGTTAGATTGCTATGGTGTAAGTAAGTGGCTTGATTTGTACAGAACTAGACTGTCTAATTAGAATTGGAATGCTGGGTTTGAAACATGTAATCCAGGCTAGGATTAGTGCATCCTTCAAAATTTGCGTTCTTACTTAGCGGAATGAGAAAATGAAGCTTGCAAAGATGGTTGACTGCAACAGTAGAATAAGACAAAATTGTAAAGCAAATAACCATGACTGCTTCCTTCTCATACTTGTCTGCTGCATTCAGTGGTGATTCGCATCGCTGCCTAAAAATGAGATTTGAAAATTCTCTAAGACAAGATGTGAGCATGGAACTTGCTCTGTCTGTCGGTCTAGGGGGAAAAAATATTTACATCCTTACACCCTATCTTGTGTGGTCAGGTCTAGATTCCTGTTACACCAAATGCTTTTGCATATTTGTGGAAATCTGTATACAATGTAAAATAGTAGCCTCTTTCTGGATTGAGAAGAGAATTTCTGCTTCACAAAGGACTCTTCCCATCTGCTGCATATCAAGCCAGTAAGTAATGTGTCCAGCCTTTGAAATGTACCAGACGCACTTTGCACCTGGCAATCGGCCACTTGTGACCAAGTAAAGATGCCTGGGTGGCAGGATGGTGCCTGACGTCTCCACCGTCTGGAGGTGCATGCCTGGGGATCCTTGGATTTTGACTGTTTCCACGCACTAGCAACACATCCTGTAAAATTTTATCCATTATATTTTATCTGCACAATCAGAATGAATTTCAGAAATCAAAAACTTGTATTGAAAAATATGACCTTTGAGCTGTCTGGCCCAAAAATGGCAACTAGGCATTCTTTTTTGCAACTGTAATCCTGGTTTAAGGAGGCATTTGGTGCCTAGCTTATACAGTGGTACCTCAGGTTACATATGCTTCAGGTTACAGACTCAGCCAACCCAGAAATAGTGCTTCAGGTTAAGAACTTTGCTTTAGGATGAGAACAGAAATCGTGCTCTGGTGGCGCGGCGGCAGCAGGAGGCCCCATTAGCTAAAGTGGTGCTTCAGGTTAAGAACAGTTTCAGGTTAAGTACGGACCTCCGGAACGAATTAAGTACTTAACCTGAGGTACCAGTGTGTATCTGAGTTTCTAACACTGCATGTGTCAGATCTGCTACAATACACCCACAAAGTCATTTCCCTCAATGCCAGGGTGTAACTGCAGGTCACAAGTGTCCCTTAATCTCCTTGGATACATACAAATATATTAATCTTCACTGAGCTACCTGACTTAATGAAGAAAGGCTCAATTAGCTCACGGTTTTCTCAGGTCTGGCTCTCTGAGCTTCATAGAGGTAAAGCTGAGCATACTATATCTGGTCATTCTAAGAATTACTGTGCAACTTTAAGAATTGGTGTGTGGGTTTGCTTTATTTGTTGGTCTCCCCTCCTCCCCCCAGGCTGCTTTTGTGTTGTGCAATTTAGATTGTAAGCCTGTAAGTAAGTTTGTACTAATCAGATGTAAGCCACTCTGGGAGCCCTTTTGGTTGAAAAGCAAAGTTAAAATGCTTTAGATAAAATAAATGAAGGACATAGCAGCGTTGTAAACTTATTCCTGAACACATTGTCCATGTGAATGTAATTGGAGGAAGAAGAACCGCCTCTGCCATAGAGAACAGAGCCATATTCCCCTTCTTTTTTGGTGGAAAATGGTTGGGAGTACACTGGTACAAAACGAACATGTGCTTCTTTTTTTAAAGAGCAGAAATCACACCTCTTGCAAGATGGAGCGAGCTGCCATTTGGGGCAGTCTCTGTTTTAAATCTGACACTGTGGGTGGTTGGGATTCCAGTCCTCACGGTTGCAGTCTTGTATGTTTGGGGGCAGTAGCTGCTGCAATCTCAGAAGCTGAAAAGGTGGCAGAATAAACCTCCAGAGAATAAGACTTTCAGTCTCCAGCGTAACTCATTGCTACTAGCAAAAACAGAGTAAATTCATTCATTCTAAATCGTTCAGGTTGCAGAATTCAGCTTTCTTTGTTGTTGGATTGTGCAGAATCTATTTTCAATGTGCAGTATATGTATCCTGGCTTCTAGCAATGCATTCAGAGAATGACCAGATACATTGAGCATTGCAGAGGAGCAATTCACAAATATAATGTGATTTTCCTCCCTAATAAAATTTCAACTTTCTTCTTCTCTAAATTCTTTCAGATTATCAACATGTATGGCGAGCTAATAATGGACGCAGTCCCTGACAAGGTGAGCTTCTTTTACTTGGTTCTGTATTATGCAACAGTAGCTCAATTGGATAGGGGGGAAAAGGTGGCTTAAAAATATTAGTCCTAAGGGAAAATGGAGAGGGGCAATTATGGGGGCAGTTATTCCTAACTTTGCACAGGGGGAGGGAGTAGTCAATCCTTTAATCTGCTGGCTGTTTATTTACATATGAACTCCACTCTACAGCACACACTGGCTATGTATGGACATTCGTCTACTATTATTTAATTTATATATTGCTTACACGCCAAAATTTCATGTAAGCAGTTTACAACTGTAAATCAACACATAACCAAGAGACACAATAACAAATCCACTGGAGTATTAAAACATCCTTAATTAAAATATGCAATAAAACAAGCATAACAAAACAGTTAAAATAATAAAATTGGACCTTCAGAATCACACAGCATGGTTTATGAGCTGAAGCTCCCCTCCTTCACTAGTTAAGAGGTTTTTACTGTGGTATAAAAATGCTCTTAATAAAATAAGAGCTTCCTTAGTTGGGGTGCAGCAGATCTTGGTTTGCATTCAGCTGGAGTTCATTGTGCTAGAACTGGAGGCTTCGAATGTGATCAGTCATCGACCTCTTCTGCCTTTTTTAGGTTCATTTCTTCAACAGCTTTTTTCATAGACAGCTGGTAACCAAAGGATATAACGGAGTAAAACGATGGACTAAAAAGGTAGGCTTCTGTGTGCTCTGAAAGCCCTTAACAGCTGAGTAATACTGAACTATTTCGAAGACTGAATTTTAAATGAATGCACCGTGCGAACCTGGAAGTACTGGAATGGGTTACTTCCGGGTTTTGGCGCTCGTGCATGCGCAGAAGCCCTAAATTGCGCTTTGTGCATGTGCAGAAGCACCGAATCGCGACCCGTGCGTGCGCAGACGCGACGCTGCGGTTTGCGAACATGCCTCCTGCATGGATCACATTCGCAACCTGAGGTTCCACTGTATTGCTAAATTATTGGGCGGAGTTCAAGATTCTTGTATTAATTTCCAAGTCCTTAATTTGGGTCCAGGATATCGTAAGGACCATCTGATTCCTTATATTTCGTCCCAGTCAGCTAGTCCTCAGTGACTCAAATGCATGGCTCATAATTATTAGACACATTGCATTCATTGTAGTGGATGTGAGCCTGTGGAGCTCCTTCCCAGCTGAAATTAGACAGGCGCCCTCTTTGCAGAACTTCAGGCACCTGACTGAGACTTCCTTGTTGCAGCAGGCATTTTAAAGTAGCATTTGGTTTTATGATAAGTTTTTATTGTTTTATTTTTAAATTCAACTTTATTTTTTTTTAATGTACATAAGTTAGAAGGGCTTAGGATTAAATGACATGTAAATGTCTTAAATAAATGAGTGTCTTTGGCTGCTTAAGATAGATCTGAGATGCTGTAGTTTCCTGATAAAATACAGGTTTTGCATGAAAGACGGTCCCAGGCTCGGCTGCAGAATATACATAGCTACGAACCAAAAGCAGAAGCGAGGAAAGCATCTTTGTGCTGGAAGTGCTGGTTTCAAGCATCGCACACAGCTGGGGAATTACCCTCCGGCATGACTGACCTAGTGGAAATACCCTTCCAAGCCCCAAATAGTAAACTATCTTTGCCAGATAGAATGTTCCTCTCTAATATGGGGGATGGAAAAACCTCTGGGTAACAGGAAAGACTTCCTATAACCAACTGAGTTGACTGATTAAAATATTTAGAGAGGTGTGTGTGAAAGAAAGAAAGAAAGAAAGAAAGAAAGAAAGAAAAAGAAAGAAAGGGTCTAGCAAGCTTCAGGATAGGAAAAGACGGCCTCCTTAGAGTATACAGCCTTGGCTTTTGTTCCTCAACCTACAGGAAGCTCAGCAACTCAGCACTATGAATTATATATGGAGCCATGTAGCAAAGTGTTTGGGCTGAAGTGCTCCAGAGCATTCTAGGTGTTTGCTTAAATCACAACTGAGCACTGAAATGGGCTTTGTTTGCAGAGAGGCTTAAAGTAGACTTGAGATGTTTATTAAATGTTTATTTAAGGCACATCCTTAAATCTTGGAAATACTTCAGAGTGAATAAAAGCAGGTTCCTTCTATCGATCAATCAATCAATCAATAAGCTTTTAATTTTATTTATGTAAAAATACTTTTGTTTCTCAAGGAATAACTTACATACAGATTAATATTAGCAAAGCTAGCCCTGCTGTTAAACTATAAAGCTAATCAATGCCCCTACCAGATAGGTTGAGACTTTTCTGTGCATATGAAGAAGCATGTTGATCATTTCCCAATTATCCTATGTACTTGGTCACTTGGAGAACGGAGTTCACTATCCTTATGTAGGCAAAATGGCACCATCTATGTGCAAAATGAAGTACTGTCAGGCTTTGGGAAACTTAAGGCTTGCAGGTAGGTAGCCTTGTTGGTCTGCTGTAGTCGAAACAAAATAAAAAGATTCCTTCCAGTAGCACCTTAGAGACCAACTAAGTTTGTTATTGGTATGAGATTTTGTGTGCATGCACCCATCTTCATCTAAAGCTCATACCAATAACAAACTTAGTTGGTCTCTAAGGTGCTACTGGAAGGAATCTTTTTATTTTGTTAAGGCTTGCGGACATATGTTGCCTTTAGGACTTAAAGTGGGGGAGAGACTCCAAAACATCCAGCAAGAACTGAGCTTGCTTGGCTTGTGTGTGCAATACTGACTGTTGCAGGGGGAGGAAACTGAGGTGGAGGCATGACAAAGGGGTGCAGCTGGTTGGCACAATGAATGAGAGCATTCGGCACTCCCAACATTTTTTGTTGGTGGGGCCCACTTCTGGAATGCCTTGCCCACTTTCGAAACGTAGGGTTGTATCCAATGTTTGCCCCAAATCAAAGTCACTTAGCGGTAAACTTTTTCCGCTCGCGAAATGTTTTATTCCAGCGGGATGTTGTCGCGCAAGCGGAACGCACCAAAAGGTTGCTGGTAATTTCGTTGCGCAGTCTTGTGCAGCGAGTTGCACAATCCTCTGCAACGAGTTTCTGCTATTGCAGTTGTTGCATTGGCGTCCTCTGCTCAACATTAAAACTCACCTTTGTGCTAGTCGGCAGAGAACTTTAGATGCGGCCCATGGGCACTGTATATTGACTCTGCGAAGACAGGATTGCTCTAATCTGCCCAGTGACTCTCAGGCCTTCCTTCAGCCTGTGCATAGAATTCTAGAGCCAGAAGGGACAGTGAGGGTCATCCAGTCCAACCCCCTGCAATGCAGGAATCTTTTGCCCAGTGTGGGGCTCGAACTCACAGCCCTGAGATTAAGAGCCTCGTGCTCTACCAGCTGAGCTATCCCAGCCTTTGATCACAAGCACTTCTTGTTCATTTTGCTGCTCTGTTTCTGTGAAGGCAGGGCTGGGTCCGCCAAGGCAGAGTGAAGCAGAAAGAAGCAGTGCTGGAAGCAATAGGCAAAGTTTTAGATAAGTGCACATCTTCCTACAGTCCTATCCTTAGCTCATAACTGATATGGCTTCTTGCTGGTAGGAAAGACTCTCTATGCTATGGGGATATTTTAAAAGCATGCCCTCTGTAGGTAAAAATGGAAAGTATTCAAAACTGTATGTAGAGTGCAGCAGGTGTAAATGAAATTGTTTTTAGTTGATAACATGGATCAAGTGGTCACTTGGTGGAAAGCACATGAATTATCAGAGGGAATATTGATCAAATCAATTATTTAAGTCAGCCTTTATTTTTATTTTTGTTGACTTGATATTGTCTTGTTTTTGAAACCTTTGCACCCTCTGATGCTGTCACAATTTTGTTCCCAAGCTCTCTTTGAGTTTCAGCTGTCTGTCGTAGTTCTGCTTTGGCAAAAATGTGATCTCCTCAGTAGCTACTGAGTGTGATCTCTTCCATCCTTCCTCCTTTTCTTTCTTTCTTGTCTTTCTTTTTTGAGATAGAAAGTCAATCCTCTTTTGTAAGGATTCATTTAAAACGGGGCCTCATAAATTGAAATGTGCTGTTCTGCTTCTTGGAATGGGAAGCTAAATTGGATTTTGTTACTTAGCTTGCATACTAGATCTCTGCTTTTGTTTTGTTCGTGCCTTTTGCAGCATTTCAGAGTCTGCAGCAAACATCTGTTTCACCTGACTGAATTTTAATTAAACTTGGGGTGCATTCGCTTTCCATCTTTTGCCCCAGAATAAGAGTATCTGATTTTTGACGCTTGTGATAAGATTGCTCTCACTTCCTCCTCAAAGCAAATGCTAATTCTCACCATGACCTCAAGGAGCTTGTATATAAGAATGGCTAAGGTTAAACTATGCACCAGGAAGCCCCCCGTTCATATCTCACCTCAAGCCTCTTCTTTTCAGCTTGTGTGCCCCACCTGCGATATGGCAATGTATTACACCTGCCTTACATTTTAGCGTAATCCTCTGAGGTGGGTCGAGCAAAGAGAGTAATGGTTCACCCAGGTTTAGAACTGAGACTTCCTACATCCAAGCCCGGTATTTTATAGTCGTGAAACCTTAGTTTGTACCTGGTTTTTCTACTTCCCACACTTTTTTGTTGGAACGGGTGTCTTAATTGGTTGTCGGGGAAAGCACCTCCATTGCTTTGAACTGAAGCAGTTTCTCTTAAGTGAAAACAGCAACGTGGCAACTTGCCTCTGGCCATTCACGAGTTGGCATCTTGGGTATTGGGCAACTACTTCATGGGATGTTATGTGCTTGGTGGGGGCCTTTCTGCTGCTCCCACCACATGAACAAGGGTGCCTGCCCTGAGAAATTCCTTGTTTCAGGCTTTTCTCTGCAGGCACGAGAGCTAGAAACCTCCTTGCAACAGCTGAGAACACAAGGAGTGTACCTAATTCTTTGCCTTTCGCAGTTGGGCATTCTTGCCGGTGTGTGCACACCAGGTGCAATGGGACGGGCATCCCTTTCCATAGAAGTGTGCTCCTTTTGTGTGTGTGCATAAAACGGTAACTTTGACAGTTAGGTCCTATTCATCCCTTCCATGTTCTTTAGCAGTTTTGCTTGCAGCATCAAGTATTAAACGCATGCAGCCTGCCTTGCAGAAATGTTTGTCCTATCCATTAAGCTGCCATCCTCATCACTTGCCCAAGGCTGTTTCCACCTCTCTAATATGCCTTCGACATCTTCACTCGTAGGCTAGATGCAGAATGCAGAGCTCCTTCGTTGTCTTTTGGCTGCGTTGTGCTGCTGATGCTGCGTGTGTTCACGTGCGGAAGGCTGTCTCTTAGGAATGCTAATTTCATGCTTAAAACCCAATGCCATCTCATAGCACACTTGTCAAAAAATATTGATTTTGAATAATTCAGCATGAAGAGATATAAAGCAGTAACGGCCGCGCTGCTTAAAAATAAATAAATTGAAGCATCTGTTTAAATAAGCAAATGGCATCAAATAAATTGCATCTGGGGAGGAAAACGGAACCCAAAGTGAATGTCTATAAGCTCTAAGGCTTAATCTACATAAAGGAGCAAATTTGAAGCAGTAGAATGGACTTTATATCACAGGTTTGGGGGGCGGGTGAGAGTCATATTTTTCCAATACCCCTTGCAAGAAGAAAACCAACAGAGCAGAAAGTGGGCTGAGTGAGAACCTTTCTCGCTGACGTGCTGCTTTTCTTACTTTATTTTACTGTGTTGGGAGTGTTTTATGTGGGGAGCATTGAAAATGCCACTTTCTTCGACCTGTAGCCTTTATAGGGCGTGGATCAGGACTCAACTAGTGGTAGGAATGGAGCTGGCTTGCGAGGGATTGGAGGAAGAACATTTCACCTCTGCTTTTCCCACAAATACTTGGAGCAGACTTGGAAACAAGATCTTTCCTGTTGGTACTGCTCTGTGCAGTTACGGTATCACCAGAAAGGCCTTAGCCCATGGATCAGCCTTTATGCTGAGTGGGTCAGACTCCTGCTAAAAGCGGTGGGGCTTCCATTCGCTGCCAAACTTAGACCACTGGATTGCAAAGAAATAATTGGGTGTGTTCTCATGCATGTATGCTCTTACCTGTATAACAACAACAACAACAACAACAACAACAATTATTTATTTATACCCTGCCCATCTGGCTGAGTTTCCCCAGCCACTCTGGGCAGCTCCCAATCAAGTGTTAAAAACAATACAGCATTAAATATTAAAAATTTCCCTAAACAGGGCTGCCTTCAGATGTCTTTTAAAGATATGATAGTTGTTTATTGCCTTGACATCTGCTGGGAGGGCGTTTTACAGGGCAGGCGCCACTACCAAGAAGGCCCTCTGGCTGGTTCCCTGTAACCTCACTTCTCGCAGCGAGGGAACCACCAGAAAGCCCTCGGTGCTGGACCTCAGTGTCCGGGCTGGACAATGGGGGTGGAGACGCTCCTTCAGGTATACAGGACCAAGGCCGTTTAGGGCTTTCAAGGTCAGCACCAACTTTGAATTGTGCTCGGAAATGTACTGGGTGGGTATGGCTGGGGCAAGAGGGCTTGCTTCCACTTGGGAAGTCTTGCCTAGTTCAGTGTCTGTGTAGTACTTGCCTGGTAACCATTGCTGCCTCCAAGGCTAGTGGGTTTTGTTTTGTTTAATTTGGCTTTGTCAGAAACCAGAATGTGCCACCACTACCTGATTTTTATCACATTTTGTATGCTCTCTTTCTTCTAAGGAGCTAAGGGATGGTTGTTTTGTTGCAGTTAAAGTTAGATATGGTGACTGACTGAAGACTGCACAGTGAGTGGCCGTTTGAACCTGGGTCTCCCTGCTCCAAGTCTGCTCCAAGACAATGGCCTTCCAAGCCTACAATGAGTAGAGTAACTCAAGAGTAACGCAGCTTACATGCTTTTACACCTGACAACAGAACATTTTAATTTGGCATGTCATATTCAAGAAAAATCGTTGTAGTTGTTGCTGCTTCACTGGCTCCCTGTTTTTTGATTTCATAGTAGAGGGGAAGGAAGAATGTGTCTTATGAGAAATAGGCTGCTCCACCCACTTGCTTTTCGGTGACTTAAATACACACAGGGTGAAACGTTTCCAGGCTGTTCTCTTCCTACGGTGGTTTGGGATCATTCTGTCTGAATTGCACGTGACTTTGTATTTTGTGGTGATGGGTGCTCTCTTCCCCTTCACTAGGTGGACCTCTTCAAAAAGACGCTCTTGTTAATTCCTATTCATCTGGAAGTCCACTGGTCCCTAATTACTGTGAATCTCCCTAACCGAATTATTTCGTTTTACGACTCTCAAGGCATTCACTTTAAGTTCTGTGTCGAGGTAAGATTAACTTGTTGTTACAGCTGTTCTACTAAACAGCGTCGGCCTTAGAAAAAGCACTTAGCTCCCCCCCCCCCCAATCCTTTCACAGGGCTCTGATTTTTTCGGTAATCCTTTGGAGCGTCCAATCTACACATTTCAGGACTCTTTGGCCCAAAACAGAGAGCACTGTCAGTGTGGAAACTGGCCCAGATGTAGTTCAGAAGTTGTTGTGCGAATTAGACAAGTCTTCAGGCAAGTGACATACCAGTCTCAAGGATCCCAGGCCAGGTGCTATATTGTTTGGTAGCGTTTCCTTGTCTTGAAGCTTGTCTTGCAACTCTGCTGCAGCCACAGACCCTAGGAGTTTATATAATTTCAAGACTTGCTTCTCCAGCAGTAAATTTCATGCATACCCCACATTTGCGAAAGCGACAGTTCCTATCCAGTGTATCTAAATTAATCCTAAATAGCTTCCAAATAGTTTATGCCCTTTATCAATCCCACTTCTACCCCGCTCCCTTCTGTAAAGATCTCAAGGCCCTGTGTATGATGTTTATTTCATTTTTACCTTTTGCGTTGGGCCTGCTTGGTGTTCTTGTGAGCTTGGGGTCTCCCAGCTTCACACGATGGGCAATTGCAGAATTAATCCCAGTCTCCTCCAGTCCAAGCAGAAAACTCTCTTCACTATACCCACAGGTATCCTCTGCAGGGAAGCACTCAGTTAAGATGTTTTCATAGCAGTATTCAAATGGCCCTTATTCATGTCCCCCACCCCCTCTTCTTTAAAGAACATACGCAAATACTTGCTGACAGAAGCTAGAGAAAAGAACCACCCCGATTTCCTTCAGGATTGGCAGACTGCTGTTACAAAGGTAAGGACCACCTGTGTGGTTTTTAGAAAGAAGGCTTTGTTGAGTAAGATGAAACACGCAATGTCCACTGGAAGTCAGAAATCTCCACCTTTCCCCAGGAAGCCCAGAGAGCGTTTGCTATGAAAACCCTCAACATGTGACATGTTACCACCAAAATGCAGGGATGGAGAGCCTGTAGCCCTCCAGATTCTTGGGGACTACAACTCTCATCAGCTCCACCTGGTGTGGCTGATGCTCAGGAATTATGGGAAATGGAGTCCAGGGACATCTGGAAGGCACAGTGAGCATAAGAAGAGCCTTCTAGATCAGCCAGTGACCTGTCTGGTCCAGCATCCTCCGTACGCTCTTTAAAGGGAGCGCGGCTCTTAGGGGAGTCTTAGCCGCGCACAGCCTCTCCCGGGCAGGGGGGATGAAGGCTCCCGCTGCCCGGGAGAGGCTGTGCGCGGCTATCGCTTGCTGTCCTGGCTTCTGGGATTCAGAATATTTTTTTCTTGTTTTCTTCTTCCAACAGCTAGGTGCGTCTTATGGTCTGGTGCATCTTATAGAGCGAAAAGTACAGTAATTCTGATGAAATAAATGAAATTGTGAAATGGAAAAAAAAATCTGTGGTGGAGGTGGAATGGGGAAATTAGAGTTGAGCAGTATTTTACGTTCAAAACCACTGTGGGTTCATGGCTTTGCTAGGATGGAGTTAGCAGATTGTAGGCAACGGCGTGTTGCATGACCAAAAGAAGCACATCTTATCTGAGGTGCCTGGGGGGCTCCTGCAGTGAATGGCAGGGGGATTTAAAAGTGGTGGAAGTGACCCCCCCCCCGATCTACCAAGACATCCACGTTACTCCAATACGACAGCCGCTTGCAACCAGATGTAGTCTGGCAGTGATAAAAGGGAACAACTTGTGTGAAGTGCAAACAAGGGAATTTGTGACTTGCATAACCATATCCTGTAATAGTTCTGAAGAGATAAAATGGGTCATTGAACATTAAGCTGTCTCCCAACGGCTTCCTGGTACAATGAGGCATCTTGAGGCTTTATTACTGCATGAGGAAGTTCTCTCACTTCTCCTCCACCCCACCCCCCAAAAGTGACTCTCTGCAGCCCTGGGGGCGGGGAGGTAGTTTGAGGTCTAGGACATAACCTAACCTCTGGAGTGTCTGGTGATTTTTATGTCTGGAGAATCTGGAAGATGTGCTGGTAAAGCTGGAGTGTTTCCAAGCCAGCTTGGCTTTGTTGTAATCGCTGCAGGGAGCAAGAGATTCAGGACCTATCCTCGCGTTGTGTTTTTCAAGTGCACACCTAAAAATAGCAGAGATGCAACTGTGGCACCTGCCTTTTTAAATATACATTTTGAATATTAATGTACCTAAAACTGCACTGTTCAAAAATATAGATTTGCACCATGGAGGAAGTAAAAGGAGAACCTATTTAATTTCATATTACTTGTAAGCCACTTTGGTAGGATTCATATCCTGAAAGATGGGATATAAATAATTGTAGTACATTTATAGGGGGTGACTCAAGGTGGTGGATCGCTGTCCTACTTGGCCCAGCAGACATATTGCCGAAGTCCTCCTTAAGAAACTCAGTTCTCTCCTTCCTTGTATACTTATGAAACAGGTCTCCAGGATTCACTGGGGGAAGCTTGCATGGACGTAGCAATTTTGGGGAGGGGTGGATGGGATAATGGCACACACCAGCCAGACCTGCGGAGGGGACCTTGGATGCAGGCAGGTGGACTAGTTGCTGGGGCCAACAGACGCTGGCCGGGGTGGGGGGGTGCCAAAGCATAGTAAAAACTGGGGGCTGTAGGATGTCATTTGGTTGCAAACACAGACTTGTCACTTCATGCATTATGCCACTGTTTATCAAACTTGAGTCCCCAGCTGTTGTGGGGACTACAACTCCCATCATCCCTAGCCAGGAGGACCAGTGGTCAGAGATGATGGGAGCTGTAGTCCAGCAATGACTGAGGACCCAACTTTGAGAAACACTGGCATAATGCATGAAGCAGCCGTTGAGTAGCCCCACTAAGACCCAGCCAGAACTTACTTTTCTTCTTTCCAACACTAGACAGTGCTTGTGTCCATGTTGCTGAGGATTAGGCCTGTGATGTTCAGCTGCTTTCTGTGCCTCTTTGAGCACCTGCTACAGATTACCCTGAAACACACTGACTTGGTGCCCACAGAACCGATGAGTAAAAATGTGTCCCGTACCAAGCCTTCAAATTACTGGCATTGATATGCAGGCTAATCACTCTAAAATACTTCCATTTGCCATAGCTTTATGCCTTTGTAGCTTTCTAAAGCTGTTAAGGAGGTGGGATGCAGAAATCTCTCCCTCCCTCACCCCCCCCCAGTGAAGCCTAGAGACAAATGCTTCTCTGATCTGGCACATTTGGGCTTCTGCGGGCGCCAGTGTGCAAGCACGAAACAAATTCTTCCTGTGTAAAGCAGATAGCAATGTTCAAATATTTACTCAAAATAATTGAGGAGAAACTATCCTGCTGAGGTCATTAAAAATTTGGTGCTGGGCTGGGAGATGTAATTTGTTTTCTATTATAAAATGCGTATTTGCGTTAAATTACTTGGCCCGATCCATGCAAGGATCTGAGCGCCTCCTTGAGTATAGAATACATGGGCTGTGTGACACAGCCCGGTCTGTCCTGACCTCTTGGCTTTGATTTACTTCAGAGGACCATCCCCTAAAATAAGCTACACTCCCTTTTTTAAAAAAAAAAGAAAAGAAACAAGGATGGGGAACCTGAGGCCCTTAGACCCTGCCAGAATGGCCAGTGGTCAGAGATGGTTGCAGGTTCCCCATCCCTGAACTGTTAGAACTGTTTCCTTCTCTTCAAAATGGAAAAAAGAAATGTTTTGCTGTTGAATTATAGCTGAATTTCTGGTTGATGTGGATATAGACTTCATCCCAAAAGGTCCTGGGACGAATCCACCCTTGCTCTGGGATCCCAGGGATTTCCAATCTACTTGTATGTGTCCCACGCCCCCTCCATCTGTTCCAGAAGTTTGGGGGAACTTCCAGGACAGATTTAGGGAGCAAGAGCAGAAGAGTTCTTTGTGCTGACGGGACAAGGGAGTTAGTGCTGTGTTGGGTTCCACCTTCTGAGTCTGCAGATGCTGTTGGTTCTGCAAAAACATTCCTTCCCTGGCACAGTGTAGAAGTGATGAGGCATTGGTTTATCTCTCTCTCCCTCTCCACATTGCTGCTAGGAGTCACTCCTCTTTGCTGGCTCCAGACAAGAGTGAAGTAGGGAGAGTCGAGATGTGAGACAGTGCAGAAAAGTATGAGAGTAGTTGATCAGCCACCACCGGGTACCCCTTGCTCACTGCTACTGGATTGTCCTGCAAGCAGTCAAAGAACCCAAGTGGTTATCTGCCTGTTCTGGAACAGGTGTCCCACAAGCCCGATTGGCAAAGGACTTGTGCCAGGAAGAGGAGTATATAAGAAAAGTGGCTTCTGGATCAGCCCAAGGCCCATCTAGTCATAGACTTGTAGAGCAGGAAGGGACCATGAGGGTCATTTATTCCAACTCCCTGCAGTGCAGGAATCTTTTGTTCAGTGTGGGGCTTGAACCTGAGATTAGGAGTCTCATGCTTTACTAACTGAGCTATCCCAGCATCAGGTCCAGCGCTCTATTCTCTCAGTGGCCAATTGGATACCTGCAGGACAGCTCTCTTCCCACCTGTGCACCCATGGTTCTTTCTCTTATATCACCCTTTCGACAGGTGTGGCTAGGAAATGTGGAGGCTGCTCCCCCAGCTTTCATTTGGAGGAGAGTCTTGAATGGGGAATCATTCTATGGATGTTTGAAATTTATTTGCGTTTCCCCCCACCCCTCTTCCCCTTCTAGTGCATTCCACAACAGAAAAACGACAGTGACTGTGGAGTTTTTGTGCTCCAGGTAAGGATGCAATCGTTTTTTTATATTTTATTATTTTTGTGTGTGCTTCCTCCCTCTTTAGAATCTTCCTTGCAATAATTTTCGGTTCTGGTTCCTAACTCTCTCTCATTTCTCTCCCCTCCCGCAGTACTGCAAGTGCCTCGCCTTAGACCAGCCTTTTCAGTTCTCCCAGGAAGACATGCCTCGGGTGCGAAAAAGGATTTACAAGGAGCTCTGCGAATGCCGGCTAATAGACTAATAAAAAGGAAGAGAAGGAAAGAGAGAAGCTACTCCTTTCAGCATTTTTGAAGAGCCCTGGCTGGTATTTTGTGTACTTGAATTTTCTGAGAAACTTCCATGGATTTCAAAACGAGTCTTGGCGGAGCAGTGTGGCCAACACAATTACCTCAAACATTTTTTCTGACATGCTCCTTAACCGGCGGACCTGCCACAAAATATTCCCAATGTCAGTTGTTGGTTCCCCCCTCCCCCCTTTTCTTTTCGTTTTCTAATGTTCTTTCCTGTATTTAATATTTATTATCTTAAAACGCATGTGCATAGGCAAAGCATGCGACTAAACGAGAAGTATAAAACTGTAGAATTGGTGCACCTTTTGAAATGTAGCTAGAAACAGAAGAGAATAATACAGGTTAAACTTTTTTGTCTGAAAACATAAAAAATGCATGTTCCATTCCCCCCCTCTCTGATGCAATAATGCTTTGAATGTACAAAGAAACCCAATGCCATAACGAGAGCAGTTACAACATTTCTTCTAAAAAAACGACAACCTGAGACTATTCCTCCTTCAGCCTTTTTTTTAAAAAGCTCTAAATTCCCATTATATTGGGAAGAAGAGGGGTGTGTTGGAAACTGGCCTATATATTTGATTTGTGGAAATCCAGTAAAGTTTTAAATCATTGCAACTTGGGGGGAGAAAATCTACTAGGTGGCTACTAGATCACCCTACAGTTCAAAAGCAATCCCTTGTACACGAGACTCTTTAGTACTAATAAAAGATGGAGATGCTAGTTCGGTTCGGATTTGGTGGTGTTGCTCCTACGCTTGCTCTGGAAACGTCGTCTTCTTTTTTTTAATATGGTCCCATTCTCAGGGTGATTTGTAGGCCACATCTGAGCCCTCCGAGCCTCTCTGCCTTCCTTTACTTCTCTCTCTCTCCCCACCCCCAAACTCCCTTTTCTTGTTCCTTGTGTTTGTTGTGGTGTCGGTGACAGGGTCAAGAGGACAACAGCTCTTTTATCTATCTGTAAGTTTTCTTGCTTCTTGGGGCTTGTCCTGCAGGGAGTCTTAAGATTCACCCCGTGTGCATCAGTGTAGTCCTTCCCCTTCTTTCGGGGTGGTCCGCTTGTCCCCTGGCTTAGGACCAGTGTGATCACTTTCCCCGAGGCTGAATTCTCTCTCTCTCGTGTGTGCGTGTGTGTGCGTGCCAGGAATAAAACTTTTAAATGTGGATAAAGTTACTTTGCGTACTTGAAGAATGTGTGATCTTCTGTTCAAGCTTTCTGAGAAAGAAAGGCCGAGAGTTTTGGATGGGAGTGGGGGGCGGGCAGCAATATGCTAGAGTACCTACACTGCGTGAAATTCCCACCATCCTCTTGGGCAAAGTCTGTATGTGTATCCTGAGGTCAAGTAACTTGGCTTCTATATTTTTTTTGTGCTTGAATGAAAGCTGAATTCTGCAATTTCACATTTTCCTGGTGCAGCTAGAGACGTCCTGATTCTGAGAACCCTGGTGTGAACTTTCCTGGCAAACTGCTGATTTGAAGATGGGTACTGTTAGCAGTTCAAGTAAGAGGAGTGGCATTTAGAGCTTCCATGCATTTAGGGGGCGCTCTTTCTACCACCACTTTATTTACTGAGAAATCCCTGCATGAGAAATCCCCGTCAGAACCTCATAGAATCATAAAATTGGAAAGTACCCCAGATGGTCCTGCAATTCACTTTTCCTATTCTAATAAAAGGTGGGTTCTTTTCATTGCTCCTAAGTTGAAAAGGTTTTTCAGATCTAATAATAATAATAATAATAATAATAATAATAATAATAATAGTGTATTCTGGCACCAGTTCTTAAAAGTAAGCAGCTGGGGTGGTGACGTCGTCAGCAAATGGAGCTGGTCTCTCAGCAGAGCCGATGGAGTGGCTCTGCTTCTTCTTCTGCAGCAGCAGCCTGATGGAACAGTTGCTTGCCAAGTGACTGCTGAAGGAGGCAGGAGCCTGATGGATTACGTAGTGCTTTTGCTCTGGGAGTGGCCACCTCCCTGCTGCAGTGGCGTCTCTAATTCCATCACGTTCATTGGACTGCTACGCTTCTTCTGCCAACCAGGATGGCTATACAGTACAGGCATATTTCTGTTCTTGCCATCCCATCTCAGCTCTGGCTCCAGTGAGCAATAATGTAATTTAGTTTCTTGGCGCTCTGTACAAACGCAGTCACCAACGGTGCAGTGCACAAAGTCCTGGAGACGTAAGAATCTATTCCAGAAGCATGTGCAAAGATTATCTCCTTTCCCCTTAGTAAAGCGCATGTAGCAGATTTTTTAAAACTAGCTTTAACTTGCCACCTGCTGGAGTGTCCACTAAATTAAATGTGCAAGGCTTGCAGACCTTTATTTTGCAAGGTTTCGTGCCTACGCTGCCTTCAAGCAATTCATCATGTATGCCTTCTAGTAACATCCTTGTCTTTATTGCATTCATAACTCTTTTCCATTTTTTTCTTTTTATATATATATATATATAAAACCTTCCTTTGAGAGGAAATTGTGCGCCGTTGTTAAATATTTCTTATGGGGGGTGAGTGCTAAGAAATCAGGAGATTAAAATACAAAACCATAAAGAGGCAGCTTGTCAGCCCCTTTGCCAGGCACAATAATTGCTATTTATGTGTAATGGCTATCGGCGGTAAAAGAGACAACTCAACGTTTGCATTGAAGATTAATGGGTTTTGCAAGCAGCCGTCTAGAAGAATCCTGGCCTTGCATGTTGTCCCCTGAATTTGTAGTGCTACAGGTTTTTGTTTTTTGTTTTTAAAAAAATCCCTTTGAGGTTAGAGACGAACACTTGTTTTTCCTGATGAACAGTCCTGGCATATTCCCTTTGAAATAGAGCAGTTGCCTAGTTCACACATGTTTGCAGGACTTAAAAGACTTCATGATAAAAAGTTAGTGGCTTCTTTTTTAAAACATTTTTCATCAAATCCTTCCTCCAAGAAGCTTAAAAGTTATACAAATGGCATATTCTGGTCTTTCAACCTCTTTTATACTTGGCAGTGCTTTGAAGTAGGTGATGTTGAGCAAAAATGATGGGTCCTGGTCTCTTGGCAGACTTTATGGCCGTGTGTGGATTTGAATTACGGGTCTTCCCACCTGTCATTGCGTGATTTATCCATTACACACACTGCCTGGGTATTCAGTACTTGAAGAAGGACATCTCACATGACCAAAGAAAGGATTGTAGCTATTCGTCCTCAGCTTGCTGTTCCGAAGTTCTTTAAACATCCCTCATTCTCAAAACTCTTCCTTTGTCTCCCTCCCCCTCTGCCAGACCCATAAGATTCCGATGCTTTTGCTCAAAATTGCCAGTTCTTGAACTAAAATTGCAGCATTCCATTAAGCGGGGAGGTCTGTCCCATACCTGTCCCATACCTGTTTGCATATAATTAGATCATTCCTGCCAAAATCACGTGAAACTAGAGTTTCTCTCTGCCTTTTGGGGCTGCGTCTTTCAGGTAAGTTTAATAGAAATATTTTTGGGGTTTAGCTGAACAGGGCGTTTCAATACATTTCTTTATATTGGATATGATTTCCTGTCAGTGCTTTTCAGCTTCAGGGCAATTCCACCAGCAGTGAGTGAAATCTGATCTTAACTTCTCCCGCTTTCCAATAGCTGTCATTACTGGTGTTATAAATTCTAGCTATTCTGAGTTGGGTTAGGATACCAGGTCGTTTATAAGTTCCATGAACATGCTGCATGCTTGTTAATGTTAGCCCCAATGTATATGCTGGTATCTGGTATTCCAGTCATTACTTACCATTTTGTAGCATTATTACATTTATCATCATCATCATTTATATCCCACTTTTCCTCCCAGAAACTCAAGGTGTCATTCATAGTTCTTCACCCCTCCCTATTTTATTCCCACAACAACCCTGTGAGGTTGGTTAAGCTGAGACTGCCCCAAGGTTGCCCAGTGAACTTCAATGCTAAATTGCAGATTTTGCACCCTGGCCTCCCATATAATTTTCAAAAGTTTTGCTCTTTTTTTAAACTCCCAACTGCTTTGATCCTTTTCTGAGTTCTCAACCAGCTGTTTAAGAAATATCTTAATTTGAAAATATTCATGTCACAAATTCTGTGTCCCTCAGCGTATTGGGCTTCAGTTGGTTATTTGAAATTCAAGCAGCGGTTGTCTCAGTTCCTGCTTTCTGCCCATTAGAAACTTGGCCTAGAATACCATCTTTATTAAACTGCAGAAGAAATAAAACACAGGCACTTGGTGGGCATAATTTGGCTTTAAATTTGTCTCTTCCAGGAAAAAAAACACCCACTGGTAGATCCCTTTAGGTTTCTCATTAGTCCTCATCCACTGGAATTGGAATTCTTACGAAGCTTTTTTTTTAGTTATTTTATATAATCTTGTCCTGGTTCATAGCACCAGTCGTGAACCGATTAGCTTTTATTTTATTTGAATAGGATATTGGATGACAAATACTGTCCATTTTGCTCTCTGTCTGTAGTGACCTTAAAGGAGCTTTTCCAATTTGATTATTTGTATAATCAGTATATAGTACAGCAATGCTCTCTAGTGGTTAGAGCAGGGTCCCCGAAATGTGTGGTACCACCCTCTATATCGGGGTGGGATTATGCAGGCGGTGCAAATAGCCACCTGGCTATTACAAACGGCTACCACTGGATCAAGTTCATTTATTTTGTTGAACAAATTAAACTAGTTTTAATTGGCTTTTGAACGAATGTGCAATTAATTATGTTAGTGGGTTGTGCAAACCCACTGTTCTGAATAATGCTTTTTTCTATAGTAGTGGGCTTTGGGGAAGAGTTTATGGAACCAAGGGATTGGCACCCTGAAAAGTTTGGGAACCATTGTTTAGACTAGCGTGTTGCACCAGAGTAAGATTCAAATCCTGCCTCAAGCACGTAAAGGTAAAGGACCCTGGACAGTTAAGTCCAGTCAAACTTTACTGGTGCGGCACCCACTGGGTGGTGTTGGGCTAACGCAATATTTCATAACCTACCTCACAGGGTTGTTGGGAGGAAAAAACAGTGATGGAGAGAACCATGTATGCTGCCTTGAGCTCTTTGGAAAAAAGGTGGGCTTTAAATGTGTTAATTAGGTAATATAATCATCTAATTATTAGGTTAGATGACCTTGCCAACAAAGGTCCATATAGTTCAAGCCATGGTTTTCCCAGTAGTGATGTATGGAAGTGAGAGCTGGACCATAAAGAAGGCTGATCGCCGAAGAATTGATGCTTTTGAATTACGGTGCTGGAGGAGACTCTGGAGAGTCCCATGGACTGCAAGAAGATCAAACGCATCCATTCTTAAAGAAATTAGCCCTGAGTGCTCACTGGAAGGACAGATCGTGAAGCTGAGGCTCCAATACTTTGGCCACCTCATGAGAAGAGAAGACTCCTGGAAAAGACCCTGATGTTGGGAAAGATGGAGGGGACAAGGAGAAGGGGACGACAGAGGACGAGATGGTTGGACAGTGTTCTCGAAGCTACCAGGATGAGTTTGACCAAACTGCGGGAGGCAGTGGAAGACAGGAGTGCCTGGAGTGCTCTGGTCCATGGGGTCACGAAGAGTCGGACATGACTAAACGACTAAACAACAACAACAACAAATTATTAGGTAATAATAATAATTGCGTGCAAACATACACATTGCTGAAGAGGTCTTGGGCCTAAGCAATTTAGGTAGAGTTGCACATAACTTCTGTCCTAAGAATAGAATCATAGAATCATAGAGTTGGAAGAGACCACAAGGGCCATCGAGTCCAACCCCCTGCCAAGCAGGAAACACCATCAGAGAATATTTCAATATTTAGCTGAAATTGTGGAAACCGAGAACTGAAGCAGAAGTTCAGTTCATTTGGCTGCCTCCCTAATGTTGGCCCTTTCACTGAGGGGTCTCTGACCCACCTGGAAACGAAGCCTCAAACTTCTGCCGGCACTCACAGCGTTGAATGTGAGGTTGATACCATCATGAGCACAAATAATCGTGAATAATCCAGATGATGGGGTTGTGCATCATCCTTGGAATAGGCTGCTGAACTTGGTCTTTCTGCCAGCCTTTTCCCCTGATGGGTCTGAATACCTTGTTTATAGGCACTGCTTCGCTTTACCCCCTTTTCGTCACTCAGAGCAGTTTGGACAGCCTCACTCAGGGGAAATCACGGCTGAGTTTTGATCAGTCGGCTCAAGACTTTCAGAATTCCCCAAGCAGTGTGTCTGCAGTTACTCCAAAGGGGTTGGCTTCCATCGTTTGCAAGAGCAAACTGTTGCTATTAACATCCTGACCTCCCAAATTTGGTGAAATGGAAGCTGGTGCCCTTTCAGTCTTGCGTGTTCTTTTATTGGTGATGGGGGTGCATGGGATTTCTTACCAAAGCACAGACCCCAGAAATGGGTAGGCTATAATTTTATTTTAGAGCGCAGTGCTAACACAGTACTGCTGGTAACATCTACCAACAATTTCATACTAAATTTTACAGCTGCTGCAAGAAACCAGGAGATTCCCCCTAGAATTCCAAAAGTACCATTTTACCTTCTAGAGGAATGAGCATTCCTACAGCTGGGGTTTGTAACAAATTGATGGTTTTTGGTTTTTTTTAAAAATGGAAGATCATGTTGTCACCTTTGAAAATGGCACTTCTTCGGAATGGACTTATGCCAAAGAGGATAAATGGACTATAGCCAACTAAGCTGTACTTTGAATAGATCTATTAAAATCAATGGACCCAAGTCCATTGACTTTAATGGTTCTGTTCTGCGTATGCCTAACATCAAATCTCAGGCAATGTATCCATGTCTATATTAGAACAAGGGCTGGGTTGTGCTTTCACAACAGTTCTCTTTTGGGATGTGAGATGGGGAACACTGATCTAGAATTTTTTTAATCTATAGCCTACATACTATTGTTTGGGCCCAGCACTGTGGTATTACATGGAAATCTGCTGGAAACATGTACTATTTTGAGATAGGTACTATATTTTAAATGGAACATAAAGGTAAAGGGACCCCTGACCATTAGGTCCAGTCGTGGCCGACTCGGGGGTTGCGGCGCTCATCTCGCTTTATAGGCCGAGGGAGCTGGCGTACAGCTTCCGGGTCATATGGCCAGCATGACTAAGCCACTTCTGGTGAACCAGAGCAGCGCACGGAAACGCCGTTTACCTTCCCGCACTTTGACGTGCTTTCGAACTGCTAGGTTGGCAGGAGCAGGGACCGAGCAACGGGAGCTCACCCCGTTGTGGGGATTTGAACCGCCGACCTTCTGATTGGCAAGTCCTAGGCTCTGTGGTTTAACCCACAGCGCCACCCGCGTCCCAAATGCAACATAGCAAACTATAAAAAAAACAGCAGATAAAACTAAAAAGGATATCTTGAACCAAACTCAGCAGGCAAATTTCTGTTGCAAAATAATTTTTAAAAATGGTTCAGTTTTGCAAGGTTACAAGTAACACAAAGGAGGTTTGCATGGTCCTGTAGCTTATTGCTCCAGTGCATTAGAAAAAGTCTGTTTCTCCATATATTACTTTCTGCCCTCTTATACTTTGTCCCAGATGTCAGTTATCCATGTTTCCCCCCAGTTTTGACAAATCTTGCTCGTTGAAATGAATCGCAGTTAGGCAAGAGGAAGAACAAAGCAACTCGACCCATTTCTGCAAGTTTTAATGTGTAAGCAGTTTCAAGTGGCCCTTCTCTGCTTCTTACGGCCTGATCCATGCTACATATCACTGGTGTGATACGCGAGTGCTTTTTCCAGCTGGGAAGCGGGTTGGAAGAGCCTGGCGTGTAAACAAGTGTCAACTGTGCGATGATTGAATCTTCCTCGCAGAGGGATGCGCTACCGGGGATGAAATCCGAAGAACTGTATGGGACGCTGCATGTTTGTGTTTAAGGCAGGCCTCTCAAACTCGTGACCTGCTAAGTCGGGTCTGCTAGGTACTGAAGCACTGCTATACACACACAAACACACACACACCGGTCCTCCTCGCCCCCAGTTCTGGGCAAACTGCCACAGGACTGCACTTTGTAACACACAAATTGGGCCTCTGACTTGTGATCCTCCTCTTTAAAAGGTGCAAATATATCAGCAGCTGCTTTGAATTCTCAGTACATGCAACGTTTTCCAATCTCGCTCTTTAAAACTCAAAATGACTGAAAGGGAAAATGTTTTAAAACAACAACACCCCCCCCCAAAATAAACCCCCACTGCACTTCAGACAGATTCAAATTCAGTTTTTCATATTTAAAGTGGAAGGGTGGCAAGGCCGGTAGAGAAAACTGTGACTTTAACAAACTGCACCCATTTCTTGCAAGCCAAGCTGTCCAAATAATTTGAAGACTTGCTTCCTTCTATGCAAGACGAGAGAGTGTTGGGGAGGGGGGAATCAAGATCTTATCTGTTCTGTTTCTAGTCTATCTGGGAAAGAAATCAAATGGCGTTTTCCTTGAAAAGCAGCAGACCTGCAGATAATACATATTCATCGAGACACCATTTGATCTTGGCACATTTTTCTCCTCTTCCCCCTCTAGTGAACTATATTTCATATAACTATAATGATCTTTCTTTCTTTCTTTTAAATCAGTGGATTTGCAGAACATCTTGATTTGCTGAGCTGTGGCAATTCTTTGGTTGCTGAAATCAAGTATTTATTTATTTGGGTTAAAGAATAGCCAGCGAGTGGTCCGGTGGCTTAGATCTATCTCATAAAGCTATTTTATGTCCTTCCCTAAAAGTGAGGTGTTAAAAATTCCTTCACTGCTAAGGAAGAAAATGTTTCTCCCCCAAAAAAGTTCTTGTGCGAGACAGAATGACCCTCTCTCTGTCCATACAAGACTCGGGAAGACAATAGATTTTTAAGAGCATTTGTTGTGGTTATTTTTTTAAAATCACCTTTTATTGTTCAATAATGGGACTTGTGTTTGTGGCATACTATTCTGTGTACATCGGCTCATTTAGTTGTTTATAACGATAGTCACTTGGTAGTGTTTGGAGTCAGAAATATTTCTGCCTAAAATAAATAAACGTAACCTAAACATACAGGAAGTGAGGCCTCTCCTCACAGTAGGAAGTCTGCATTGCAGGGGGTTAGACTAGATGACCCCCAGGACCCTTCCAGTTTTATAATTCTGTGCAACAGTACTCTTTCCCACCTGTGATTCCCAATGACTGGCCTTTGAAGGTGCCATGGTTTCGTAGCCATTGATAACCTTATCCTCCCTGAATCTGTCTAATCCTGCCTTTCTCAACCAGTGGGTCCCCAGATGTTGTTGAACTACAACTCCCATCACTCCTAGCTAGCAAGGCTTAGAGGCCCAGGGATGATGGGAGTTGTAGTCCAACAACGTCTGGGGACCCACAGGTTGAGAACCGCTGGGCCTCTAATCCTCTTGAAAAGCAGTCTGAACTGCTCTCTGTCACTGGTTCCCCCTGCTCACTAAACCCTGTTGCCCCTTCAGCACCCAGCACCTCCTCCCAATCTTCCCCTTGTGATCTCTTCTCATTGTCTTGCCACCAATCCCTGGGGCTCTGAGCCTTCCTCCTCTGGGGTTTCCCTTGGGAGCGGGGGTTTCCCTGACTGGTGCCTCCCAGCTCTCGTGGTACAACGAGAGCCAGCACGGTGAAGTGGTTAAGAGCGGTGGACTTGTAATCTGGTGAACCAGGTTCGATTCCCCGCTCCTCCACATACAGCTGCTGGATGACCTTGGGCCAGTCACACTTCTCTGAAGTCTCTCAGCCTCACTCACCTCACAAGAGTGTTTGTTGTGAGGGTGGAAGGGAAAGGAGAATGTTACCTGCTTTGAGACTCCTTAGGGCAGTGATAAAGCGGGATATCAAATTCAAACCAGTCTCTGACACAGTGGTTCTCCAGGCAGGGAATATTTCCCATCCATACCTGGAGACGCCGTGCGGGATTGAACCTGGGACCTTCTGCACACAAGGCAGACACTCAGCCACTGGGCTAAGGCCTCCCCCTGAGCTGTGGCCCTCCAGATGCTGATGGACTGCAACTCTCATCATCCCTGGGCATTGGTACCCAGGCTGGAGTTGATGGCAGTAGAAGGACACAGGGAAGCCCACTTCCCCCTGCTCCCTTCACTGCAGGATCTCTGTTGGTGGTTTTTACTCATTCGCACCGAGTGCCCTGAACAAGAAGGACTTAGAATCCTAGAATCGTAGCGTTGGAAGGGAACCAAGGGTCATCTAGTCCAACCCCCTGCAATGCAGGAATCTCAGCTGAAGCATCCACGACAGATGGCCATCCAAACCCTGCTTTAAAAACCTCCAAGGAAGGAGAGTCCACCACCACCCAAAGGAGACCATTCCACTGTTGAACAGCTCTTACTGCCACAAAGTTCTTCCTGATGTTTTGTTGGAATCCCCTTGTAACCTGAAGCCACTGGTTTGTGTTCTGTCTTCAAGAGCAGGAGAAAACAAGCTTGTTCCCTTAAGAACTCAAAACGGCAGCTCATAAACAAAGTGAGAGTCACGGAAGATCTCGCTGAACTCTTGTCACACGTATTGCTGCATTTCACTTTCAGAGACACCTTTGGGGCTTCTGGGTGTTTTTTGGGGGGAGAGAAGCTGTGTTGTCTCCCTTTAGAAATGTTTAAATATAGTGTGACCAAACGAGGTCTGTGTGATTGAACGCATCTGGGTTGGGCCACCAGATGTCGCCCAAGTGCTACAAAAAAAAAAAAGCATTTGAGTGAAATTCTGGAATGTGGTATTTGTCAAATGGCTAATTAACAGCAAAATCTTCTGATGTTTGTAACCTGTCATATTAGCAGCCAGTATGTTCACTCCTGAAACCTGAAATATGCAAGTCTGTTTTTAAAAGCCTCTTACCATCTGTCAAATCCACCAAACAGGCCTTTGTCTTAAATACACAAAAAGCGTACTTGATTTTTTTTTTCTGGGGGAGGGGGGAGGAAGAGGGGGGTGGAAAACTATTTCAGAGTTGTGCTTCCTGCATTATTAACTGCCCCCCACCCTACTGACAAGGACTCCCTATTGCATTCCTTCTCAGTCAGATTCTTTCATGCAAACTCTTTGTCTGGAATAAGCCAGGCTTTGTGTAGCCTGTGATTCTTTATGTTCACAATTTTGTAGAGCCACTGTAGAACCCTTGCACTGCAATTATTTCAGCTCCTTATAAAAAAAATAGCAATAATAAAATGAAACCAAGTTTCTAGTCCATATGGCACTGCACACGGGTTTGAAAAGGTGTGGAGACAGTTCCTGGTAAAATGTCAGATGAAAAGGCGGTACGGTCAGAAATCGCTCCAATGTTCTTCGTAGCTTAGAATCATAGAATTGGAAGGGACCCCAAGGGTTATTTAGTTCAACTCCCTGCAACGCAGGAATATGCAGGTGGTCCATTTGGGAATCAAACCTGCAACCTTGGCGTCACCATCAGCATTCTCTAACTAACTGAGCTAACTTCTTGCTCCTCTTTTGGGGAAGGGTCAGTACGTCACTGGTACATCATTGGGTCAGTGCCTTGCATTTCCAGTTTTGAAAATCCTTGAGGATAAAGTCATTGTTGGTTTTTGCAATGCCTTTTCCTCCTAGTGATGCAGAAAATTCTGAGTCTCCGGGTTTCTTACTTGCTGTCCAATGCATCTCTGGAGCAGCCTCCCCCAACGTGGTGACCACCAGATGCTTTTAACCATCGCAGAATTGTAGAGTCGGACAAGACCCCAAGTGTCATCTCGTCCAACCCCCTGGAATACACATCGGCCCCCGACCACCATGGCCAACAGTCCCGGGTGATCGCAGTTGTAGTTCAACCAAGAGATGGGTGGGCACCAGATCACTTGGTCCTCATCTAGCCATCAGAGTTGACCCAAGTGCTGCTGAAGAAAATGGCATCCCCGTGATGCTTTAAAACACAAAAACACAAAACCAAACCACACATATTGCTCAATGCACTTACCTCGCATCTGGTCGTTCTTGCCAAAGCATCTTCTCCACTCTACTCATTAGCGTTTACACATCTTTACCTGTGTTGAAAAAAAGTGTTGAGGTGTTTTGCCACCATGCTGGAGCACTCTAGAGTTGCACACCTCCAGCAGGTGCGAGAAAGAGGTCTCTGTGTGGGCTGATGCACATGCATTGAGCTCCTCCATGTGAGCCTGATCAGAGGATGCAGAGCTATTTACCACACCTGGTAAAGACTTTCCCCAGTGGGTGGCAGGAGGAGGCAAGGCTGGGGTATGCTGATGAGGCGTGGGGCAAGCCCCACACTTGTTCCTTCAATGTATGTGTGGTTGTTATCGGTTTACCGGTTGTGCTATGCATTTCCCCGTCCCAGGAGCAGGGATTGGGGGCATGTGTTTTGTAATGCTGTTCTGACCAAGGTGGGTGTCAGGGACATGGCTGAATCGAATGCCTGGGAAGAGTCTGATGGAGATGAATGAATGCTAGTCCAGAGGGAGCCAGAGCCTGACTCTGGAGCCATGGGATTGCAGCCACAGACAGAGCAGGAGTGAGTTAGTTTGGCCCCCCTTCATCAAGAGTTCCCAGAGCAGCAGACTCGGAGAGCTTGCAGGCAGAGGGAGGGGAGGAGATAGACAACATAGAGGGGGTTGCTATGCAACCAGGAGGGAGGCTACATTTAGAGAGACCTTCTCCCTGAACCAGGAGAGCTGAAAGGGTTAAAATGCAACAGAAGTACAAGAGAGGAAGGATGGGACTTTGGCACCCTTTGTGTTGCGAAAGGGGGAGAGACTCAGAGTGACAGGGGTCAGCAAACTTTTGCAGCAGGGGGCCGGTCCACTGTCCCTCAGACCTTGTGGGGGGCTGGACTATATTTTTGGGGAAAGAAAAAAAGAACGAATTCCTATGCCTCACAAATAACCCAGAGATGCATTTTAAATAAAAGCACACATTCTACTCATGTAAAAACACACTGATTCCCAGACCGTCTGGGCCAGATTTAGAAGGCGATTGGGCTGGATCCGGCCCCCGGGCCTTAGTTTGCCCAACTCATAGCTAAGAGCGGCAGGCTCGGAGCCACGCTCTGGATGCTAATTGTTAAGAAACTTACCATAAAACTGCCAGAGACTCATTAATTCTTATCGGGGCTTGCCTGCCTGCTTGCCTGAGATCATTACAGCGAGTGTCCCCTAAAGCAGGGGATTAGCAGTGGTCCGTGAGCTTCACTTAGGGGGTCTGCAGTGCATCCATAAAGATACAACTCAAAACCAAGCAATGTCTAGCACGGCATGTTACAACTGCTGCAACGGGCAGAGAAATCAGAAAGAGGTCTGCGCAGGGGTCAGCAGCTTTTGAGTGATCCATGGGGAGGGGGGAGTTTGGGAACCACTGTCCTCAATGTCACAGAGAAAGAACTAAAATAGAGGACTAGGGCTGTAGTGGTCCTATCAGGCAGCAGAGGCTGGTCCATTAGGGCAAATGGGGTGCTGCCCCACTAACCTAAACTGGTTTCCATTTGCAGCTGGTCTAGGGGGTGGCATTGGCTGCCAGTGTCCGTAGCGTCAGCATTGCCTCTTGCAGAACTCAACGCATAAGAAGATGGGGAGGGAACCAGAATTAGTTGGCCCCACCTGCCATTGGCTATAGTCTGGGCTCCCTGCCTTTTGTCTTCCAGTCCCAGTGGTCACCAGTCACCCTAGTTTGTTGTAGTATTTTTACTGCTAGGGAGTAGGAGAGGTGCTGCACAAGGCATCAAAATAGCATGGCCAGTGCTGGGTGCTATGCTCCTAAATTTGATGGGGAATCCAGCATCATCCTTTCCTCTGCCTCAGGCGGCAAAATGTCTTAAGCTGGGCTGGCATACTTGTTCCTTTTCATGCCAAGAAAGACTTGCATTGCTGCCCTTAATGGCCAGACCTAAGCAGTCATGAAGTCTTGTTAATTTGCTTTGGCACATGTATTTTAATTGAAATATTATCATGGTTTTATCAGGTTATAATTGGCTTTTAAAGTCTTTTTGCCCATCTTAAGTCCTTGCAAAGGGATAGGTTAGAAGCAGGAATGAATAAAATAATTAGAGCTAATTCACATGCTTGGCTTACACGATAAGACTCAATTGCCTGTAACTCTTACACTGCTTGTAACTTTATTTTGCAATGCAGATTTCTTTTTCCTGGCATGTTTTCCCCCTTCCAAAGTGTGCATTGCAAAGTAAGATCCAGAGATAAATTATTAGGGCAGATAGAGTCACAAGTTGTTCAGCTGCTATCCTAGGCTTGCTGTTACAGGCTGATGATCACATTACCTGGTTGCCTAATGAAAGGGGACACGACAGGTTGTGATGGAGATTTCCTAGGTTTTGAAATAATCCACAAGCGGTGTCTCCAGTGTGCTTCCTCGAAGTTCAAAAGACGTGCACGGTGTTCATGACTACTAGCTATAGTAGCTAACAGCAATTTCATAGAATCATAGAATCATAGAGTTGGAAGAGACCACAAGGGCCATCGAGTCCAACCCCCTGCCAAGTATACTTCCATATACTGGAGTATTCATGGGTCCCAAGACTTACCTTGTATCAGCATCTGAGTTGCTTTGTGCTCTGCGTCAGTTGCATCTATCTGTATTTTGGGTTCCAAGTTGCACAGCATAAAATGAAGCTCTGTGTTCTCAAATGGGGAATCTAAAATTGGCTACAACTCCCTGCTTCTTAGCCAAAGTGGATGAAATTTGCAGGTGCAGGATCCCCTCAAGAATGAATTAAGCCTACCAAATTACAAATACTCTGGGAACTTTTTGTGGGGAAAATAGAATTTAATTTCCCCCCATAATCCCTTATGTGTGTGTGAGAGAGCAGGGGGTTGTCTCTTTATGATCCCAAAATAAATAAGATTTGGATGAGAGGTGTGTATTGTTGCTTGAACATTTTTTTTTATAAACCAGCAGCTTCACACAAGCCTCTCTTTCCTGGTTCATGTTTGAGTCCTAAATGTCTCTTAAAAGCTAATAGTGAGGGAGACAAAGGCACCTCACTAGAAAGGGCATTCATCAAAGCAGGGAGCCACCACCGAGAATGTCCTGTCATGGGTCACTGCCAATTGGGTAGCAAGAGGAAATGCCTCATCCAAAAAGTGGCATGGATTTACATGAAATTTGCATACGTAAATGTATAAGCATAGATAAACATTTAGAAAGAATGGCTATACAGTCATACCTTGGAAGTTGAACGGAATCCATTCTGGAAGTCTGTTCGACTTCCAGAATGTTCGGAAACCAAGGCATGGCTTCTGATTGGCTGCAGGAAGCTCCTGCAGCCAATTGGAAGCTGTGGAACCCACGTCGGACATTTGGGTTCCAAAGAACGTTTGCAAACCGGAACACTCACTTTTTTGCGGCGTCCAGGAGCCAAAACATTCAACTCGCAAGGCGTTCGACTTCCGAGGTACGACTGTAATTTATATAGAAATACAATATATATACCATCATAGTGGAGGAAGCTGTTAATTGTTGATGGGACACTTCCAAGACCCACCACCTGTTTTCCTGCCTTCTGGTTCTTTATCTTTAAAGCAAACTTGGATTGGAGAGCCCTCAACGGGAGGATGCCTTCAAATAGACGGCTTCACAGCCAGCGTAGCTGGAAACAGGATTCTGCCCTGGGTGGATATTTCGTCTGTTCCACCAGGACTGCTCTTAAATATTAACCAGTTATTTATTGTTGTATCATATTTTCCTTACTTGTTCAGGGCCCTGGGCAGCTCACAGCATGCAAAAACACAACTGTAAAAGCAAAATTAAAACCGCCTTCTAATATGCAATAATCAAAGCATAACACAACCAGCGCTAACAGTTATATGGATAGGGTGACTCTCTACTGCACCCTGAAAGCCTGCAAAGACAATCAGGTCCTGGGATGATGCCTGGTCATGTCCCGATCAAGATTGAGTCATTGCTCCCTGCAAATTATTTACAGCAGTGGTGATCAACTTAAAGTCCTCAGTCTGATTTCAAAAGGCCCCTGCCATCAATCGGCTCAGACGTCTGGAGAGAACAATCTTTGCCTTTCTCCCCACTTTGGGTGAGTGGGGAGAAAAGGGGGTGTCAGAAAGGAAGAGAAAGGAAAAGTATGTATTGTAAAGAGAGAAAAAGAGGTGGCATCCCCACTCCTGGCTCTCACCATTGGTTACCCACCCTACTAGGAGGCCATCCCCAACAGACTACCTTTGGGGAAATGGTGCCTCAACAGAACTGAGATTAGTTACTCCTCTTTACAGAGATGGATTAGCTCATTCTCACAAATTAGGTCCAAACGGACTTTGGTTTTGGTTTCTGAAAGTTGGATATTACATATACAGTAGGCTGTGTTTGGACTAGTGAGTCTTGGCTTAATAAATTGGGCTGTGCATGAGGTCCTTTGTGTGAGTCAGGAAGCTGTCAGGAGTCCAGGTTCCCAGCTTGATAACACAGTAAGCGTAGGTAATTAAAAAGGAGGATATATTGCAAAAACAAACAGATAGTTCCGGACGGCTCTGACAAAAATCATTACTCAAGATGACCCTTCTGAAGACTTCTTCCTATGTCGACAGAAGATATTGAACTTTTGCCCCTAATGTCGCTTGTTTTGCTTCCTATCAAGCAGCCCTCCCATTCGTCGATTCCTCAGACTGATTGGATTAGCTCCCACCTTTTCTTGCTCTGACGAACTGTCTCCTTTCCTGTCTGAACTGCTGTTCAGCCTGTGTCAGATCTAACTCTCTGTGTTCTGCAGCAGGCTGTGAAGTTACACTAGGAGCTGGCTCATTCCTGACAGAAGCCATAGTTACCTATAGCTTCCTGTTGCATCCGAACCAGGTAAGATACTATGGTTAATACTTCCAAACAAACCAGGATATATGGTTTAAAGCTGCCTACGGATTCTGGCTGGTTAGGAAGCCATTTTTTATTTTAAGCAGCCTATACAAAACCAACCAAACCATAGTTCATATTTTGCATGTAATGGTTTAGCTTTGGTTCCCTGACTTGCTTTCCAGCTTCTGCAAAGGGAGGAGCAAACCACCTCAACTAGGTCATAGTCAGCTTGATCCATTGGCCAGATAAGGAAGGACTGAAGGAAGCAGGAAACAGAAAGAAAGGAAAAAGGAAGGGGCAAATGAAGGAATGGGAAGGAAAGAGGAATACAGTCTAGGATTGTTAGTATGGCTATGTTAGTTCATGGTCCTTTTTAGTAATATATTAACAGTTGTATCAAACTAGATCAGACTCTGAGTTGATCCATTGAAATTAATGGCCTTAATGTTATTCATGCCCATTAATCTCCATGGATCATGGTATGACAAATGTTGGCTACAACCCTTTGTTGCTGTTCTGAAATGTCTTGGTTTGGAAATTGTATTAGGTCTTTATTTGTTTGGGCATATTCTTTTTAATCTGCTTTCGGGAAACGTTTTATTTGAAAAGCAGCCTGCCATTTTAAAAATAAATAGATAAATACTGAGTGGTGGCGGTTGTCAGCATCCGTCTGTCTACTAAGTGAGCTGTAGTGCTCAATAAATGTCCTGCACAGCTAGCGTTGGCTTTCAAGGGTGTGAATTCTCCCTAAGAACAGAAGCCCACCCCAAGCAAGAAAGAAAGGGCTCTGCCCACCGCCCCCAATCTTTTGGAAACCCAAGATAAGGGAGCCACAGTGAGTGACCAACTGGAGGGGAGAAAAGGCAGGAGGAGATGGATGGAGGAGGAATTAATATTCACTTCCTCAAACCGTATGTGTACCAAAATACAGCAGGCCCTTCATAATTTGCACTCCTCTGAATTTTGCAATGTTGTTCTCCGGCCAAGTAAGGTGTCCCAAAAATGCACACTCTAGTGTGCATAAAAATACATATAGCAGTGAGAACAAAATGCAAAAAGGCATTTTGGGAAAATGTGCCTTGCCAAAATGTGTGTATCAGGCAAGATTGCATGTAAAAAATGCACATTCACTCACTCCCACAATGCTGATGAATTTTCATGAGGACTTTTTTTAAAAAAGGCAAACCTATGTAGAAATGTGCAGAAATGATTAGGGGGGAAAAAAGAGAAACTGAAATTGACAGATTTGCCCATCTTTACCAACCACCAGGATTTGCTCTGCCGGTGCCCAAAATTGTGCTACCCCAGATCAGAAGGTTAATGTGCTCTTTCTAATAGGGGGAGAAGATCGCTTGCCTAACCTTACTGGTTTGCTCTGAGCTCTTGGAGGTGCAGGTCCTCTACTATGCTCCTTTTGTACCCCCCCACTTCAGCCATCCCCCCAATATTTGTGTTCCTGCCTCCCCAATATTTGTTGGACTCCCATGACCATCCATGGCCCTTCTCCATGCTGGCTGGTGCTGATGAGGAGATTGGAGTCCAACAAGATCTGGAGAACCATAGGCCTCCTAGCTCCTACTCCACCCTGGTTCCCTCCAGATGTTCTGGACTGCAACTTGCAACCGCCTTAGCCAACAGTTGCAGTTCAGAACTTCTGGAAGTCACTAGGCTGGTGCTGCCTACTGGATAGGCTTTGTTCAAGCCTCCAATGTTGTTGATTCTGAAGAGACAGGAGGAAAGCGTCAAAGTGCCTCTGGCCGTAATTTTGTGATGCACGGAATGTAGGAAGCAGCCAAAATGCATAATGGAAGGCAGGGGACGGTGAGGGTGATGTTGCAGACCAGCCCTTTGGGCCCAGAATAAGTCCTCTGACGGCCAGTTGCTGGTTCCTGAATGATTTCTTCTGCACACCTTCCAGAAACAGAGGCAGAAAGATGCCCCCGCAGCGGATGGCGGGTGCGAGAACGTGGCCCGAGCTTTTGCGAGGCGGTCCTGCATTCTCTCAACAAAGCAAAAGGAGGGCGGGGGGGGGGGGATCTCTCAGATACTGTGTCGCGTTTGAAAGCCACCTGTCATGTCTTAAATTAGTAAATATGCCCCAAATGTTCTGTTGAAGGTGAAGCGAAATATGAGACTTACACAAAACACATTTTCCTGTAAATTATTCATCCGGTAAAACATCTTTGAACTCTCCAGCGTGAGTGTAACTGACAAGTGTAGGAAAGGGGATTAAGGGGGACGGTTCTCAGCTTGGCACTTATGCAAATTTTATTCACATCCCCCCTTGCATGCACCCCCACCAACACAGAGCTTATATATGGGCAGTTCTGAAAAGCCTTTCCTTTTATCTCTCTCTCTCCCTGTCTGATTAAACCCCCTCCATCCAGATTCCCCAGAAATACGTGGCTGCAGTCCTGAAGCTTCTCCCCTGGTGGTGCTGTTCCCTCGCTTGAACTCTGCTTCCTTTGCACGGGTGGGGGGTTGAGTACTAAAACTACTGCCACATAGTGGACAGCGAATGAACTGCAGACAGGGGAGGGCTCCTTACTTATTTGTGTGTGTGTGTGTGTGGATGGGTATGTGCATGTCTTTAAATCATATGCACTCCTCCTGATGCGACTTTGAACACATTCTTTGGCTTGCCAGCAAACGGCACCTTCTTATCTCAGGTGCCAGGGAATTAGAGATGCTTTGTTATCAGGAGAGAGAGAGAGAGTTAGAGTTTTTGGAAACTCTGAGACATAGCCAAGATGCAAAAATAGCAAATTCGCTTTTGAACATCCCCCAATTCCTCCCCCACTCTCCCGGCCATCTCTCCCAGGGAAGGGGATTCAAAAAGAGAGAGAAAGGGGAAATAGTTAAGAGGAAGGGCACGTTCGTTGCATGCCTGAGCTGCTGGGTTAAACTCCTGGCATCTCCAATTAAATGAGGAGCAACAGGTGCTGGGGAGGTGTGTGGCAGTGACATCACCGGCCCAGATAGACCAATGGCCAGATTGGCGGCTTCATCTGGTCAAAACCTCCGCCCTGCATTTTCCTATCGCCTCGAGAGCACACACATTTCTGTTTCATTTTGCATTTGCATACTCAAAATCTCAAAAAGCAAATGCAAAAAACCAAAACCAAAAAATAAATATTTCACCCAGCTTCGTTTGATTTTACTAAACACACAAATGAGAGAGCAGAGGCTCCAGATACACCAGCAGGGTGTGCAGGTTTACAGAACTCTAACAGATTTGGCATGGAAGATCTTGGGAACTCCGTGTTGCACGCACTGCAGAACTTGTAAACAGAAGAATCAGGCTAAATGCTGGCTTTTGTTCTATGCCAGGCATGTCCAACATGTAGAGCGTGATCTACCGGTAGATCACTGGACGTCTGCGGTAGATCACTGGTAGATCATTGGCTCCCCCCAAAGAAGCTGAACAACTGTGGCTCCCCTAGAAAAAGCTCAACATTTTACCTCCTCCCTGAAAAACTCAACAACTTTGACCTGAACCCCCCAAAAGGGGGTAGATAACTGCCAGTTTTTAACTCTGTGAGTAGATTGCAGTCATTCCTTGTTTTGGGACGCGGGTGGCGCTGTGGGTTAAACCACAGAGCCTAGGACTTGCTGATCAGAAGGTCAGCGGTTCGAATCCCTGCAACGGGGTGACCTCCCGTTTCTTGGTCCCTGCTCCTGCCAACCTAGCAGTTTGAAAGCACGTCAAAGTGCAAGTAGATAAATAGGTACTGCTCCGGCGGGAAGGTAAACGGCGTTTCTGTGCACTGCTCTGGTTCGCCAGAAGCTGCTTAGTCATGCTGGCTACATGACCCGGAAGCTGTACGCCGGCTCCCTCGGCCAATAAAGTGAGATGAGCGCCGCAACCCCAGAGTTGGCCACGACTGGACCTAATGGCCAGGGGTCCTTTACCTTTACCTTTAGATTGCAGTCTCTTGGGAGTTGACCACCCCTGTTCTATACCTTACACACCTGACATTTGGTTCAGAGCTTGCACACCTCTCATATACAGGTAAAGTACTGTATAAATCTTTTAAAGAACATCACCCTGCATTATGATGGAGGAATAGGCTTGCCTGCGCAATGCAGGCGCCTCCAAAAAGGCATCTCTGCACACAGGAACACTTTGCAGCTGCTTTCTGATTGGTTTTGCACACAATGCAATATTGTCCTCAAGCTCTGCACTTTATGTAGGAAAATAAAGGGGAGAATTCAAAGATATCTCTAATGCGGGAGTTTAACCTCCCCTGGTGAGCAGGCAAGGGTCCGTAAATGCTAGAACTGAATGGAAGCCCTAGAAGAATTCAGCCTGAATCCCATAGCCCTGCCTTCCCAGGCCTGGGTTGTTTCTTGGTCACAGGAGAGTGTGACGCGACCTTGGGGGAATTGGCTTGTACATAAATAGATTATTGCAACAAGTGCTTTATGGCAAACAGCTGTGATAGCAATAAAGACGAGTGTGCCTGGAATCAAAGTGAAACTGGAGTGGGTTTAGCAGGAGGACACGGGTCCTGTGAATAGCATTTTAAGGCCAATCACCTTGAAATGAAAGGCACTAGCTTTTTCCTTCTGTAAACAGCAAAATGAAACAAAATGGAGAGGCGGGAGTCCTTTTACGCAAGGCTGGAGTTTGTCAAGATTTCAGAGCATCTGTTCCTGGGGGCTTCTAAGGACCTGGGCATGCCTGCGGTTCAGTGGGAACACTAGATAAAATATAAAATGCAGTCGCTAACAATTGTTCACCCATTAGGAAGTGAAGGAGAGCGCGCAATGCCTGGAGAGCCCTCCTTCCCTCTTTGTTTTTGATCCGTGGCATGGGGCTGCCTCGTGGCCATTAGGAATGGCTGTCAGCAAACTCGGAGGTAAAGGAATATAAAAACAGACCCTCCAAGCATTCCTATTTTCCAGGCACAGTCCCGGATTTACAGAAGGCATCCCTGTTTCTGATTTGATCCCAGAATGTCCCAGTTTTCCTTACGAAGTCCCTATTTTCGTTGGAGAAATGCTGGCGTGTATGGACTTATTGCAACCCCCGAGCCAAGGAGATAAGTAACTAGACAACCTTTAGAAGACATCTGAAGACAGCCCAGTATAGGGACATTTTAAAACGTTCAATTATGTTTTTATATATGTTGGAAGCTGCCTGTAGTGGATGGGGCAACCCAGTCAGATGGGCAGGACATAAATAATAATTAAAAAGTATTGTTAAGATTACAGTGGTACCTCAGGTTAAGTACTTAAATCGTTCCGGAGGTCTGTACTTAACCTGAAACTGTTCTTAACCTGAAGCACCACTTTAGCTAATGGGGCCTCCCGCTGCCACTGCGCCGCCAGAGCACAATTTCTGTTCTTATCCTGAAGCAAAGTTCTTAACCTGTTAAGAACCTCTTAACCTGTTAACCTCTTAAGTTCTGTTCTTATCCTGAAGCAAAGTTTTTTTCTGGGTTAGCGGAGTGTGTAACCTGAAGCGTATGTAACCCGAGGTACCACTGTATTGTGGAATAGAATGTCCCTCTTTTCATTGGAGAAATGTTGGAGGGTATGTAAAAGTGAAAATTGGGGATTGAGAGAAAATGACAGCAAAAGCTCAAGAACAAAACAGTTCAATTTAGAAGTGGGTCACACGTCTAGGCCTTTCAGGGCCAACTCAGGACATTAGGCTGCCTGAAAGGCTGGACAATATGGTGCCCTCTCCCTTTCCACATGCAGAAGATGGCTGGACTTGGTCTTCTGCTGCACCTGCAGACCATAGTCTAGCTTTCGGTGTGCAAGGCAGGCCATGAGGCATACAGCTCTGTCCCCACTTCCGTTGCTGAACTGGAACGTGTGCAAACAAATGCTGGAATGTAACAGCAGCGGTGTTGTCACGGCCTTGGGATTAGATCATGCGCAGGCAAACTAAGGCCCGGGGGCCAGATCTGGCCCAATCGCCTTCTAAATCCGGCCCACGGATGGTCTGGGAATCAGCGTGTTTTTACATGAGTCAAATGTGTGCTTTTATTTAAAATGCATCTCTGGGTTATTTGTGGGGCATAGGAATTCATTCATTCCCCCCCCCCCCAATATAGTCTGGCCCCCCACAAGGTCTGAGGGACAGTGGACCAGCCCCCTGCTGAAAAAGTTTGCTAACCCCTGGATTAGATCCTCCTACTTCAAGGGGTGGAAAGGGACACGGGTGGCGCTGTGGGTTAAACCACAGAGCCTAGGACTTGCTGATCAGAAGGTCGGCGGTTCGAATCCCCGTGACATGGTGAGCTCCCGTTGCTCAGTCCCTGCTCCTGCCAACCTAGCAGTTCGAAAGCACGTCAAAGTGCAAGTAGATAAATAGGTAAAGCTCCGGCGGGAAGGTAAACGGCGTTTCTGTGCGCTGTTCTGGTTCGCCAGAAGCGACTTAGTCATGCTGGCCACACGACCCGGAAGCTGTATGCCGGCTCCATTGGCCAATAAAGCAAGATGAGCGCCGCAACCCCAGAGTCGTCCACGACTGGACGTAATGGTCAGGGGTCCCTTTACCTTTACCTTTACTTCAGGGGGTCAGATCAAGGACTCATGACATACGTTTAAAGTGCTTCAACACCACTGGGAGCTGTAGTTTGTTAAGGGTGCTGAGAGTTCTCAGGGAATCGCCAATCCCTCCCAGAGCTACAATTCTCAGAGTGGTTTAAGAATCCATCCCTGTTCCCAGGGAACTGTGGGAACTGTAGTTCTGTCATCTGGGAAGCAGAATCCATGACTCGACGGGTGCTTAATCTGATCCTGCAGGGCCCTTCTTCTTAAGAGTAACTGCCCATGTTCAAGACATGGTTCTGTCCATGACCATTGGGAGTTGGAGTCTAACAACATCTTGAGAGCCACAGGGTCCCCACTTGGAAAAGTGTGGGAGGTAAAACCCCCCATAAATTGCAGTATTTCTGTATATTTTCGCCATGCCTGCTTAGACCCTATGATTTCCAGAGATTCAGGAGAGGGTGTATGTGCCCTTTCCCCCTCTTCCTATTGCTAGCAAAGTCATTATTATTTTTAAATGCATATTAAGAGAATGGCAAACATTTTCTCAGTTTGCATCATTGTGGAAGGCTGTACAATGAAGTTTATATCGGGGTGGATTTTGATTTGCTTGCCTGCAGAATTTGCAGGGCTGGTCCCACCACCATCGCCTAACAGTGTGAGACAGCCACTCTAGGCAGCAGATGCTGGAGGGCAGCAGTGACCACCCCGCTGGTGGTTTCTCTTGGGTCCCCATTCATTCCTCTCTTGGAGAATACAGCTGTGTGTGTGCCACGTGGCATGTACAACAGTAGCCTGCTGCCCTCGGGTGTGCTGGAGGACGCTGTCCCGTTGCCGGCCTTAAAACAATTCCCTTTGCCTCAGGCAGCAAGATGTCTCAGACAGCCTCCTAGAATTTGGATGGTTTGTAGAGAACAAGCAGACCTGACTTGAACATTTGATATTGTGCCACCAACTATAGATCCAGGGCATTCCCCAGACTGTCAGTGTTTTTTCAGGAAGGATTCAAGAGCAGTGCTTTTTTGGGGAGGGGGATGCAGGGGTACACATACCCCTAAACATTTTGTGAATCTACTGGGAAAAGAAACTAAACATTTAAATTTTATTAGTTTCTTCCCTAGCACGGTGAATCGTCAGTCCCGTGTCATGGTGTTTCCTGAGTCTCAGATGGAAGCGAGCGTTTAATGTGTGACGTAGGAGTTGAAATCTAGCATGGTGATTGGTCAGTTTTGTTGTTACCACCTCCAATGGCAGCTTCCTTTCCTTTCCTGGTGTTTCCTGAGTCTCAGACGGAAGCGAGCATTTAATGTGCGAAGCAGTGTGGAATGTGGATGTGTGGTATTTCCCCCGATGTGAAGTATAAAATGGTGATGTTCTTGAGTCAAAATGAGAGTACAGTGGAACCTTGGGTTACGTACTGTCCTCCTTACGAAGGCTTCAGGTAATAAGCTCTGCTAACCCGGAAGTAGGTGCTCCTGGTAGTGAACTTTGCCCTGGGTCGCGAGTGGCCAAGTCCCGAAAGCGCGCCTCAGGTTAAGAATGGTTTCGGGTTAAGAACGGACCTCTGAAACGAATTAAGTTCATTACCAGAGGTACCACTGTATCCCTAAACATTTTTTAAAGAAAAAAAGCACTGCTCAAGAGCAAAACCCGGGTGCAATATTGTGCACATTTGGCTTTGTAGTTAGGGACTTGAAAGGGATCTGGGATGAACTGGAAAGAAAGGGGACAAGTTAGCTTTCATTTCATTTTGGGGTGAGTTGCTGGAATAGAGAAACTTCAAGTACAGTGGTACCTCGGGTTAAGAACTTAATTCATTCTGGAGGTCAGTTCTTAACCTGAAACTGTTCTTAACCTGAGGTACCACTTTAGCTAATGGGGCCTCTGGCTGCTGCCACGCTGTTGCCGTGCGATTTCTGTTCTCATCCTGAAGCAAAGTTCTTAACCGAGTTACTATTTCTGGGTTAGTGAAGTCTGTAACCTGAAGCGTCTGTAACCTGAAGCATCTGTAACCCGAGGTACCACTGTACTTGTCTTTGGAATTTCTTACAATGCAGCCATTGGTGACGTCGGTGGGATGGCTCTTTTACTGTAGTTTCTGTTTGCTCAGTTAAATGGATTAAAGTGCTTTGCCACCCTGCCACAACAAATGCACTTTAAAAAAGGGGGGGATGACCTTTTTGCTGGGCAATGCATCGAAAAGAGTGAGATGAACAAATTATTCGTAGGAAGACATGCAAACACCTTGCAATCGAATCAGAATGAATGCAGAACGAGCTCTTGTCATCATATAACCTCACTGCAAACGAATCAGGACAAATGCAGACCTAATCTAACCTCCGTGAAAGCTTTGTGCAAGCGACTCGAGGCAAGTGATCAATAGAGAGGTAATCTGGTGGAGGTCTCAGAGCGTTGTGCTTTGATCTCTTTGGCAAAGTCCTTAGGAGTCTGCTTTCTCTCTTAAGCAATAATAAAATCAGCAGCTTCGGTTCTCAGGCTCTTCTAGGAGATTTTGGGTCTGGCCCAGCCGATTTCCCGGTCCTCCTCCCGACTGTGGCTTCTGACCAGGGGAGGCTGCTCAATCGCACGCTGCAGCTGCGTCGGCCTGAAATCAAGGGTTTGTCTGGTAGTCATTCCAGCAGCTGTTTGTTATCCCCGTACCACTCAAGGGTATCTTGACATAAAAAGCAGGCATGGCAACACAAGCGGAGCAGTGACAATAAACAGAATGGCTTGATAAAGAACAAACCGCGCCAGCTAGAGGCAGCCTGGCTTTGTTTAGATAAAACAAAGCGACAAAAATCAGTAAGTTTTGCCATGCGGTTCTCAGCAGAAATGAAAGCACGGGGGAGGTGGGGGGAGGTGGGTACCCGGCGGGTGGATGGAGACTTCGCCGTAGCTATCGGAGCCATGGTCTCTTTCTGACTCTGGTTTTTCAGCTCTTGGAGACAGCTCTCAAAATGATGTCATGCTCCGTCTAGGCCTGCAAGTGCCCGTCACCCATCACCTGGGGTAGCTGAAAGTGTTTTTCTTTCTTTTGCTCTGGGTGGCCGAGATATTTCGGAAAGTTGAGGCTTTCAGCCCCTTCCTTTAACAAAAAAAGGGGGAAAGGAAATAAAGAAAGCCAAGCGGAATTTTCTGACCTTCCTGGTTGCTGCCATTCGTAAATCTAAGCTAGGAGAAAGGGGTCTTCTCCATCCTAGGAGCCCATGGGGCAATTGCTAAAGCGGTCCCGAGGAGCTGAAGGTCAAGGTGCAGCAAGGAAGAAGCAAAGGCAGGCATCCAGCCTCCTTGGATTTAAGCCAGGCTTGGCCCAGACAGGGGCTGCATACTCCATGCAAGCCATTGGAGCCAATCTCCATGCCTTTCTTTGCCAGAAAGAGCCTCTGAGGTCTGAGCATAAGGCCAGGCCTTGGTTTCAAGCCCTGAAATGCCTCATGCAAGAAGTCCTTGGCAAGCGGCCAACCCCCTTTGCAAACTACACTTCCCAGGGTTCTTTGAGGGAAGCCATGACGGTTAGGTGGTCTGATGGTGCTTTGGAATGTGTGGTACTGATGTGGCCCCAAACCACTCAGCCCTTCTATGCATATCTCTATGATCTAGGAGGACCCGAAGGCGAGTCACTTGCATTTAGGTTTGCACAGAATTCAGTAACGGTTAATAGACCCTTTTCGTATAATTACCACTAAGTGGACAAGTTTATATTACATCTCAGACAAGGTGGCAGACCTGCTAATGACAGGAGTAAATGAAAAAGAGCAACTGAGTATATCAAAAAGCATCAGATAATGTACATGCATTCTGCTTTGTAAGAAAATCTGACAGGGATGGGGCCATTTCCCTCCTTCATTATCTGATAGACTTAAAGACTCCTATATAGCTGTCCAGATCTACTCAAAGGTTCGTTAGGAACTTCCCCCTCCCCCGCACTCCGCACCCTCCTCCCATGGAAGCAATTAAATGGCAAAATTGTCATAACACGATGGTTTGAAGATCGATGGTCGTCGTCTACTGTTGTTAATGGAGAGTGTTCAATCACTAAATCTTAAGCTAAAGTTGTCTTCACATCCACCGAAACACAGAACAGCTGCAGAGGGACGTTAACCAAGTATTTATTGCTTAATACCTCCTTCTCAGGAGGACTCCAGCTCAAAATCACTTTATTGTATGGAAGTTGTTCTTGTCAATAAAAGAATATGTTGCCCGAGGGCCACCAAAACCAACGGGGGGCGGGGGAAGCAGGACCAGAACGAAGGAGGACAGATAAATCAAATGGAGTTGGATAAGTCAATATGGTGAAGTCCCCCACCCTGCCAAAAATCCAAGAAAATAAGGAGCCAACATTTAGCGGATGCTCTCATAGATGGAGAAAGGCCACAGATGCTAGAACACCTGCCTGGGATGCAGAAGGTCCCAGATTCAACCCCTGGCATCTCCAGGGAGGGCTGGGAATGTGTGTCGCCTGAAACCCTGGAGAGACACCCGCCCATCAATGTGGACCACCAGTCCTCAACCTTTCAAGACCCCAGCCCACCTTTAACACAGACATGCATATGACAACCCCTATTTTTTCTACCATGTGTTTGGTGATACTGCTGTGGTTCTGATCCATCTTAGTTAACCTTAGACCCACCAGTTGAAGACCAGTAGTGTCTTCCTATGAACTTGCTGCATCAAAGGACCACACTTTTGCTATGCACAACTCAGCTGGCAGAGGACCTGAGCTATGTTGTAGAAATAGACCCTCTGAGTAGTCCCTCCAGGAATAGTCATCCCAGTTTCTCATTTGATTCTAGAATGTCCTGCTTTTCCTTAGGACATCTCTCATTTCATGGAATAAAAGATGGAAGATATGGGAGAATGGTTAAATGTGTCTTGCTAACATTAGGTTTTTTCCATGGCAGCATATTGAAGAAGAAGAAGAAGAAGAAGAAGAAGAAGAAGAAGAAGAAGAAGAAGAAGTGGAGGAGGAGGAGGAGGAGGAGGAGTTTCGATCCGGCTTTATCACTACCCTAAGGAGTCTCAAAGCAGCTAACAATCTCCTTTCCCTTCCTCCCCCACAACAAACACTGTGTGGTGAGTGAGGCTGAGAGAAGTGTGATTAGCTCAAGGTCACCCAGCAGCTGCATTTGGAGGAGAGTCCACCACTCTTAACCACTACACTACACTGGCTCTTAGCCTTAACTGATTGATAACTAACTTTGAATGTTCTCTGCTCATAATACTGAATGTTTACCTTTGAACATGTGATGAAGGTAAAAGGTAAATGGTAAAGGGACCCCTGACCATTAGGACCAGTCGTGACCGACTCTGGGGTTGTGTGCTCATCTCGCTCTATAGGCCGAGGGAGCTGGCGTTTGTCTGCTGGCATGTGGCCAGCATGACTAAGCCGCTTCTGGTGAACCAGAGCAGCACATGGAAACGGAGTTTACCTTCCCGCTGGAGCGGTACCAATTTATCTACTTGCACTTTGACGTGCTTTCGAACTGCTAGGTTGGCAGGAGCCAGGGACCGAGCAATGGGAGCTCACCCCGTCACAGGGATTCGAACGGCCGACCTTCTGATCAGCAAGTCCTAGGCTCTGTGGTTTAACCCACAGCGCCACCCGCATCCCTTTTAGTAGGAGTAAGTATGTGTAAATGAGCCTCTCTGAGTGTGAATAGAGCTCCAGGCAAATTGGAGGCTGGAAGGAAAAAGAGAGAGAGAGAGAGAGAGAAAGAAAGAGACAGAGAGAGAGACCTTTGCTTCTTGGTCTGTTTGGAATTATCTTTTATTTCTTATAAGATGCTGAGCCTGTGCTGGACAAGTACAAAATGTTGTATGGAATTATTTGGATATACCTTTGATGTTTTTGTTCTGCTTTGAAGAAAGTTCTGCAAATAAAGTTTTGAATGATAACTAATGGGTCATTCCCAAAGGAGTCAGTTTTTATGCATCTTGTTCATTTCTGCTACACAATACAGTATTGATAGCTGCAATATTGGATTCCTCTCTGAGTGAACACAAATAGGACGAAGAACAGGCTCCTGAGCTGCCAGGGAACTGCCATCAGCTCAGAGGCGAGAGGTGGAAGGGCAGCTGTGTTACAGGGAGCCTCCAAAGATCTTGCGAAGCAGTTCTTCCTCTGGTGAGGAGGGAAGTCCCGCCTCCAGTGGGGATGGGGCGCAGGGATCAGAAGATGCTAGGGAGAGCCTCAACACCGAACCGGAGCAAAAGGGAGGGGAGGCAAGTCCCCCTTTGCCAGCTTCCATGTTGCGCAATAGGTTTGCGCACAGAGAGAGGAGGAGAAGGATGAGGGTCACACGACTGTTATGCTGGGGAAGGTATAAGGACCGCCCACTCCCAGATTCTGTTAGCGACTTAGCAGACATGGACTTGCGACGCTCTGCAATGTAAAATAGTTTGTACAGATAATAAAGCCTGGAAAAGACAGGTTGGAGTCTTGCCTGTTTGCTCTCGAACAACCACACCACCACCTGACAGCAGCCCTACATTCCTGTTTTGCAGTGTGACATACACTTCAAGGGCTGTGGCCTGGTTCCTGAGGAACTATGGACATTGCTTGGCTGTTATGCTGCTCTTTGTGTGTGAGTCGCACTTTTGCATGTGGTAAGGACTGCTCTGAATCCACCGAGGCCTCTCTGCCGAAAACTCAACCATCACTGCTAAGGCTCTGGTCTTCTGATGAAGTCTCATGATACGTGGCTATTAAGAGCAGGACTCTTCTCCCACGCCCCCATGCCCGTTGCATCCTCTTTTACGTACTTTACCAAGATGGACTGGGGATGTTTTGGAACTTGTGGTTCTAGCATTTATTCATCTTAAAGTATTTATATGCCGCCCTCTCATATCAGTGTGGTGCACAGTACTATGAAAACCGAAAGACCCATAAAAGCAGTACATTTATCCAGTGTGTCAGGGCACTTTTGACCAGTGCTTTTTATTTGAAGGGCTGTCACTTATTGATCTTGAAAGAGTTTGAAAGGTTGTCTGGTCCCAGTCCAGTTTAAAGATAAAGAGCCCTAAGAAGGGAGGGGACGGGTGTGCTTGAAGTTTTCCATCAACCTTTGGCATCTGGGCTGCAAACTGAGCAGACCCATACACTGGTTACCTGTATTAGTATTAGAATCAGAATCGTAGAGTTGCAAGGGACTCCTGAGGGTCATCTAGTCCAACCCCCTGCAATGCAGGAATCTAAAACTAAAGCATCCCTGACAGATGGCCACCCAACCTCTACTTAGAAACCTCAAAGGAAGGAGAACCCTCCAACTATTGAGGGAATTTGTTTAGCTCTGACCAGGTGACTTTATGCAGAAAGAAAAAGCCCTCCACATAGAAAAATGGTATGCCAAGGGGGAAACTAGGTTGCTGAGAGCCTTTCTAGGCTAGAATCCATCTACTTGGCACGCTAGTCTTCGGTCTGCAGAGAATTCAGGGACATTTGGGGCTAGCCTCCACCTATAGTCTGAGGTGGTACAGTCCAGAAACAGGTGTACCATATTAGTGAGAATTATGCCATTGGGGAGGGAGTGAAGGCTAGAGCCCTTTGACCGCTACCATCTATCCTTTTTTTTCTTCAAATTTTTTTATTGATTTTCCAAAAATTTTTAAATGAACAAACATACATCTTAACTGTACTTAATCCAATCTTATTAACATTGTTGAGTGACTTCCTCAAATCCCCCTGTCTGAGTTTCAGTGTATATCATTGTAACAGTTTTTCAAAACCAATTTTCTCATAAAATTAACTTAATCACTTCTTTCTTTCTTTTCATTTTAACTTTAAACATATTATTCTCTAACATCACATATTTAAATCCTAAGCCTATCTGGTATTTGCAAGTTTTTCCAATTAAGTTATCTTAGGATATTTGACTAAATTGTCTTTGAATTTCATCCATTCCTCCTGGTACTCCTCCTCCTTCTGGTCGCGGACTCTTCCAGTCAGGTCGGCTAGCTCCGAAAAGTCCACCATCTTCATCTGCCATTCCTCCACTGTTGGGACTTATTGTGTTTTCTAATTCTTAGCTAACAAAATTCTAGCTGCAGTTGTGGCATACAAAAACAGTCTGACATCTTTCTTGTGCAATTCCAAACTTGTTATTCCAAGAAGAAAGGCCTCTGGTTTCTTAATAAATGCATATTTCAACATTTTTTTCAATTCATTATAAATCTTCTCCCAGAAGTCTTTCACCTTGGGGCAGGTCCACCACATATGATAAAAGGTACCTTCTTTTTCCTTACATTTCCAGCATAGATTATCACTATTATGATATATCTTTGCCAGTTTTACAGGGGTTAAGTACCATCTATACATCATTTTCATAATATTTTCCTTTAACACCGTACATGCAGTGAACTTGACCCCTTTCCTCCACAACCTTTCCCAGTCTTCAAACATTATGTTATGTCCCACATCTCTTGCCCAATCTATCATCACTGATTTAACTTGCTCATCCTTTGTATGCCATTCCAACAACCCTACCATCTATCCTAGCTTACTAGCAACTACTTTTCCATAGCACTTTGCTGCTAGATTGGCAAGTGCAGGGAGTGGGGAGCAGGGAGTGCAGAGAGCCAGATTTGGCCCAGGGGCCCTTAGCTGCTGAACACACCCGCAGAACTATTTGCGTTTGCATTTCAGCTGGGAATGAACGCGGCCTCTAAAATCCAAAATAAACTTAAATTTAAAAGCGGGGGGGGGGGGGGACTAAGCAAAAAAAGAGGGGGGGGGGGAGGAAATAAACAAACAATAAACAGAAAACCCTCAGAAAAGCTTCCGCTCCCCAGCCCTTTCCCAGCTTTTCAAGGCTGCGTTATTTGTTCCCATTTTTCAAGTGAATTTGTTTCCTTTGACCTTTATGCATTTCCTCTTTGTAGCAGCTCAAACATGCTTAGTGGGAAAAATGCCTCCACAAATGAGAAACATATTGGGAAGGCAATACAGGAAACAAAACATAAAACATGGAGTTATGTACACAGGAGGTGTTTCTCCGCCACAACCACATATTTTCTACACCTGGGTGTATTTTATTTTATTTTATTTTAAAAATGCATATCCTGCCTTCTGGCATGTAACGCGGGCTCCCAAGGTGACTTTCAGATGATTAAAATGCACAATAGAATCAAGGAGGGAGGGGAGAGAGAAAGAAAGAAAGAAAGAAAGATAACAGCAAAGCCAACAGGATAAAACCAACCCATGACAACAGAGCAATACAAAGCAAATGTTGCTCTATCGGCCCATAAGAAAAATAACCCAGCTCAGTAAAGCCGAAATGGCACAAGACTAGAATCATAGAATCATAGAATCATAGAGTTGGAAGAGACCACAAGGGCCATTGAGTCCAACCCCCTGCCAAGCAGGGGCAAGCTTTCCAGAACTCCTCATCGGTCAAGATTAACATCTTGATGAAGGCAGCGATGTGGAGACAAGGGAAAAGGGCAAAAGAACAATTGTGTCTCCAGAATATTAGAAGGTCTGGGGTTCCTTCCGCCATATATGGGGCAAATGTACCCCGAACAGAGGCTGCTTGTCCGAAACACCAAATGATCTTTGACACGGCCGGCCCTATCACTGGGCAGAAGGAGGCAGCCGCCTCAGATGGCAAATACCGGGAGAGAACGAGAGGCAGCAAGCAGTGTTAGAAACTGAGATATGAAAGCTAGGAGCTAAAGGGCACCTTAAACTTAGGTTATGGGCGCAACCATGGAATGTCTAGGCGTGCTTTTTTACTAACAAGAATACAAAGCTGAAAATGAATGAATATTATGTTCCTTTTTCACATGGTCTGGTCATTCCCCTGCCCACCTGCCTAATATTCTTAAGAGGGTCCATCTTTAGCAGATGTGGCGCTGGGGTGCAAATATCTGCTCAGCGCTCCCAAATTACGACGGATGGGGGGCGAAGCTGCACACTGCCAGCCATGGGTGGGGGTGCGCAACTCTTCCCCATGTTGCTGTGGGAGAGCAATGCCCGCAGAGGCTTGGGAGGGAAGCGGCACGCCTGCCAGCCATATAGTTGGTGGGGCGCAGCTTCCATCCTAAGCCTCTGCAGGGTTTGCTCTCCTCCCACGGAGGCCTGGGAGGCAAGCTCCACGCCCGCCAGCCATATGGTTGACAGGGCGCAGCTGGCGGGCATGGAGGGAAAGGGGAGGCCGCCGGCAAAGCCGTGCAGCTCCCCCACTCGCCGGGGAGCCCCTGAGAGGCTGGCACCCTGGTGCAACGCACCACTAAGCCCAATGGGAAAGACAGCTCCAAGAGGGTCTCTTCTCCAGTCTTCAGAGAGTAGCCAGAAGTGGGGAGGCAGAAAAAAAAGGTCATCCTTTCCTTCCACTCTGCAGTTTTAATCTGAAATTTTAGGTGCACTACTGCGCCCAGAGCTAAGAAACTGCTTGCGCTAATGAAATTCCCTGATGCAAAATGAACAATGGGAGTTTCGATCACTGGTGGCAAGGGTGGGCAGAGCTGTGTGTCCCTTGCCAGCTGCCTTCTGCTAGCCTGCTGCTCTCAGGTGTGGTGGAGGATAAGTTAACATCACCACTTGGAAGAAGTGAAGTTCAAGTGCTGGCCCAGACAGCTCCTGCCCAAGGAATGGGTTGTCTTCTGTCTTGTCCTTGCACTGAGTAGGGCTAAGAGATCCAGTGCTGGATTATCCAATAGGCAGACTGAACATTGTGCATAGAGCACCAACAAAGGAGGAGTACACACACAAAAAAGATTTTTAAAAAAAATGTTTGACATAAAAAGAAGAAGAAAAGCATTGAAGTGGTCAACATGGGAAAACTCAGAATTTTGTTAGACATCCTTACATTCCACTCCACACCCTTCCTCCATTTTTCTGCTCTCTTTTTACAATTTCTCCCCACTTATATCAGGGGGTGTCCTACTAACGTAGACTGAAATAAAGTGAGGAAATCAGATCCTGCCATGTGTTGCAATAAATCCATGTTGTTGTTTTTACAGTGTAGTATTGCTCTTTTTTTGAATTACATATAAGGGGCGCCATAATCTTCTCAGCGCTTAGGGCCTCTAAAGGTCTGGATCCGGCCTTGCTGAAATCGTAGGGAGCGGATGCCAGTCAGTTCAGACAGTACTGAGTAGGATGGACCCATGTTCAGTCTTCCTGCTTGGCACCTTCATTTTAATTCTGCTCCCAACCATTTGCAGGGAAGCGAGGCCTCAGCGGTGCTTGGAGACTCTGGTGTGGAAGCCAAAAAATGGGCAGCAAACCGTTTGCTAATAATTGTCCTTTTCAGTCTGCAATTATTGTTAAACTGTACTCAGCCGAGGCCAGAAATCATGGTGGGAGCTGGGAGCTGGGAGTCATTTGTGAGCCAGACCAAAAAAAGAGAGGCGAGTCTCTCTGCATGGGGGGAAAAACTGTTTGTGCACCATAACTCACCACCTCAGGTAGAGTCACCAGTCACAGCTGGTTTGGCATCTTTAAATTCTTCCTGCCTTGGCGGTGGGGCCACCCACGCCAGCACCAGCTGAGGGATATCTTAACCGGTATATACTTTGGCAGTTCGCTTTCGCCTGGGAGTAGCCGGCTGTGCCAGCGCACAGCGTGAAATAGGTCTCCTTGCCGTGATTTACATCGCCGCGTAGTAGCTGCCTGCAAAGTAGTTCGAATAAATTGCTGGCTGTTAAAAGGACGAAACGGCAATGGGAAGTCTCCAGCAGGGCCGCTTCCGGCTTTCTCATTTCATTTTCAAAATCTCTGCAGATTAATTGCATTAGTTTGAATTAACCGGTTCTTCGTTTAGAGCTGCATGCACGAGCGAAAATAATAGATCTGGCAATAAGGAAGTGTTCTTGGTGTTTGGGTGGCAAGCCCAGGCATTGCACAGGTGAGAGGCATTCCTGCACGAATGTGTGGGGAAAGGGGATGCCTCTTCTCAGGCGGAGCCTGACAAAAATCGAAACGGGAGCAGAATTTGCTGATTCTCGCTTCTTTGTTGGGAGTGAAAACCAGATCAGTGCACAACATGAGGACGCCAGAAGCGCCTGGATCAGGTCAGCCTAAAACCTAGCCCATCACTCAGGGGCGGACTTTGGTAATATGGTATCATGAGTGAGGGAAAAAATTCCCATCCCCTATACACACACACACACACACACACACAGTGGTACCTCTGGTTGCGAATGGGATCCGTTCCAGGAGGCCTGTTCGCAACATGAAAAGAGCGCAACCCGCAGTGGCGCGTCTGCACATGCGCAGTTCACGACTCACCACTTCTGTGCATGCGTGTGACATCATTTTGTGCGTCTGTGCATGCGCGAGCAGCAAAACCCGGAAGTAACCCTTTCCGGTACTTCCGGGTCTCCGCGGGACATAACTTGAAAGAATGTAACATGAAGCGGACATAACCAGAGGTACCACGGTATTTCATAATACTTCCTTTTGGTACAATTGCTTTTTAAATGGATCGTTTCAGTAGGTATCATTGGTGGGATGCAGAGGAATGGTGGGAGGAACCAGTTGGGAAACCCTCAAGGGAAGGAGTCTCAGAGCCCAGGAAGTGGTGGTGGGACAACTATGAGTGGTCAGAAGGAGAAGAGGGAGAAGACCGGGAGGATGAGATGTTGGAAGCTGAAGAGGTAACAGGGCTTAGTGAGCAGGGAGAGTCTGTGGCAGAGAGAAGTCCAGAATCAGAAGCTGAAACAGGAGAGGATAGAGGCCAAGAAGCAGAGGTAAGCCTGGCTGGTGAACTGAAACAACTGTCTCCCACATTTGCTGTGACACTTTCCTTTCCCCCCGGTCTCCCAGGACCAGAAGAGGCATGAAAAGGACAGAGGAGGTTAGCATCATGCAGGCGCAGTCTCAGATTACATGGGAAAACCCTAGAGAGGAGGGGACTTAGGTGTCTGTGGGGAGGCAGAGACCTTCATTCTCAGCAACTGTTTCATGGGGGTAAGACCTGTCAGTGATGCGTTGCTGTGCTCATTAGGTCTGACACTGCTGTGCAGATCCCGCTTTTGCTAATAAAGAATTAACTCCAACTTGCTTTGGGTGCTTTACTGCTGGCTTGCTCCTTTCGCTAGGTATCTGTATAAGTATAGGTTTTTTAAAATTGTTGTTATTATTTTGCACCCCCTCAGCTCAGCACCCTATGCAGAGAAACCACCCACACCGCCCTAAATCTGGTGCTGCAATGCTTAAACTAGATGGATCTGACGTAGAGAGTGGCAGCTCCTGCATTTCCCCTCCTGCCCCATTGGCTTGACGTGTCTATTTAATGTCTATTTAACAGGTGAAGAATTCTCTGGCATGGAGATGCAGTGATGGCTAAGCAAACCCCCCCCCCCCCCCATGAAATGACTGCTAGTCATGCAACTATAAACCACAGGGGCCTTACATAGAAAAAAGAAACTTTTAAAAAGTATTTCTAAATGGCCTTTCTCTTGTTTTTCTGGCTGATTTTGAGAGAGGCTTGGATGCTTAGCTGCAATACTTTCAGGTAACTTGTGGTCCAGCCAGCTAGTGCGCTCCACCAACCCGAGGTAACTGTCAGACAGAATCGCATAGTAATGGATAAACAGCCGAGATGGGGCAGCCGGGCCGAGCTATTTCATACTGAGCTATGTCAAGGGGGACCCATCAAAACCAGCCACGAGAAACTTCCTCCGCAGCCCCAGGCCGCTGGTGGCTGAGAACAAAACGCTTTACCATCCCTTTCTTCATGGTCCTGCAGGCAGAAAGGCTCTCCAGTTTAACAATGTCAGCTGGCCTCGTGTCAAGAGGTGTGAGGTTGCCTTTAAATACTGTGCAGCAACAGAATGGCGGAGGAGAATACTCGTCCCAGGACGGTCGTTTCCTTCTGTGGAATGAAAATCTTCCAGAAGGAGTGTCTGAAGTCCATATAGTGAGACGTGCTAATGTTTGCCGTGGGACTTGTGCATTAACAGATACAGGTGTGGAAACGCAACGGTTCGGCCTCTTTCTTGCCTGCCTTTCCTACCTCCTGGGTAGAAATGTTAAAATTTCTGGAAATTTGGAAGGCTCTCACACTCTCTCCTCTCCCCCTGCCTGCCTTCCTATATCTATCTATCATCTATCTATCTATCTATCTATCTATCTATCTATCTATCATCTATCTATCTATCATCATCTATCATCTATCATCTATCATCTATCATCTATCATCTATCATCTATCTATCTATCTATCTATCTATCTATCTATCTATCTATCATCTATCTATCATCTATATCTATCTATCTCTATCTATCTCTATCTATCTATCTATCTATATCTATCTATCTATCTATCTATCTATCTATCTATCTATCTATCTATCTATCTATCTATCTATCTATCTATCTATCTATCTATCTATCTATCTATCTATCATCTATCTATCTATCTATCTATCTATCTATCTATCTATCTATCTATCTATCTCTATCTATCATCTATCATCTATCTATCTATCTATCTATCTATCTATCTATCTATCTATCATCTATCTATCTATCATCTATATCTATCTATCTATCTATCTATCTATCTATCTATCTATCTATCTATCTATCTATCTATCTATCATCTATCTATCTATCTATCTATCTATCTATCTATCTCTGGGGTAAATCGATACACACACATAATACTTGAAGGTGAAGGGACCCCTGACCATTAGGTCCAGTTGCGGACGACTCTGGGGTTGCGATGCTCATCTCGCTCTATAGGCCGAGGGAGCTGGCGTATGTCCGCAGACAGCTTCCGGGTCATGTGGCCAGCATGACTAAGCTGCTTCTGGCGAACCAGAGCAGCGCATGGAAACGCCGTTTACCTTCCCGCCGGAGCGGTACCTATTTATCTACTTGCACTTTGACGTGCTTTCGAACTGCTAGGTTGGCAGGAGCAGGGACCGAGCAACGGGAGCTCACCCCGTCGCGGGGATTCGAACCGCCGACCTTCTGATTGGCAAGTCCTAGGCTCTGTGGTTTAACCCACAGCGCCACCCGCGTCCCTACGTAATACTTAATCGAACCTAAAGGTTTATTACTTTATTGAAGTAGAATCAGTTAGCATCCAGAACATAAAATAACACCGTTAGTCAAATGATGAAATAAAAACCTGTAAATTTTTTATTTTATTTTAAATCACAAAATAATTATGAACAGCTCGTATTAGGGGAGCCAGAGTGGGGCATTCTTGAAGGCCTGTTTCCCAACATACTTTGCTGAGTCATAGGAACATGGGACATTGATTTATACCGAGTCAGACTACTGGTCCATCTCGCCACCAGGCTGAGCGCTAGCCTGTGGCACTCCAGATGTTGCCAATCTACAAGCCCCATCAACCCTGGCCAGCATGAGGATTAGGGATGTTGGGAGTTGTAGGCCAAAAACATCTGGAAGGCCATTGCCCACTTCTTGTTTACATGGACTGGCAATGGCTCTCTGCGATCTCCAGTATGGGATCTTTTGCATGCAAAAAATAAAATAAAATATGTTCTTGCCTTTCTCCAAACAGATTTAAATTATTCATCCATCTAGCCCAGTGAAGTCTACTCTGACGGGCAGTAAATCTCAATGGTCACAGGCAATGATCTTCTTTGGCTTTGTTATTTCAGATCCTTTGGCTTTTGGGGAGGGTGTCTGATTAGTTAGGCAGAGAGGAGTGGCTATTGGTGGCTCCTAGCCAGAAGAGGACATGAGTGGCGCTGTGGTCTAAACCACCGAGCCTCTTGGGCTTGACGATTGTAAGGTCGGCGGTTCAAATCCCTGCAACGGGGTGAGCTCCCGTTGCTCTGTCCCATCTCCTTCCATCCTAGCCGTTTGAAAGCATACCAATGCAAGTAGATAAATAGGTGCCGCTGTGACAGGAAGGTAAATGGCATTTCTGTGTGCTCTGGCTTCCATTGTGGTGTTCCGTTGCGCCAGAAGTGGTTTAGTTATGCTGGCCACATAACCTGGAATAGCTGTCTGCGGCCAAACATCAGCTCCCTTGGCCTGAAGTGAGATGAACGCCGCACCCCATCGTCAAATTTGACTGGACTCAACAATCATGGGGTCCTTTACCTTTACTAGCCAAGGTGGGTATGTTTTCTCCTCCATTGTTGAAAGCATCATGCTCCTGAATACTAGCTTCTGGGAGCTGCAAGCAGGGAGAGTTCCGTTGTGGTACCCAGGACCCAAGCATTCAGGCTTCACACGGCCACCTGGCTGGTCACCATGAAAGCAGAATGCTCAGAGTTGCCACATGTCCTCTTTTTCACGGGTATGTAAAATGAGAGCCATCATAACGAACCCTAGTTAAAAATAGAAGTCGGCTGGGCGAAAGATGTGGGACATAATATACAAATGACAGATTGGGAGAGGCTATGGAAAACAGATCTGAAATTTATGGCATGTTCTTCACTGAAAGAAAATTACATGAAAATGATGTACTGGTGGTATTTATTTATTTTTAAATATTTATTTATTTTTACCAACAAGCAAAACACAAACAGTGACACCCCCCCCAGGCAGGCTGATACATTGGGTATACTTAATTAATAATAACATATTCAATTCAACCATATGTACAATTCTATATATATAAACACTCCTCCCTCCACATGGTTATTTAACTTTTAACATTTTAATTGCCCCAAATTGTTCAAACCTACCCAAATAATTCAACATCTTCTCAGTCCAATCCTCCTCATTCTCACTGACCTTAAACCCTTTCCTTCTGTGTATCTTCACAGTTAGATATTCTAAAATTATAATATTATTCAATTTTTTCCTCCATTGGTTCTTCTGCATTTTTCCAGTGGTATTTAGCCCCGGTAAAATTAGCAAAAATGTACAGAACAAGTGCAAATATATGTTGGAAATGTAAAGAAAAAGAAGGTACCTTTTATCATATGTGGTGAAATGGTAATTTAACTAAAAAGTTCTGGGAAATGATATATAATGAAATGAAAGAAATGTTTAAAAAAACCTTTGTCAAAAAACCAGAAGCCTTTTTATTAGGAATTATAGGTACCGAGATTCCAAAAGACCAGAGGAAACTGTTCATGTATGTTACAACAGCTGCCCAGATGTTACTAGCCCAGAGATGGAAGGAAGAGACAGCCCCGACCAAAGAAGAATGGCAAATCAAGTTGATGGACTATGCCGAAATGGAAAAATTAACTGGGAAGCACTTCTGCGCATGACGTTATTTTGTGTGTCTGCGCTTGTGCGAGTGGTGAAATCCGGAAGTAATCCTTTCCGGGTCGCCACGGGAAGCAACCTGAAAACGCTCAACCTGAAGCAAACGTAACCTGAGGTATGACTGTATGTGTGAATAAACCATATATCCTAAATGCACCACTGTCTTCACTGTGCCTCATTCCCAAAACGACACCCTGGGCAAACATCTGGAACCCTATGAATCTTGCACCACTCAGAGATTAGTTTGGCGCGCAACAATCTATTAAAACTAGGAAAGAAAGAAAAAGTACATTAAACATCCCACTCACCCCAAAAGGCCGCAGATAGCTAAAAGCCAAAGACCGGGTTAAAAAGGAATAGTTTTGCCTGGCACCTGCAGATGTGTAACGATGACATCAGGTCATCTTCCCTGGGGTGAGAATTCCACAAACAGGGAGCCACTGCAGAAAAGGTCTGTTTTTGTGTGCCAGCCTCTGGACCTGTCCTGGAGGAGGCACCTGAAGAAGGCCATCATGCGATAATTGCAGGGTCCGGATGGGTTCATATGAGGAGAGGTGGTCCTTGAGGTCCCCAGAGATGCAGGGGATCGAATCTGCAACCTTCTGCATGCAAAGCAGATGCTACAGACGTCTAAAAAAGTCCTGCTGGCTGTTTAACTATGCTCTATATAGACTTTATTCTTACATGTACACATGGAGGTTTTTAAGCAGAGGTTGGGTGCCAATCTGTCCTGGATGCTATAGTTGAGATTCTTGCATTGCAGGGGGTTGGTCTAGATGACCCTCGGGGTCCCTTCCAACTCCACAGCTTTATGGTCTAGCCACATATCCTTTTTAGACTTAGGCCATATGCACACCAGGTCTTTGGAGAGAACACATATGATTCCCCCCCTGCTCTCCCTTATCGATCCCTCAAATCGCTTTCCATAGCGATGCCTTTTTATGGGCTTGGATTACAATTAGAAAATGTCAGAGCCTCGTTATCATTTAATTAGAGTCACATTTCAGCAAGCAGAAGAAAACCGGGGCGGGCAGGCGGGGGTGGGGTGAGGGGTTGGAGAGAGAGAGGAAATGTCCGAACTCTGCCTTTGTGTGGTGAAATGAGGAGAAAGTGGTGATTTGAAACAGCTGCGAGCGATGGCAAGCGTCCCAATTCTGGGGTCTACGAGTCCCGAAGTCAGACTGCAATAAGAAGGGAGGGCTTTCTGAGAGAGCCGGGCCAAGCCCCTGGCTGCAATCAGCCAGAACTGCTCCCCGATCGGCTTGGCGATGCTCGAAACTGCGAGAGAGTCCAGTAAAAACAAGCAGGCTGTCAAGGCATCCTTCCAACAGCTGAGGGGGTTAAGGCAGCAAACATAGCACAAACCAAAATAAACAGAGCCTCACCCTGTCAAGAGGTCTTTATCACTCTTCAGGGAGAGAGAGAGAGAGAGGCAGGCAGGCATCTGAAAAATGTTTTTTAGCTTTTTCCGGACGGTGTTTATTTTTTTAAGCCTTTCAAAAAAAATTTCGCAGGGAGCTGCCGGGTTGCCCTGCACCCTCATCCTCCGTCGCACAGAGATGGTCCTCTGCCGGTTTGGGAAAAGGCCTCTTATGGCTGCCCTGCAAACTTCACGGACCCCATCCTTTAGGAGATGTTAATTAGGACACGCGGTGATTCAGGGACGAGGGCCTGTGGCCTAGTCCCTAAGCATGTTGACTCGGGAAATGAGCTCCACCAGATTTGATGGGACTCTGTCTTCTAACAAGGCATTCAGGCCATAGCTGTTAACCTTTCCTGTTTTTTTAAGGGAAATTCCCTTATTCTGAATAGGATTCCTTGCAAGAAAAGGGAAAAGTTGACAACAACTTCCACTCAGTCTCTGTCTTAGGGTTTACGAATTCTTCTGGCCCTCTCTCATAATGTGCTGTGGCTTATTCCGTGTCCTTTCAAGCTGGTTCATGACATGTGTTTTATTTATTTATTTGATTTATATCTCGCCCAAAGACGCCCAGAGTGGCAGACATAGCTCTAATTTTTTTTTAAAAAAAGGTAAATCTAAACCAGTATGTAAGAACATTCCCTTTATCTACTCCTGGGGACATCACAAAAGTTCATGTTAGGGTGTTAAAAAAGCAAAAGCACCTTATACTGAGTGCCTTGTACAGTGGTACCTCGGTTTACATACGCTTCAGGTTACATACACTTCAGGTTACAGATTCCGCTAACCCATAAATATTACCTCGGGTTAAGAACTTTGCTTCAGGATGAGAACCGAAGAAGCTCTCCGTAGTTTAAGAGAGCAAGTCTTTCCCAGCCCCTCCTGGAGATCATAGAACTGTAGAATTGGAAGGGACCCCGAGGGTCATCTAGTCCAACCCCTGCAATGCAGGAATCTCAGGTAAACATCTCTGACAGATGGCCATCCAACCTCTGTTTCAAAACCTCCAAGGAAGGAGAGTCCACAGGAAAAAGAACCACCCACCACCTCCCGAGGGAGACTATTCCCCTGTCAAACAGCTCTTACTGTCAGAAAGTTCTTCCAGATGTTGAGTCACAATCTCCTTTATTATCACTTGAAGCCATTGGTTCGAGTCTTACCCTCAAGAGCAGGATTGGGGATTGTCAATTGGGGATCAAACCAGCAGCCTTTTGCAAGCTGGTTCGATCCCCAAATACAGTGGTACCTCTGGTTGCGAACGGGATCCGTTCCGGAGGCCTGTTCGCAACCTGAAAAGAACACAACCCGCGCCTGCGCACGTGCGGTTGCGGTTCACTGCTTCTGCGCATGTGCGTGACGTCATTTTGCATGTCTGCACATGCGCGAGTGGCGCAACCCGGAAGTAACCCATTCCGTTACTTCCAGGTTGCCGCGGGACACAACTTGAAAACACACAACCTGAAGCAAACTTAACATGAGGTATAACTGCAATAATAATAATAATAATAATAATAATAATAATAATAATAATAACAATTTATTTACACCCCGCCGATCTGGCTGGGTTTCCCCAGCCACTTTGGGCGGCTCCCAGCAGAATATTAGAAATATGATAAAACATCAAACATTAAAAACTTCCCTAAACAGGGCTGCCTTCAGATGTCTTCTAAAAGCCAGATAGTTGTTTATAGCCCAGGACATTGCAAAAATTGTCTAGTCATCTTGGGTGCACATAATATAAAAAAGTGAAAACAATGCTTCTCCTCATTTTTACAGCCCCATATGAAGGCTGGAACTGTTTTGAGGTTGTTTTTTTAAAAAGCAGGAGGGCTTGAAAGTCACCAGTCTTTCTCTTTGGCTCCTTAGCCTAGCAGAAACCATCTACATTTTCCCACCACGTCCTGGAAGAAGACTGCATCATGACACAGTTCCGTCCTGGGATGTCAGGGGACAACAGAAATAGTGACCCAAGGGAGGCTGCAAGAGAGCCATTGAGTATTGGCCCCCCACCCCAATATTCGCCTCTCCCCAGAAGAGGGGAGGAAACTTTGCCCCCTCTTTCCCCAGAGGAACATCTTTTCCTGAACATCCAGCCCAGCAATAAAAATTACGGCCTTGGCCCTTGCTTATCTGGAGACGGTTCCCAAAGCAAACAATGTCTTCACACAACACATAATTAACTTGTGAAATTTGCTGTTGCGAGATGAAGTGATGGGCCCGGGCTGCTGGGTTTCCCACCCACCTGCGATGGTTCGATAATTGCAATATGGCGTGTGGTTTAGCAATGGGAGGGCAGTGACTCATCATGACATCGGGAGTGCCGTGGGGGAGGTTCGGAGAGAAATTCTGAATGGTTTCCAGCCTGACAGCCTTGCTCCAACCCCAAGCGTCTTCTCCATACGCAGCTTGCGAGATTAACTTTCCTAAAAAGAATCTTAAAGGCAGAGGATACTACATACCACCTCGGTGGGGAGTTGAGATTACTATGACCTTGATTACTTGTACAGTAGAGAGCCTTGTGGAGTCTAGGAAATTCAGACAGAATTTCTGGGGCCCACCTATTATAATTTTAGGGATGGATGGATTCTGTCACTTTGGGTTTCCCTTGTCCTCTTATTCCTCCAGTCTTAAATTTTACTTCTTCATATATTTGCGGTAATTTGGGGTTTTTGTGTGTTTTTTTTTTTAATAACAATTCTCAAGAAAACTCAGCAGCGTTTTGAGTTCACATTTCTCCCAATAAACACATTTTGGCACGCAGTTTTGACTGTTAGGCTCATTTGTGGAAAGCAGTTTTGCCTAAGATAATGCATTCTTTTCTGGTTAATTTCACCACTGTATGCAGGCTTTATCCTAGTGCATAAACTTTTTTTGCATTTTCCTTGGCTGCAAAATTCAGGGAAGTGCAAATTTTGATGAATGGCTGTGTCAGTTTACATCCTGTTTTGGAAATTCCAAATTTGGTACGTTTGCCTGTAAAGGTGAACTTATGTAAGTTCTCCCCGCCCAGTATTTGTATATTTGCATTTCTGTGATGGTTTCTAACAAATACCGTATTTTTTTGTGTATAACACGCCCCCATGTATAAGACACCCCCTATTTTGGGGGACTCCAAATTAAGAAAATGGGGGGAAATGCCCAGAGTTATTGAGCTTTTTTGGGGGAGGATTATTCAGAGTTGTTGAGCACTTTTTTTAGGGAGAGCAAACACCAATAGCACACCCAATAGCCGCGGACGCTCTCCAGCTCCCGGAAGCAACGTATAACATGTCCCCGCAATGCACCCCGTGTATAAAACAAGCCCAAGATTTCAACATGACATTTTAATTAAAAAAAACCTGGTCTTATACATGGAGATATACGGTAAATTTGACTGACTGGTAGTCACTGGTAAAGTAATGGCTGGCCGGAGGTGGTTTTTTTTTAATGTTATTTTATATTCTTCATTGAAAAATACAAAATTACAAGTGCACAGAGTGAGGTAAGACGCAAAGAAGAAGAAGAAACAACGAGAAATAGTACCCATGTAAAAAACAAAACAGAACAAAGCTCTCCAGTCATGAGTCAGAGAGAGAACTGAGTCAGATGCCCCCAAGATGAAACAAGCTATTTCCTGGAAACAAGCGTTTCCTTTGCTTAGATATCGCTCCCAAATGGGCAAAGATGATAGCCCAGCCTTGCCCTACAACCATGAGTCTCAGAAGACTCTGGTAAGTGGGGTGGTTGTGATAAATTAATAGCAGCCATCGAGAGCCCTTTCTTCCTCCATGAATTGTCTAGTCTTCTTTGAAAGCCATCTAGGCAGGAGCAAGTTCCATCGATTGACTATGTTCCTCAAAGACCTTTCTTAAAGTTCTGTGACGTCCATTCTTGCTGGCAACGCGCACCCGCCATTTTATGAAACCGGTAAAATCCTGGTGCTGATCCTTGAGAGGAAACTGGCCACCCTCTCGCAGACGAGGAATGGCGAGTCTCTGAGGCTTACGCCCATTCTCGAGCCGCTCCATCATGGCTCCCACACGGAGCAATTAATGCTATCGCAAGATCAGCGAGGCAGCGGCCCCCAAGTACTTTCACACCATAAATAAGAAAATAATTAAACATTAGAAAACACTTATCGACCGTATCACGCTCTGCGGAAAAAAAGAAGAACGACGGCGGAAAAGGGCTGTGAAAACATTAGCCGACGAATCGTGAGCTGATTTCTCTGCGCTTAACAGCATGGAGAAATTTTTGCTCCGTGAGTAAACTTTATTTTCCGCTGCCAAGAGCTACAAAAGGCTCCATTACCAGCTCTGCATGAGGAGTTCGGAATGGAGCAGCTTCTGAGGCAATTTAGGCTCACGTGTCACTTTGGCAATAAAGCAGGAGGGAGCAGGCCTCATTGCAAGGGACCCGGAGGGTTTTGGTGTCTGGTACCTCAGCGGGTCGAGGGACCGTTTCTGAGGTAATGCACCTTTGCTTCTCTTTCCTGCCCCTTTCCAAGCTGCTCTTCTCTGAGAGGATTCAGGCATTTTATGCACCAAAGTTGAGGCACTGGCATCCCTCGGGCACGGGTCGTAGCTTTGTGATCGGCTTTCCAGATGTCAGGAGTTTGGGTCTGGAGACGACAGCCTGTTTCTCAAAGTTTAGGAACAATTGGCACTTTGTGACAGACCTTCATTAAGGGGCACTGTGTGGTACGAAACCAGCGGGAGGAATTCCATTTTTTATTCTGTTTCCTCGGCCTCACGCCGTGGATTTGCTGGTCACTTCAACTTCTGCTCAGTTTCATTTGTGTTTCCTTCCCTTAATAGCTCATCACAGTGGTGGGCAAGCCTGCAGGCCCCGAAATGCTGTTGGCCGCTGTAATGTTCCCTGTTGAATGATGAGCCCGTTGGAGAAGTTGAACAAGAAATACTTTTTATTAAAGGGCTTTGAACAGCAGGTCTTCTGTCCTTCAGCTGCTTTCTTGCTCTGGCTTCTAGCTCTGCTTCTTGCCTGGACCCGGCCTCCTAAACTAAATACGGGAGGTGCCATAAAAGGCATAATCACATTTAACTTTACAGATGCCAACTCTCACCAGCCCCAGCCAGCATGGCCAATGGACAGGGATGGTGGGATTTGTAGTCCAGCAGCATCTAGAGGGGCACATCCCAGCTTTATGCCCTGAATTCCCCCCCCCCTTTGCACATAGAATAGAATCATGCAGCTGGAAGCAACCTGAGGATCATCTGGTTCCCCAAACTTGGGTCTCCAGCTGTTTTTGGACTACAGTTCCCATCATCCCAGAGCTCTGGTCCTGCTAGCTAGGGATGATGGGAGTTGTAGTTTCTAGTCCAACCCTCTGAAATGCACGAAATATGCAACTGTCCCTTATGCAGCCATTTCCCAGGGTGTGACCGCTCAGCTTCTAGGTATAATGCCACTTTAACTGTACAGTACAGCTGGGGTCTGGAACAGGACGCCAGAAGAGGACTGACTAGTGCAGAACAAAGTGGAACTATTGCATCCCAATAACTTGGAAACGACGGTCCTGTTACTGCAAAGTAAAACTTGTGTTGGCCTTTTTATTTGCAGCCATATAACAAACTCTGGTTCACGTTCAGTTTGTGACAGACTACAATCCTGAGATCTGTTTTACAGGAACTGTTGCTAAGCCAGATGTTTCCCATCCTATATCTGTACATTTCATTCCCCCACCACCACCTAAATGCAAAACTTTGCATTTGTCTCTGTTGAATTTGATTTTGTCAGTTTCCACCCAGTTTCCCATTCTAGGTTGTTTTAAATTTAATTATGCTCTTCCTAGGTGTTTGTGATCCATCAGAGTTTTGTGCCATTTGCAAATTTGATAAAGGTTCCCTCCACCCCTTTATCCAAGTCTTGATAATTTTTTTGGAAGAGTAAATAAGCCCCACAACAGACCAATCGGAAGTTTGACAAGGAATCACCAGCGAGAATTTGTGTCCAGTTTTGCACCAGCTGTGAATCCCACTGTCAGAACTATCGTCTAGCCTATAGGAATGCACCCTAATCCCCCTTTCCCCTTCTCTCCGCAATTGCCCTCCACCAAACACAGTGGCTGCGAAAGTGTCAGGCCAAATTTTATTTCATTAAAATATCAGCCGTGATTTCATGGGCTTTATTTTAATCAGGGGGTCAAACAACAAGGTCAGGGGTAAGGAGAACCCAAATTGCCCTCTTTGGGGTTTGCAAAACTTGGCCTGTGGTGGAAATATGAACAGACAATGTTCCATTTTCTCACATACTTCCCAGATGGAGAGAAATACGCACTGGCCATCTTCAGTGGCCAATAAATTCTGCCGCAAATCTCTTCGATTTACCAGAGTTATTTGTGCATGACGCTCTGCAAGTTACTATTCCCCAACCCACAGCGCAGCCTTGGAAGCAGGGGGAAAGTTCAGGTTGCTAAGCGATATACGCGTGCGAGTGACCTCATCGCCTCACTCGGGGCTGGCTGGGTTGATGACACCGGAGAGAAAGTGTTTATAGCAGCTGGTCATCTTTTTACCCAGAATCCTTCAGAGGTTGTCCGAGATAACATGATGCAGCTTCTGAGATGCATCTCGTTACCTGGTGCGTATTTTAAGGACCTATCTTTTTGTGATTGCCAGTTGTTTTCAAATTGTTTCTAATATTGTGTCTGCCCTGGGAACTTCGCGTGAAGGGTGGGTAATTCATCATCATCATCATGATTTGTTGTTGTTTAGTCGTTTAGTCGTGTCCGACTCTTTGTGACCCCATGGACCAGAGCATGCCAGGCACTTCTGTCTTCCACTGCCTCCCGCAGTTTGGTCAAAATCATGTTCGTAGCTTCGAGAACAGTGTCCAACCATCTCGTCCCCTGTCGTCCCCTTCTCCTTGTGCGCTCCATCTTTCCCAACATCAGGGTCTTTTCCAAGGAGTCTTCTCTTCTCATGAGGTGGCCAGAGTATTAGAGCCTCGGCTTCACTATCTGTCCTTCCAGTGAGCACTCAGGGCTGATTTCCTTAAGAATGGAGAGATTTGATCTTCTTGCAGTCCATGGGACTCTCAAGAGTCTCCTCCAGCATCATAATTCAAAAGCATCAATTCTTTGGCAATCAGCCTTCTTCTATCATCATCATGATGATAGCCATCTTCAAATATCTCAAGGGCTGTCACATATGGAAGATAGAGCAAGCTTGTTTTCTCCTGCTCTGGAGGGTAGGACTCGAACCAGTGGCTTCAAATTACAAGGAAGGAGATTCCGACTAAACTTCAGGGGGACCTTTCTGGCAGTAAGAGCTGTTCGGCAGTGGAATGGACTCCCTCGGGAGGTTGTGGACTCTCCTTCATTTGGATGTTTTAAAGCAGAGGTTGGATGGTCATCTGTCATGGATGCCTCATGTGAGATTCCTGCATTGCGGCGGGTTGGACTAGATGACCCCTGTGGTCCCTTCAACTCCACAATTCTATGATTCTATGCCACAACAGTGGCCTATGCCACAACAGCGATGGGTTTCTTTTTGCAAATCTGTCTGAGCTCTTCATTTTAAATCCTTGTAGGCTTGCTGGAACCTTTGACAAAGGTGGGCTTCGGCTGAACCCAACATATGGATAGGAGAATGCAGGGTGTTAATGGACAGAGACTGCTGTCGACTGGTCTAAAAATAACAGCTGATGCTTAAGTGTGAAAGCAAACTCACTACACTCATGGACAAGCTTAACTGGTTTACCCTGCAGTTGGAAATCTGAAATTCATACCCCACAGCTCTCGTTAAGTGTCCACAAATTTCACATAGAATTCCAATACATGATAATTTTTTTCTTTTGGCATTCAAAACAAAAGAGGTCACTTTTAAATCAGGCTGAGGTGGCTTGTATGTCATCTAGCAACGCAAACTATTGATAACCTCACAAAGACCCAATTTCATTCATTGCACCTGCCAAACCCGTTTTCCAGAGATGAAATGGGAAGATAGTATACATTGTCAAACAGGGAACAATCTTTCACAAACCACCTGGGGGGAAAAAACCTCTTTCTCCAGCCAAGTTTATAAGACTGATACAAGTTTATCAAGTTATGCATGGCATGAAGAATATGGATAGGGATTTCCTCCTCCACCACCAACTTCCTCTCTCATAGCACTAGAAATTGTGAACATCCATTGAAGCTGCATGTTTGAAGATACAGGACAGACAGATTTAAATACTATTCCACACATTGGTTAAAACAATGGAATTTGCTCCCATGGCTTGGATGGCTTTAAAAGTGGGTTCAGCAGATTCATGGAGGATGCAGCTATCTTGATGGCTACTAGCCATGTTGACTCTGTTTCCCCTCAATCCTTGGAGGCCGTACGGCCCACGCAGGCCCCGCTTCCCAGAGTTATCTGGTTGGCCACTGTGAGAACAGAATGCTGAACGAGAGAGGCGACAGAGTAGGCTGGGGACTGGGGCGGGCGAACCTGTCCATTTTAAAAATCTGACATTTTTTATTTTATTCGTGGAAACCCACCAACATTTTGGTATATGTCTCTCCTAACATACACATTATTCTATGCAACTTTGGCTACTAATAACATTTTCACAAGCAGTCCCACCTAATGCAATGCATGTGGGGTTTTTTTAATGCACAATGCTGCTGAATATATGCAGCTATGTTGACATTTCTGGGTTGCAGAGCTTCACTGCGAAATTCATAGAGGTGTCAACGTAGGAGGATGGTTGCAGTTTTAGATCATGCATTGTTTCAGGAAGTGCAAATAAGGTAGGTTTGTATCAAGGTGCTAACTGAACTGATTCATGGCATATGGGGCATTAGGGGAGGGGTAGTGCCTCTGGTGGGGCACATGCCATGCTCCTTCTGAGGTAGTTTGTCTGCCTTTGGTCCCCACCCTCCACTCAGCTCTCACCTGTGGCTCTTATCTACTGTCAACATGTGCCAGTGACCACACCCCAGGTAACAACTTCAACTGGCCAGCTAAACCAGCTGCGGGTAGCCGATGGGTCTTAAACCCTCAGTGAGTTAGTAGTAATAGTAGTAGTAGTAGTAGTAGTAGTAGTAATAATAATAATAATAATAATAATAATAATATATTTATACCCCGCCCATCTGACCGGATTTCCCTAGCTACTCTGGGTGACTTTCAACAGAATATGAAAATACAATAGTCTATTAAACATCAAAAGCTTCCCTGAACAGGGCTGCCTTCAGATGTCTTCTAAAAATCTGGTCATTGTTTTTCTCTTCGACATCTGGTGGGAGGGCGTTCCACAGGGCGGGTACCACTACCAAGAAGGCCCTCTGCCTGGTTCCCTGTAACTTGGCTTCTTGCAGGGAGGGAACTGTCAGAAAGACCTCGGTGCTGGACCTCAGTGTCTGGGCAGAACAATGGGGGTGGAGACGTTCCTTCAGGTACAGTGGTACCTCGGGTTACATACGCTTCAGGTTACAGACTCCGCTAACCCAGAAATAGTGCTTCAGGTTAAGAACTTTGCTTCAGGATGAGAACAGAAATCATGCTTCGGCGGTGCAACAGCAGCGGGAGGCCCCATTAGCTAAAGTGGTGCTTCAGGTTAAGAACAGTTTCAGGTTAAGAACGGACCTCCAGAATGAATTAAGTTCTTAACCCGAGGTACCACTGTATGCTGGACCGAGGCCGTTTAGGGCTTTAAATGCCAGCACCAATACTTTGAATTGTGCTCGGAAACGTACTGGGAGCCAGTGTAGGTCTTTCAGTTAGGGAATTCTCCTTCATGTGAGGACACTCTCCAGAGGATTGAGCGGATGAGACCAGTAGTGGGTCCAACGGTCAAGAAGGCAGTTTCTGTGTGTGTGGCAGAGGGAAGTGAGGGGCAGATGGGGCTCATCAACCTGGGAAGGTAGCCCATCTAGGAGAAGGAAAACCCTGATCCTAAATCTCCACTGCCTTGCAGGATATCTTC